CACAGTTGCTTTCGTGTCTACTATCGTGATCTGGCTGAGCGATGCTACAGGCGACGGGGCACTCAACCTGAGCGTGTCGCAGCGGTCGGACAGAGACCGACGAACTGAGAGCAGGTATTGTCTGGGGCCTTTAGGAGCCCGGTCAGATGGCAGGTATTGTCAGTTGTCAGGATAAACTGCTCGTCTGTCTCCAAGAGAGTGATTTAACATTCTCCAACGTGTGGTTTATGCAAGATAATTATCGATTACAATACTGATACTTTCTTCAGTCCCCATGTATTTTTGTCCCTATGTTTTTTGTCGAAACCACATCTGTTCTGTATTCTTTCAGTTCTCTACTTGACTCATCCAAAGAAAGAAGGCTAGTTTGATTTCCTTGTTTTCTCCGCATTTATAATCTTGAAATTTTCGTGTTTCCAGATCTCTTTTGGAAGAAGAGGAAGAGACGCAGTCCTACAGATCCCGGACTTTAGATCATCTGAAAACTTTCAGATCGCTGTTTTGTGCGCATTGTTTCCAGAAGATCCACTCTGTTACCGCTGCTGAAGCGATGCATTTTCTGTCTTGTTCAAGTTATTTATGTCGATATGTTCCTGTAGATATATTACACAAGCGTGCGTTACTTAGTTTATCAACACGCATTCCATGGCGTGTGATTATATCTTGTCAATTGGTTTTCTTGTTCAGACAACCTAAAATCCAAGTTGCTAGGATCGAATGTAGACGAGATATCTTCTTTCATCTTGAATACCACGAAGCTTCAAGTTATTTTTAATCTATTTTGGAGTCTATATCCTGATGCGCTATTTTCTTAAAAGTCGATCCAGTGCACTTGGCATCATTGGACTCCTTCAAGCATGCTCCTATCATCTAGAAGGACGCGATTTTTGGACTAAAGATCGCTGATCTTAAGCCTTACCTTGTGTATTTTAAACCAGTAATATTTTGCGATATCAGGTATATCTTCTATATTTTAGAATGCGTGGCATGGCTCAGTACAAATACTATATCAACTTCAACGGCTGTGATGATGATGTCATCCTTAGACTGAATACTTAGCTTCATTCCAACTGCTCATCGTCTCAGGCTCGCTCAACCTCACTGATTGACGTCATATTTCAGAATTAAAAGAAAAATTTGCAGAGTAGAAAACTGCATGCACAGTTGTACTCACATTTGTATCAAGGAGTTAATTTCTAATCAGGAATAATAAGTAGGCGTGAAAATAAATTTAATCTGTTCTTCTTGATCTGAAGTGGAAATTTATTGCCTATTTGAAGTCGGATATGATAATGAATGTCTATCTCAGTTACAGGATATAATAACCAAAGAATAGCGTTCTGAATGGGTTGATGGTCAATGTTGTATTCGCCATTCCGATTCTCATCAAGGAGTTATAAAGTTCATCAGTTGTGTTCATCTTAGCAACATATTTATTTATAGTAGCTTTATTTGTGAATCCTGCGAAGACTTTTTTAAATGAAATGTTTGATAAAATTTTCACCTTATCTGTTACAGTGTTCTCTAATTCATTAGAATTTCCGTCGACAATCCAGTCGTGTAGCGATTGAAAGTAAGACGTTACTGTCTAGCTCACCGGCGCATTGGATCCAGTTAGTAGGCTTACTTGCCAATGGAACACAGTCGGTGTTCTTATTCTAAACTATTTTTCCCGAAAACAATATGGACAATAATCCCCGAGTAAGAGGTTTTAGATATGCCTTTAGTTTGCATATTACTTCAATCATGGCTACGTGATGGGTTTGTGAACAGACGTGTCTAAAGAAGTAATGTTCAGACCCAGGAGTCTTCCGTTTCAATTATCTCCATTGATTTGACTTATTACAACGAGCACCATGCAATTTATTCAGGTGCAGTGGTTACGTCTGATGAAAATCATCTCTTAAAGAAACCTATTCACTGTTCTGGTAGTTTTTTTCTCGATCAGTGCGAGCCTTCTTGCAAGTTTATCGATTTAATAATAGAGAGTTTAGTCAAGTTAATCATCATGTAACTATTAGTGTCCAGTACATGTATTGCAGACTTGATCCATTTTCCCTTAGTTTTTTTTTTGCAAAATCGTGAATAAGTGATGCACAGTATATTGACAATTACATTAATTCAATATGTGGATGATTATGATAGTAAGGAAAAAGACAAACAATGATATTTTGTAGTTTATTGCAAATGCACATGTTTCGCGGTACAAATATTCCTACTAACGAGTAGAAAAGGGAGAGAACGAATTAACAACATAGTTATGACGCAATTGGCCGTGAAGATTTCCCACCCCGAGTCTGCCTTAAGCAAGCTTAAGGAACATAAGCGCTCACGGCAGTGAGATGCGCCTTTAGAAGAACATACGTAGTTCAAAATTAGAAAGCAGATTTTCTCAGGTACAGGGTTACCCTACCAAACTCAATTAACAATTAACGTTATTAAATAATAGAAAACTTCACCTTAATTTCATCAGCAAATGCTAGTGATCAGAATGTCTGCTTTACGCCGAGAGGAACATCTATGCGGAACATGTGCATTCTCGCCGTTAGAGTTTTACAATTTTTTTTGGTGGAAAAAGACGGCAGCTCTCACTTGATAACGGTTATTTCGTCAACTATGTTTTAAAACATGATCAACAGTTTCAAAAATATCCTAACACTGCAGACGTGGTTCAAAGAAACCAGAGCGAATCATCTATCGAGTAGCCAGGAACAGCTTGGGTTAAATAACTTCCTCGTCCGCTGGTACAATCCGCTCTCATTCTTGAGCCGAGATGAAATTGAAGAATCTGATTCAATCATCGATACAATTCATACGACTGCAAATGAACCTCAACAACGAGTACAACTTTCAGCACTGCTAAGGGAGGCCGAAGTGAGAGCTACCACCCATTCCATCTTTTTTTTTTAGACGCGTTTGGCCGGTAAGCGGTCAGTGTGCACTGATCTCTTGCGGCCTCTACACCAGCAGCTACAATCGGGAGGTCGGGAAGTGTTCGCCCTGATGTTAACACACGACTAAAAGCATTACTGCTGACCTTCCTTCATAAGCTACACACCACCGATTACAGTACAAAGAGGGTTTATTTAACCTTGATTATATCCTAATTTTTAGTAGACGTGATGCAGCTTGATCGTGTTGTTGTACAAGCTTAGATCTTGGAAAAACAGGATTAACTGACATCGGCATCTTTCTAAAAACAACTGCGATGGAAAAAAACACACTCAATAGACTAGCGCTGCAAAATCAGGAGGGTAAATAGGCGTGATGACCTAAGGAAGAAGCCTACTGCTGTATAAATAGAACCGGTGTAAGGGTATGTCCTGCCATTCAGACGCATAGGTCAAGTCGAAAATTGTTATCATACTGCACTTATCTGGAGAATTATGGAGGACATGATGACGAGTATCATTAACAAAGCATATCACTCAATTATCGTGACATGGGAGAGGAGAAATGTAAGCTCAGGAAAAAACTAATCATTAATAGTAATGCACCCACCAGAAACTCGGCAGTTGTGTCAGCGATTCAATAACGAGATGGTGATCAAAACTTGCAGGGGATGTGAAAGGAGAACTAATGTACGCCGTCTTAAGTGAAACAAATTTCAAGCGACGCTCTCAGCGGTGGTGTTTTCGATAGCCGTGATGGCAGGGACGCTTTTGACGGCAGGAGCAGCGCTCTCCCCGGCACCAGCCTGCTGACCCTCATCAGATGAACCTTCCGCCTGTACAAAAGACCAACACTTTGTAATGAAACTTAAATTTATATTTTTACAAATCTCATGAGGTTTCAAATCTCAATTACATGCTCATTATCAACGTTATCTGAATTTCGCATATAATTGTTAGAAAGTCTTGCTTCAAAATGGAACGAGTGATAGAGCTTTATAACCCTCCCAACAGTTATACAAAATTTATTGTGATCGAGATAAGTTTCTCGTAGATCGTAGAAAATTTTCTCTCAATCATTATTGTAATTTTCTTGGAATGAACTGCAGTTGAATAAACAAGCAAAACTCGCAGTTAAATTAGCCACAGAGTCTAACCTTCTTAGGTTTTCCCTTGGTTTCATTGAAGGCTCCTCTGGCACCACGTCCTCGTCCGCCCCTTCTGTAGTTGCTGCCCCTGTAAACCATGGGACCCCCATAGCCGCCTCTCATGCCCTTGCCCATGTCACTCATGTACACCGGTCCCGAGTAATAGAAGCCACCTCTGCCGCGTCCACGCCCTCTGAAGCCACCACGACCACGCATGGGCATCATCATAACATCATCAGGCATGTCGCAGTATTGCAGCTGACGCCCGCCACGACCGTAACCCCCGTACGCGTAAGAGGCGTAGCCACGGAAGAAACGGGGACGACCTCGACCTCTGTAACGACCACCGCGACCGCGGCCACGCATCATCTCGCCGCCCTCCTCGTAGCCGTCATTTTCAATACCGTTGGTACGTGGACCTCCTAGGGATACCAGTCAGGATAATTTAGGTCATTCAATAGATATTGAGCAGCCTTCAATATACCGAATTGTGGATATTCATCAGATGTAAATGTGGTACTTTGGTCAACCAAAAATATTCCAGAAATGTGCAAGGATATCATTTAGGACTTGTTTCAGATTGCAATGTTTATTAGACAATTTGATACCTCATAACAAATTCAGAAGCAGAATTTGTCCTATTGTGCATGCGCAACCAATATAGTGAAATTACTTCCGCCATCCACTGAAATGTGAATCTAGTAAATATCCTAATTCTGAGAACATGGATAAGGTCTATAAGCCTCCAACCTCTCCTGTAGCCTCCTCGACCTCTGTATCCTCTTGGTTTGTCAGCAGCATAACGAGAGCCAATGACGCACTCTCCTTCAGGTCCTGTAACATTGGCAGCCTCATTCCCTTTCTCTCCGACCACCACGTCAAATTCAACATTTTCGCCATCACCCACAGATCGGACACACTTGCGGGGGTTGTTCTTAACTATGGCAGATTGGTGAACAAAAACATCTTCTTTGGTGTCATTACGGTTGATGAAGCCATACCCACTGCGGACATTAAACCATTTGACAGTCCCACTGACCTTGGCAGCTGAAAAGGAAATGAATACCAATCAATGCAAATAACAGCTGTATAGAAAATTGCAACAGTCCCTACTACAAATCTTCAGAGGCATTTGATTCAGCTTTATCTTGCTTCCTGCAGGTTTTAATTGCTTGCTTGAAACTGGTCAGAAATGAGACATTAGTATATTTGCAATACCGTAATAGATAAAAAATATTGAAAAACGGTCATGACTATAAAATTATTGCCAGAAGCCAATACTTTATAGTACTAGCACTGAGAATTTGATGACAGTCTTTGTGGTTAATAACATCAAGAGGATGAATGTATATACAATGAAAATGGAAAACTTCTGGAAAATTTATTACTATAAAAAGACCTGGAATCAGTTGGTAAAGATAGAGTAAGCAGCTGGTGAATTCAGACTAAAGCCACAACTTCTTTTTTAGCAGGATTAACTGAAAACATTTATAAATGCTGCATCAAACTTGGATCCCAGTAGTTATGATAGGCAGATTTTTCTTCAAACAATAAGAGATCCAAAATCAATTTACTGATTTATAATTAACAATATGTCATGCATGTTGATCTATTAGCTAAGTAATATTACAAATAATCGACTAGAATAAATAAATTACACAGAGTTCTAGGCATGAGTGAATGAGGTGGTATGGGCAGTTTTGGTTGATCTAGATCAGGGGTCTCCAAACTTTTTTCACCAAGGGCCAAGATCAAGCTTACTGAAATCTTCGCGGGCCGGAGAAGTTCGTGGGCGGAAGGAAGGGCAGGATAAATTACGAATAAAATTCACTAGTCAAAATTAGCGCACGAATGACTATTTTATTCTGCACTTCATCTTACGGAGCAACTGTACACTATCTTCCGTCGCTTATTCTTCGATTGATCTTAAATCTTCGTCATTAATTGGCGTGATATGCACGGCTCCTAAATACATTGGGGACATAATAATTATGGCTATAATTATTAGAGTGTAATCTTGAAGAATATTCAACGTGAAACAGCATTAATGAGAGGCATGGAATTGTTTCTTTTCATACAAAATAGCATTGAGTTATGGATCAAAATTACTGCTTCCTATCATCAGAATGGATTGTAAATGTTCGTCAGATAAGGCTGCCCTGTAGCTGGGCTTGACATACTTCATATTAGAAAATGTTTGTTCACAAAAATAGGTTGTGCCAAAAACGGAAATAGAACCACAAGCAAAGGCTTGTAGATGAGCATACTGAATATTCATCGCTTGGTGGACACTTGTAAAAGTCAATCAGTTTACCTTCTTTGAATCTGTCCTTCAATGCGTCATTGGCTTGCTGATCAATTACTTCCAATTGAAGTTCAGATGGCAAATCTTCAATGGAACAATCAAATGGAATTTGGAAAATCTTTAATTGCTGCAGATGCATAACATTTTTGAAATTGCTATTTCAGATTGCAAATAATGCCTTGTGCAAATCTTCTTGGGAATGAAGATTGAGTTTCTCGCACAAACTTTTCGCAACACGAAAGTGCTTGAAACAGTTCCTCATCAACTGGGTGTCAAACAAAATAAAATAGCTTTTGTCGGAACACCTTCACTTGGGTATACATGTCGCAAATGAGAACTGTTTTGCCCTGCAGTCTAAGATTGAACTCGTTCATGTGTGTGGTCAGATCCACAGAAAAAGCTAATTTCCAATGTGAGTAGCGGCTGCGGGTCGATTCTTTTCATCCAGAAAAATTTCAATTTCTGCCCAGAGTTCAAAAAATCGTGACAACATGAACACCTTGCCACAGGTAAGCAAACGAACGAAAGTGTGATACATAGGTTAAATCTGGGTATTCTGCTTAAAGCACGAAACTAACGATGGTTAAGTCCGTGAGAACGAATGTAGTTTACTATTGAAACAACAAGTTCCATCACAGAAGATAAATCCATATATTTGCCACAATGCCTGCTGGCGAATAATGCAGTGAAAAACCAAAGGCTTGAGACAGCCCGCAATTGCAGCAGTTTTGTAAATTTGCCCAACTAACCCTTTTCCAGAGCCGCACATGTTTCTTTGACCATCGGTTGTGACGTGCTTGAACCGTTTCTACTCCCGGCCGTAATGCAGGAGAGATTTCTCGACTTCTTCGAAAATTTCCTTGCCTGTTATTGTACTTGTATGTCGTGCACCGTGGCCAACTCTTCAATCACTTCAAAATCTTCTCTGACCCCATGAACATACAGCAACTGCGAGGTAGAAGTGACATCAGTTGATTCATCAAGCGCGAGAGAGAAGTACTCGAATTCTCTGGCTTTTTCTTCGATTTGAGACACTATATTTATTCCAATATCTTCAACTCGACGAGCAACTGTATTTGCCGAAGGGCTTATAGTTTTAGACAAGTTTACTTTTTCCGGACAGAGTTAGTTGGCTGCTTCAATGATGCATAATTTAATTAACTCGCCATCGGTCAAGGGCTTCCCTCGTTTTGCCAAAAGATGTAACACACGGAAACTTGCGATTGTTGCAGCTTCATTCTCGACGTTCTTTTTCTCAAACAAAAATTTTTGCGATGCCAAGTTGTGTCTCGGCGCTTCCAGCTTGTCTATAAGAAGCTTTCTTTTGAGTTGAGAATAGTTTGACAAGTGTTTTGTATCATAATGTCTCCGAATGTTGCACTCTTTCAGCACTGCAATACTATCATTGCATATTAACCATAATGCTTTGTTACCAACTTATCAAACTCGATAACAAAGTAGCATGCATCCAACTTTTCCTTGAATTCACGGCATTCTGAGCCCACATTTCTCTTCTTTCCTGGTCCTGGCATTATCACCTGAAACACTTCCAAACTTGGGTTCACACTGGCAAGCAGACCAGTGGAACGATAATGCTCTCCTCAATCAAAGGGTCTTGGGTGGTTCATGGCAACATTTGTATATATTTTATCAATTTTCAGAGACACCAGTCACGCCCATTTACTGTTTTTTTAGTTCATGCATAATCAGAAATAAACGCCACGCTCGATTTTTGTACACATTATGTTGATGTACGAGATAACCTCGGCGGGCCGGATGGAACCTAGCCAAGGGCCGGATCCGGCGCGCAGGCCGTAGTTTGGAGACCCCTGATCTAGATTCTAGAGCATATATGAGAGGCTTCTGCTCAATTTTTCACTGACACATATTCACAATATCAAACCTATCATGACTTTGCAGAAATAGTTGCACCATTATTAAAATAATAAATTTGAGATCAGATGAATATACATATCTACATGCATTATAAAGAAACTAAACAAGTATGTTAGCTAAAGTTCAAAATTTCAGTACACCCATGGAGATACCATCAAAGGGGGTAATAAGGGATGGGCAGGGTAAATTGGGACAGTCATCCCACATTTCGTAGAAATGTTGTGGCAGATGAACTACATCAAAATGTTGCAAAACTAAAAATAGTGGTGTAAAGTTCAACATTTTATTATCTATGTAGCATAAAGCAAGTTAGGAAATCATAAATTTGCTACCTTTGAAAAATCCCTGAATAAAAGTGTGAAAAGTGCAATTTTGTAAAAGTACCTCTGCTAAGGTCTGTAGCAAAAAAATTTGCTGTATTAAAAAACTTTACTTACATAAAAGTTGCACACATGTGTTGGCTTAAAAACGCAATTAACAGAATTTGCCTATCTCATTCCAAAACAAATGGCAGCAGTTTCCACAGGACGGAATAAAGGACACCCCCTCCCGGGGTAATAAGGGACACCCCTAAAAATGCATTTACAATAGAACCTCAGCTAGCAAGGGCTCCGGTTAAACAAAAAATCAATCAACAACAAAAACTCAATCAACAACAAAAAATTTTGAATACATTCATCTTGCTCAGGGAAAGAATTTCACTAACAAAAAATAAATGCACCATTTGTCATTACAAAATTGTGCATTGAATGTCATAGATAGAATTGTGCACCAGGCAACATAGAATGAAAAATAATTAACCTAAACTATGATTTATTGTCCAAAAATATGATGGTTGTCACTAAAATATTCCTTTCAGTTTCAGGTGTGTTTTAACGATCTATTTGTTATAGTGAATTTACTTGGCCCTATCAAAATGGTGTGAAATTACAAGCTGTCCTGTAAGCTTACAGATACAGAAGAAATGCTATACTGATGCTGAAATGAAGCTTGCAGTGGACAAGGTTGTTGTAAATGCACAATGGCATGTCCATGGATACAGTAATATCACATCAATAATACCATAATGCATGGATTTGGTAATATCATAACAATAAAGAAAAAATGAGTAAAAATCACAGAAAAAGTCATTTTGTTTTACATCATCTATAAAGGAAGAGGAATTCAGAGTACTGTTAGTAATAGATGAATACACTATGAATGCTTCAAATGTTTTAAAATTGAGTTTTTTCAAGTCTCCCAGATTACCCCATTCCCAGGGGTAATTTGGGACAGTTTTATTTTGTGTCTGACATTTTTACCTTACAAATAACATATGGAATATTTTTGGAGATGCCATTCTATAGTCCTCGCAAAGAGTTTTAAAATGACCCCAAACTGCTTTATGAAATGTTTAATGGTAAGAAGTTATTAACAAATGACACTCAAAAATGTCCCTTATTACCCTGTATAATGGTAGTGCTTCTTTGGCACATATAAAAAATGACAAGAGCATCGAATTTGTGTCAATGGGTAAAACCACAAAAGCAATGGGTGAAATCAAAGAAAAGCAATGGGTGAAACCATAAGATGACAGTCACATGCTTTGCAATTAGCATAGCCATGCTAATGTAGCCTCAAACAAAAAGCCATTGACATGTTGTACTTTTTAAATTTCAAGTGACCATAGATGATTTCCATATTCACAAAATATATTAAATGCTCACTGGGTGTATATGTATGGTGACTATTTGAATAAGGTCAACAATATATTTCCCACAGGATGAGATTTAGAAGAGGTAAATTATGAACAAGGCTACATAGTATCATGATATAGTGGAAAAAAACTCTTGGAAAAATTGGGTGACTTGGACCTGCAGGGTGACTCAGACCATTCTGATATTTAAGAAAAGAAAACCCTATAACTCAAAAAGTTCTTGCCTGAGAAAAATTGTGTTTATGGCTCTTGAAGTAGGTATATAAATTTGGCAATGTTTGTCTACTAATACTATGATAATTAGATCAAATTCTTAAACAAATACATAAAAATAATTACAGCATAAAGAGCCGGCAGTACACTTTCATCAAGTTCCACACTTCCAAGAAAAATTGCAATAGGCTAAGTTCTAAGCTATCCGTATCCAACTGCCAACATATATTATTCAATAAATATCTACGCAAGACAGCTTGACAGGAACAGCCAATAAATATGATCCCCAAATTACTTCATATTATTAGGTACAGTCGTAATAAAATTCTCTCGACATTCTCACTCACTTTCACGTAGGTATACCGTAACCTTCCAAAATTTCTTAAGAATGCGGTCACACAAATTACGTACTTCAAGATAAAATTATGAAAGAAAAGGGATTTACATTACAAATCTTTAACCACTTGCAATCATGATAAGATAATGAAAAGTTCTAATGCTAGGTAGGTCTATGCCGTCTATAAATAGAATAGGCGCATGGTCGCCGACGTAGCGGTGCCGCCATGGGAGTCGCCATGGTTAACAAATCGCTGCCGGTGCTTCGATCTCAACACGAACAGGGTAAAAATCGATTTAAAAAAGTTATGTTCTTACCAATTAGTTTCTTTTCAGTTTCAAGAGCCTTTTCATTTTTGATTTCTTCTATAATTTCGGTCTTTTCAGGCTCTGACATGGTTTTAGATGGTATTTTGGGTGGTAATGGGCTGCAACCCCGTCCCTAGATGTTCACTCTTTCCCGTTCTTATTCTGTCTGCCAACTATGCTTCTTTCCCATTTCTGACATCGATAATGCTTTTCTCAGGTTGGTTTTGCTAAGAACTTTAAAAAAATTTCAAATTTGAATAAATTTACTAGCCTAAGCACTTGACCTCTTGATTTTCACGAAAAGATTTCTATTGCATTAATTTAGTTAAAATCTTACCCCGCACAATCGTTTGGAGTAAAAGTGGGAGATATCGTCCATGGACAAAATGAACTGAATACAAAACGATACAATTAGCAAACCACGACACATGATTATATCACTGAGTTTTAACAATCATGTTTATTTTTTCCGGTTACATTATTTTTGATCGGTAATCTATCAAAGCTCATGATCAATCATTGAATGCTGTTTTTTTATTGTTTCTGTTAAAAAAGTCATTTGGCTACTTACAAGGAAGCAAATACAGAATAGTGAATAAAACAGCATAGGTCGATCTGGTCAATCTCTTTTCGTTTTACTTGACCAACCAGTTTCGCGTAATTGACCTGCGCTTTCCCATCTTTGAGAAATTTTGATTGGATGTTTCCGCCCCTCTACCAGACGAATTACAATAGATATGGTAGTAATTTGAACTATCTAACAACATTGTTGCGAATTTAAGCTCTCAAAATCCCTTTGCTGCAGTGATCACCTACGAATTGACAAAATTCAACTTTCAGTGCATTTTTATCGAGATTTGAAATTTGTCAACGCACGCATATAGGAGAATCAATCAAAATGGCATGCGTCTTATATTTTTCCAATAACGTATAGAAAACAATATTTTGTATCCAGTTCTTGGAGAACTTTCTATGAAAACTGAGCTGATGCAACACATCTTCATTCATTTTGCAAGAGGTTTTTAGAGCTGGACCGGTATTATTACAGTTAGTCAGCAGAAAGAAACTCGACAAAGAAAACGAGCCATTTAAGTCTCTGAAGTCACACGGATGCAAAAAATTCAGTTATCGGAAAATTTTAGAATTACTTCGATAGATGATTAACACAAAATCAAATTTTAATAATTCCAATACAACGTTCGTGCTAAACGTGAAACCAGTTAAGATTTGTTCGTGTAGTAATGTTGCACGAAAGACAATGCCCCTGAAACTATCGTTGGAGACCTTTGGCGTTGACTGTTGGGTCATTTAGTGCAATAGGATTAATTATTCGGATACCAATACGCAATTCAGTAATATTTCAATAGACTTCACTTCAATAGAAAACATAGTAGTAAATATTTTCATACCGTAAGTTTTTAAATGGTCTTTAGTTGTATCCATGCTTTGCTTACTATAGCTACCTACTGGCTACAAAACAATGTTTGACAATTGAATGAACTACCCTGCTACAGGCCTGCGTAAGGCCCGTACCTGAGATGATGGAGACCTAGGTTGAATTGTTTAGTTGTCTAGAAATGTTTAATTTATCACTGTATGTTGAAATGTTTAGTTAATACTTTATGGTGAATTGGTGATCTAATCACTGAATTTCACCATAAATTGTTCATACTTGTACAGTTGTACTTGACGTAAATACAGACGATAGTACTGCTGAGTTGAATAGTACGATATATCATAGATTACTATTTGAATATCTATATCGTACTATTTGTTATCGTTGAAATATTTGTATAGCATGATTATAATATAGTATATAATAGTAAAAGTACTATAGTAGTAGTACCAGTTGAACGAAAAAGGACAATTACATCCCAATTACACTTGAATTTTAAAGTTAAACGTCTGTTGGCTAAGAAAATGAATGTAATTAAACGAAACGTCTTTCACACATGTTTTAGTATATGTTTTAATCATTGATGCTAAAAATGATGCACGACTCTTTATCAGATTCCGGCGGTTTTCGTCTTGAAGTCAAACTGCCGAACACACCAATAGCACGGAATGGATGCATCAAGTTCATCATCCTCCAAAAGCCAGAATCTAAGTCCTAACCTTGGAGATAACCAGAGAGAGTTGGCTTCATTAGCATCAACTCTCGACTGCGATAGACCATTGGCAATGGTAGCTGATTTGGAAAGCACAGAAGACAGAAAGAAAGTCGCCGATAGAGTTGAAATCAAGCAGGAGTTGCTTAGACAATTGAAGATTGTAAAAAGTTATCGGGATCGCAAAGATATTCGAGATCTGGACGACGTGACGGGCAAATGGCTACAGGCCTGTCAGGCTGTCCTGCAAGATTACTACCAAAAGCTCAGTGAAACGAGGAACGAAGTCGCAGACTTGGAGCTGGGCGAATTTATCAAAAGACTTAACATTGATTATTCCCTGGTTGGATTCGATGATGCGACTAAAACATTCAAGTAATAATCAACGGAGGATTGAATTTTCATTTGCTTATTTTAATTATCTATTGTGGGACATCCATGAATAAATGAGAATTTTCTCGCAAAAAAGTAAACAAATCTATATTTTTCAAACACATCTTGTAAAGCTTGCTTAAGTATTACCGGCATCATGAGGCGCTGTCTTTTTCCAACTTTCTCAAGACCGTCTCGGGCTGCAAGAGAATTGAAATAGACTATGAGTTCGAAAATTAATATGAACAAGTTATACTTTAAAAGTAGCGTTAATTTATAAAAAGTAAATAATAATAGGTATTTAAAAGTGAGATTAGGTTGAAATTAATGGTTAAATCGATAAGTGGTGACATACTGTACCACGATTCTCGAAGCACCAGTAATTCAAGTTGCAGCGACTAAGATTCCAGGAGCTTCAACGTCTATTGACAGCCTTACGGTCGCGCGCTTGCAACACCTCAACTTCATTAGACGTTGACTTGTGATAAAAATAACTAATAAACATCGGAATGAATTAAGTTTTCCTACCACGTTTCCCGACTACAGCTACGTTCCACCAATTAAGAAACTAACCTATCATTTTCCGTGATAAAATCAAAGAAACACCTATTGGGAAATTTACGACTAGTCTACTTTCTTCATTATGACGCTATTATTGTTTGGCGCTGACGCAAGGCATAAAGCCTCATATTAGATTATCTCAAATCAAACCGTACTCTAGGTCATTTATATTAATATTCAGTAAATGTATTCCCATACCAGAAAAGGATCACGCTCTATTCGTTCAGCAATGCTGGAACCAAAATATCGACTTCCAGAAACTATGCCGATATAGTTATTTAAGTCATCCATTACCTGCTCAGCTCGCTTTCAAAAGGAGTCTGATTATTCAAGGTACCAATTTACCGTTTTTCTCGAGACATTAAGTCTTGACTATAATTTCATAGTTAGGTCATGGTCTAACCCTTCGTCAACTGACATGGTTGATGTCGTCACATAATCGTCTGAATAACATTGACGACCGTTAATTTATGCGTAGACCAAGCATTAACATCTACTGTCATATCCTTCAGTCCGGCTCTTTAACAAGCCAAAATTAAAAGCGGCTATAATACGTGGCATACACTCGAGCCTTTGAATCTCTAGCTCCTGACGACAAATCATCGTCACGTAGAACTTTAAAGGGAAAATACTGCTGATAGTGTTTTCCAGTAATGATGTAAATGCATGGAGACAAGGTGGAACATAAGAAGTGCAAGTAAGCCTAGTACTCTCGGCCACGGATTAATTCTTCAGTAGCCACGGAAATTCTTACATCTGAATTATTTAACTCAGAAGTTACCTACAAGGCTTCGATGGCAACGTTCATTTCATGATGAAAGGTTGAAACAAGAGCAGATAATCATATAAATTTTTTGAGTGGATCTTCATAGACAGAAGCACAATCCGTTCGTGGAAAATTATTCAAGTTAAAATACTTCAGACGAGCATACTGAATAACCGCGATCGAGTACTACCTGAATTTAATTTTTTGTAATAAAATTCAAATCTATGGTAGTTAATAATTAATTCATATGCAATCACTTTAATCCGGCTCTTAAAACAATGACGGAGTTTTAAAACATGGATCCACCGGTCAAAATATTCAAACGAGTTGCACAAAGTTGGAAATTCAATCAAAGAAATGAAAGACGTGTTAGACTAAACCATCGTATAGATTATAGAGCGTGTCAAAAATTGAACTTTGCAATATAAGGAAAAAACATTTTAGTTATTATATTAACTCTGAGCTAAAACTTACGGAAACAAACCAGTACGAGTTTGGTCTGAAGATGATACGAGAGATGAAGCCTAACTGCGATACGGGAGCGATGGCGTGGAGGTGCAGGTGCTGGATGCTGGTGAACGGCGGCCAGTGGAAGCCGAGGCGCAACTCTTCCTCCTCCTTTACTCCCCTCTCATGCACCAGCTGCCGAGCCAACGCCACCATCTGCTCCACTGCACCGTCATGATGAGTTGATCAACAATAACAGGCGCTGGCAGCACCCAAGCGCTTATGGCGTTTGTAAATTACCATCTAACGTTTCTTGGTTGGACTTCATTCTTTAACAAATACGGCAGTGATAAGATCACTATGTAAATTTAATTTGAATAATTATCGATTCGTAGCTAATGAGATGAGTACTTTGTGGTGTGATTTCACTGTAAAAAGAAAACGCAAAAGGGATAGAAATAGCTGGACTTAATTGACTCAAGCAACTGGACTCGTTCACTGGACTGAACCTGCACAACTCCGCGGATAAAAAAGGAAACTGAAATTAGGCACTTGGCAATGAGTGCTTCCTTACATGTAGGAGCCCAATGCTTGCCGAAAATTAATGACTGTATATTATATTTCATTTCAGGTGCATATTAGACAGATACTATACGATAAAGTGCAAAATTTCTTGTGATTCTTTCATTTATGCTCGTGAGCTCTATTTCTCTTCATCAGTAGATAGAGGGACAACAATACCATGGAACACAGGCTCTGTGTTGACTCCGATACAACTAAGCGGAAGACGAACGATAGGTTGCCATTATTCGAAATGTCTAGCCCAGCCAGCCCGCTTCAAAGCCTTATTCTCTTTAGATAAAATTTTTTTTAAGTACTAACGAGGTATCTTGAAAACCATCAGCCATAGAAACTTGGGCCAAAAATAAAAATGAATTACGAGCTTCAACTCCGTATATACAGTGAACGTGGCCAATACTAGTCGTATCTGTACCCTGGTAAATCGGGTATGTACGGACAATTAGAATAATTCATAATAATTTTCTAGCAAACTTTGTCCATCCATTCCAGTGCATCCATATTACCAGACAATCTTCCGTCTCTAGTTCTGTCACGGTACAACAAAATATATTGTAATGCATCTGTGAGGACAAGCTCACCCATGGGCTTGTGCTGCGGTGTCAAGACTGAGGCAGAGGCCACGTGTTGTCTGGGTATGACAAGCAGGTGGTGAGCTGCTGCCGGCCGTAAATCGCAGAACGCCACAAATTCGTCATCCTGCTCAATGTTTATCAGGCTCATTGTTTACATTCAATATACAAATACATACTATATTTAACACATATTCGATAGCTTATATTACGAATCTTGCTCCACACTCACCGTGTGCACCAGTTCTGATTGCTGCGAACCGTCAGCTATCTTACAGAAGACGCATTTGTTTCTTGTAGCGTGATCGTCCATAACGAGTTTCCAGGGGACCAGAAATCGACGAACGATCACCCTACGAAAGGGTAAAACCTCCGTTCTGGCCAAATTTTCTAATGAATATATTTTTCTGCGGGATTATTTATTTATAAATTAAAATCGTCTCAATGCACACAAATAACAGTGAAGTACAAGCGAACATAGCAGTTAACAATACAGCTAAACAGAATGCTTCCATTTGATATTGCTAGGATATATAAATTATATCCAGGAAACACTTGTTATTCTTCGGGAAGCAAGAAAGCAGGGCGGTCTTCTCATCCTTAACTTGTAATCTCACAAAGGTTGATGGACATAATTCCGGTTGACATTTTTTATTCGCAGTAAACTCACGAGTAAATTGTTCTATTTTAAATGCAGTCTGCTATTAACTGTTTGTTTATCAAATGTGAAATGGACTAAGTTCGCAACATAATTAAAGATTGTACAATGATGGAATTGGACAATAAAAAATCAGCTCGTGAAGTAATAATATATACGACTGAGATCTCGCTGGCATATGGACTATTCAATTGAAATTGGGTTATGGATTACTGAAATAATGATAAATTACCACTCAACTGAATCGAATTCCAGGCATCAACAACGCTCTGAGTTATGAATAAGTATTTATAGGTAAGAATAAGAAGAGAAAATTTGTGTTTTCAAAGAATGACGATAGGCACCCATTATGACAATGAATATCTTTGTGTAACATTCTGCATTGCGTTCATAACATCGCCACACAGTACAACCAAGAGGTAATCGCCACTTCCATACGCGATTCATCAGACTATAAATTTTAGCCGCGGGCTCAACTGGATGTTGCCTTACAATAAATTTGATCAAAAGATAGGTTCGGGGGAGGCTTTGTATTCCCCTAGTAAGAGGTTTGCTCTTACCCCCTGCGAGTAAATCAAAAACACTAAACAACTGAGCTCTTTATTGCTTCAAGCTCTTAACTATTCTACTACATAACACGAGTTACACATTTATTGAAGTCCTAGTGCCAATGCAACATATTAGAACCGTATAGAGAAAATCTTAAAAATCGTAATTAAACCTAGAAAATACAATAGCTATAATAAAAAGTAAAGAGCAATACTATTGCATTGACAAGACCATACGCAGATTTGTCACTGCTGCAGCAAAACTAGCATTTTGCTTCAAGCGATGGTCAAAGATAATATCAATATAACAAAGATGATAAAAAATCATAAAATTGTTGTAACATCAGATAACTAATCTTACTATGGTAGCATATACTATAAAATGTTACAACCTCGAGAAAAATTGTGTAACTGCATCTTGTCTGAAAAATCAAATAAATAATTTCAATGAACTCCTACAATTTTGGCTAAGCCAAAAAAGCCAACAAGCCAAATACCTCCAAGACTTTTGAAATTTCCCATACAAACTAATGCACAATTTAACCACTGTATGCTCTAGTCAAAGTCCATTGAATGTAGTTTGAAGGAATTTGCATAATACATTATTTTTGGACAAGTAGAATTGTTGTTGTTGTTCGCCCTCCCCGTCCCGCGACAAATGCGGGACGGGGCCTACACCCATTCCTGTGGCCAGCCCAACCTCTCTCCCCAGCGCGCCAACAGCCCCGCCGCCTCGATGGGAGAGCTCCACAAAACCAGAGGCGACACGGGCGCGACCAGCTCCGAGCAGCCGAATAGGTGGTTGGTGTTGTGTACATCTTCGTGACAGAGTGGACAAAGGGGGGATGGATGTGTGACTGGATCTATCTTGTGTAGGTATTGGTGTAGTAGGGGGGACTTGTTTGTACGGAGTTGTGCTAGTGCTCGACGTGAGTGTCTGGGTAATTGGGTTTCTGAAGAGTCTATGGCTGGTGCTGGTGCAGAAAGTACATCATTGTTTGGTAGATTGTCTATGTAGTTAGTTGTGATTGTAGTGTGTATTTGTTTCTTGCTTCTGTTTAGAGTTTCTGTTGTGGCTTGATCTGGTTCTATGAATATGTTAGTGGTGTAGTTTCTGTTTGTGAAAACTGTTTTTTCATAAGTCAGGGTGGGTTGTAAGGTTGAGTATGAGTGTGAAGTGGGTGGGTCGATGCTTGAGCTTTTAGTCTGAGTTGATATGCGTGGAGTCTGAGGTGCTGGTCTATTGGAAGTATTTTTGTTTCTGTGTGTAGATGGCTTTGGTTAGTATCAGCTGTACAACCTGTTGCAATGCGGAGTGCTGTGTTTTGGATTGTTTGTAGCTTATTTGTGCGAGTTTGTGCTAGACTAGGTGACCAGATGGTGCTGGCGTATTCTATTATAGGTTGTGTTATAGTTTTGTAGGTTGTGAGTAGGACTTCTTTTTGTTTTCGTGAGTGATTTTTAGAATTTTTATTGTTTTAGTTGCTTTGTCATGTGTGTTATGGATGTGGGTATTAAAGTTTAGTTTTGGGTCGAATGTGATTCCTAGTATTTTCGGGTGTGTGATGGTGGGAACTATGGTACTGCCTATGGTAAGGTTTAGCGTTTTCCTGTACTCAGCAGGGTCAGGAGTGAAAAGTGTGGCTGTACTTTTGGATGCGTTTAATTGGAGGTTGTTTCTGATAGTCCAGTTGTATATCTGTTGTAGAAATGGTTGTATATGTTGTTCTGCAATTTTGTAATTGTGGTGTGATGAGAAGATGGTAATGTCGTCTGCATAGGTAATCATGTGTACGTCTGTGGGTGTATTGAAAAGTGTATAGCCTTTTCTTCCTTTTATGTAGTTGGATATGTATTTTGTTAATGTTGGAGGAATTCGTATTGTTGAGAGTTTGTCTATTAACTTGTGTAGGTTTACTGTGTTGAATGCTTCGGACATGTCTAGTGCTATTGCAATGGTTCGTGAAGGTGGTTGTTTCTGATTGAATCCGCGGGTAATATGTTGGGTAAGTGAGTGTAGGGCTGTGACTGGGGAGTGATTTCCCTTGAAATCATGTTGGTGAGCTATTTGTGGAATGAGAGGTTGAATGATGTTGAGTATGATTATTTTTCTAGTGTTTTGGAGATTGGACTGAGGAGTGATATTGGTCTGTAAGAAGAACCTATGGATGTGTCCAAGGTTCTTCGGTGTTGTACATAGGTACAAGTAGAATTCTCTATGCATATCTTTGGCCAGGACTAAAATGCACCAAGGACTAGCAGAAAGGAAGCATCCCCGTCCTGCAACAAGAAGAGTTGTACAGTATTATTAAACTGGATTAAACAATAACGTTCCAGAGAGCAGCATTGTCAGGTGTTCAACTATAATAGGTATATGCAATTCTGTCAACCTAAATCTTATGGAAAGAGTGCAAAATTGCCAACAAGAATCTTTTGGAATATTAGGTATGATTTTATGAAAGATCAGGCAATAGTTTTGCATAGGAAGATTAGTAATTAAAAAATAATAAAAATCTATCGACTAATAACATTCCACTCTGAAGATTTTATACAATAACGGTCATACAGTATGTACCTCATTGCTGATAACAAATTTGCTCAATGTCCTTACTTGAAGAATTACCAGACTTAATTCATGAAATTTGTAGTCAAAGATACAAGCAACTGATTGTATAGAGTGCAAAAACATTCAAATTCCCCATTTGTTTACTCATCAAGATGTGTGTAAATTTTGCATAATTATATAATTAATTTCATGTCTTATTTCATTTTACAAGGTTTTTCCTAATTCAGGTACCTTTTATTCATCAAGGTACCAACGCACACAAACTTCATAAACTCCCTTAAGGGCAAATGCAAAGAACACTCATGAAAAAAAAAATTTTTTGACTGCTTTCTTTCAAACATACAACACAATAGTGACAGGTATATACCTACAATTACTGTAAATTATTTCTTCCATTTCAATACTAACATCAGTTAGTATAGAAATCAAAGTATCAAGTAGTATTAAAAGGGAATTAGATATTCATACTAGACTTTTTACCTGGTAATAACAATTATAAATTCTTAGTAGTCATCATCATCATCAGAAGGAACAAAAAGTTCATTTTCTTCAAGGAAGCTTGCAATGTTTTTGCTCATCCAAGCACCAGCACTGATGCCTGTGATGACTGCAGCAGCAACACATGCATAACCTAGAATTAAAGAAATATATATATATATATATATGATTTGCTTCAGATTTATTTGCACTCAATTAGTAAATGAAAGGCAATTGGTTTTGCAAAATTACTAATACCTTGGTGAAATACTCATATATATTCAAATAATTTCTCTATCAGGAAGGCATAAATGTCTTGCTTTGTCCCATACATATAACAACATAAAAATTTCAATTTCCTGAACCTAACCAAGTCAGGCTGACTGAGATGGATCAATTAGATCAAAGTCCAGGAGTTATAGTGTTGCAGCAATCAGTGATTTTTCAGCAATCTTATATGTTGGAACTTGGAAAAGTATCAGTTGATCTTATATTGAGCATTTCAAAAATCTAATTTTCATCAATCAAATTGTGCTGCAGTAAGAAAAGAGTACTACCAAAAACGAAGAGAATCTTAGTCAGTTAGTCTACAGATAACATAGCTAATATATGTTTTTTTTCAAATCCTACCCTTCCTTTCAAAATAGTCTTGCTCTTGACATCTGTCTAGTATGACAGATGCCAAGTTTATAGTCTTGTTTTGGCATCTATGCATAAAAAGAACCACTCAAACTAAAATATTGATGCAGCATATTAAATATGAAAGAGGAAATCCTTTCAATCAAATTGAAATTAATGCCAATGATTAAAACTAATCTTACTTGTCATTTTTGACTGATGAGGCTTGTCCAGCACTGCATCAGTAGGAGAGAATGTGGTTCTCATAGACGAATTGATCATGAGGTTGCGAGATTGTGAGAAGCTCCCAAAAACTCTGGGAATTTTATTGAGGAGCAATGCCATACTGTGAGGCAGGTAAAGTACTTGTTCTGAAAAGAATGAGATTTAAATTTCCTTAACAAAAAAAGACATCAACACAGTAACATTTGGCCAGTTTAACTCTTTAATCTGTATTCAGAGCTTCATAGGACAGAATACCTACAAAGGATATTAGTTTTATTTTTTCAGCTTTTTTTGTATTTTTTGAAATGTTATTTTTTATGTTGCCATTAGCCTAATAACAATAACAGTATATGGATGGCTAAAAAGGGAAGTTATTGCCTTCAAGAATGGACAAGGTGGTGTTTACCACTTTGGAACTTTTGGGTAAACAATTATTGATAAGTCTATTCATTAGCTTTGTAAAGTTTGTATGGAGCAAGGTACCAAGCTAAATATTGACCATTTAATTGGCTTCAATATACAACAGTGAACAACACTTCAGGAATGCAGATCTTCTAAACATTGAACTTGATTGAAGAGTCACGTAACAGATAAGTAGCTGATAGCACAGTGCACAATGCTATCAATAGATTTACTAGTTTTATGTCCTATAAATCTATCAGACTCTACCCTCTAAACCAGTGGTTCCCAAACTTTTTCAGGCTGGCGCCCCCTTTGGCTCCCTAGTGAATTTCTAGCGCCCCCCCACAGACATACGCCTCTTTCTTGAAATTTAGTACACTGCAATTTTAAAAGATAAAGGTTCAACACAAATGTGTATTTCACAAATAGAACCCCGTTTAGTGAACCAACATGTTTTTCAGCTGTTTTAACTGTTTCAGCACTAGAAACCTAGGACGTCTTTGGCAAATTTACGGCCAAACTCATGGCCGGTCTCACGACCAATTTCCAAATTCAATTATCAAGTAATATCTCCCAAACTAATGAACGCAGATTTATGAAACTTGGAACACGTATTCATCAGAACCTAACGGTGATGTTTAGTTTGTATTTTTTTTTCAATTGCACCTTCATTTGTGAGTTGCGCATATATTGCAAAACAGGCCAAAATTCGCAGTGATCAAAGACTTTCTTCCAAACTATTGAACGAAATTTTGAATATACATTCCTTACTACCAAACGGTAATTTTTAGGCTTAATTTTTTTTTTGATTTTACCATCGTTTGTGAGTTTTTTTCTTATTTCACCGTCATTCTCGATTTCATACTCCCATATATTTGGCCCGTATCGCCGGATAATTTGTCACTTTAATTAGCGGCGATCAAGAAATTTCTTCTAAACTACAGAACAGATTTCAACGAAACTTTGTATATAAATACCTAACCTCTCAACGGTGATGTTTAGCCCGTGTCAATTTTATATTTTGCTTTCGTTCGCAAGTTAACCAGAAATAGGAGGAACGACCGGCTTTTCTACCGGCCGATTCAACCAAGAGCCTAATATACGTATAGTCGTATAACTCGCAAACGAAGGCAAAACAAAAAAATTGTAAACATCACTGTTGCTGAGGTTAGGTATTTAAATACTAAGTTTCGTTCAAATCTATTCAGTAGTTTGAAAAAAAATTTCTTGATTACTGCAAATTTAAGCACGTATTGCTGTTTAAATCACGAATAAAGGTGGAATGAAAGAAAAAACTCGCAAACGAAGGCTCGGTCGAAAAAATTTTCATGAGCTAAACAATACCGTTTGGTAGTTAGGACTGTAAATTCAAAATTTCGTTTGAATCTGTTCAGTAGTTTGGAAGAAATTACTTTATCACTGTGAAATTTGGCCCGTATTGCCATATCACTAGGCAAAAACAAACGATGACAGAATTCAAACAATTTTCACGAGCAAAACATTATCGTTAGGTCCTAATGAATACGTGTACCAAGTTTCATCAAGTTAAGTTCATTAGTTTGAGAGATATTCCTTGATCATTGAATTTGGAAATTGGCCGTGAGACCGGACGCGAGTCCGGCCGCTAATTTGTTCGAGACGTAAACCCAGGAGAGGTTAAAAACAGATCTGGGTGAAAAAAACCAATGCTGGGAGTCATGTGATGCACGTGTTATGTACAAATCGTCAAACTAAAGTTCGAACTTATGACATTGACTTCGGATTACCGCCCCCCTATCGCCCCCCTATCACCCTCTTCTTCCTTACCGCCCCCCAAAATCTTTCCACCGCCCCTAGAGGAGTGATATCACCCACTTTGGGAACCACTGCTCTAAACATACCAACTAGTACCTAGTGACTGCGTGACTGACTGCACTGTTCTCATTTGATTCAGACCAATTAACCAATACTAAACATGAACTGAATGACAACCAAACAAACCTCAAACGACTCGAAACAAGACTTATGTTATGAAAAAAGCTAATACTGTTTGAAATAAACATGTAAACAATTCAAACATTTCATTTCCATTCACTGCATTTAATTATTTTGTATACAGTTTTATCATTGTAATTGTTTTATTTCTAGTTATAAATTCACATATTTAAGATTGAATAAAGAAAGATTAATAAGATTGAAATTAAATATTTTAATTAGAATACTCATATTAGAGTGGAAAATCTTTCTAAATGCTTAAAAAGGTCAATACAATCTCAACCAACTCTTCTTATATAAGCTAGCTAACACATGGAAATTGTATAATGTGATTAATATATAACAAATAGTCAAATAGTTAAAGACTACTTATAGCCTTATAAGAATGAGCTAAGCTGCTAGAGTGCTAGCTACGTTATATGTGCAATGTATTGCAACACTTGATGGCTGATGCCTCTGTACCAGTACCAAAAACATACAAAACATTAGAATGTAATACACACTAAGACTAAAGGAAATGGCTTTATATTCCAATTTGTCATAGTACATTTATTAATTTATTATTTATACTAAACCATGAATAACAATACCTCAAAATAAATTGAAGACTGCCACACAATATATTATAATATATATAAAAAAATAAATAAAAATGAAGTGATCTAATCAAATGATTTGATCAGTAGCCTATGACCAAATCATTGCCAACCCTGGCACAAGACTGACAAGAGGAAGATGATATCTAACACATTTTAATGACATGACTCCAGTCTCCAGTTAGCCTAGCTAGGTATTTGAATGATCTTACAACAATTTCCTTTCAGCATCCTCAAAGGCTCAAAATACAATTAAGTAAAAAGCCTTAGTAAGTTAGTAGAGGAAATGAGCCAATATGAAGATCATTCAAAATACTATTTGTAATTTTGGAAATAGCCTAGGGCTAGAAGCATTGTCTGCCACTGGCCACTGCCACTGCGGCACTGCCACTGTGCCAGCTGATATTAGGCTAAATAAATTTCCTGTTGAAAGTCATTAAGTCAATAGAATGCCAATTATTTTCACTAAATAGTTAACCTATTAACCAGTCATTTTGCCATTGCAATCCAATTTGGAAAATCAGATAGAAGTTTCTTAAAATGACAGGCAGGTAAATAGCTACAATTTTCTCGCAAAGACGCAACTTCGCAAGCTGAGCAAGGGCCCTTGCAAATTACAATCATTACAATGGTCAACTAAGCCCAATGGTCCGTCCCCATGGTCTCATCGGCCATCGCAACCCCTTCTAGAACATGTGGAGTTTCGAAATTGATATAATTAAATCAGTAAAGATTTGAACTTAGAAATTCCTTATTTACTTATTTAATTAATCAGTCTGCGACTCTGCGTCGGTGTCAGCTGACTGCAGACCGACGTCAGACTCGGACAACTGTCCGCTTGGCCGGCTTGGGCTTGGCTCGCTGTTATGCTCGTCAGTTGTTTTCCTGTCTAAAATCTCCAACTTTAGTAAACGGCATCAATATGGTAAAATGATATGATGCTGTAGCAAGATGTCGTGCCCAATAGTAGCAAAAACTAAAGTGTTACATAGTGATTTATTTCTTTGAATGACGTTGAACTTTGATGATGATATAAGTCCCTTATAGCTTGAACTAAGCTCTGGGTTTTACCTTTAGTTCATCTATATACCTAGTTTAAAAAGAAAATCACAGTGCACTAAATTCATGCGCTGTATCGTCGCACATATTTTTTTACTTCATCATGGTAAGCCGTTGAACTACCATTTATTTTTTTGCTGAACATTTTCACAAAAATAAGAGAGAGATGTGAAATAAAAAATATACATAGCACTTTAGTTAGCCCAGAATGTCGGTGATAAAGTGCAAAAATCTATGCTATTAATTGTTTATAAACTCGTTTTAATAGCAAGAAAGACTTCTTATAATACAGTTATGAAAATTGTTCGTCACACAAAAATAATAAGGAATGAACTATAATCGTCCGGGAATGTTTCTGTTGCACAACTGATAATGTAACAGTAACTGATAATGTAAGAGCAACTGATAATATCGAAAGTATTTAATTTCTAACCTTTTCTTTATTTTCATTTAAAAGTTTTTCTCTGTCTAGGCTAACCTTTGGTTGCCATGGTAATCGAAGAGGAGGGAACGACGCGACACAGTGCATGAAATTACGGTGCGCAGAATAACTGGTAGCCGTCCTCTTGAGTCGTGTGTTCTCCATTTTTCATCAATATCATGGTATGTATCACGAAATTTTTGTCCATAGTTCTAACGATGAATAATTTTAGTCATGAAAAACATGAGGGTTTAACACTGCCAATGCCGAATAATTGAGATTCAGGTTTAAAACGTTGCAATAATTAGGTGCATGTAGCAAAAAAATATAATAAACAAATTTAAGTACAAATATAATTTACTCAATAGACAGGAGCCAAAAAGAAAAGTGAAAAGGGAGGGAAGAGTAAAAAAGGCGCCAAAAAGAGTGGAGGTAACCGCAGCCAAATCATTCTTGATGGTGTACCTCTGGCAGCGATGACTCGTGATCAGCTGGAAGGTCACGTTTCCAGGTGATAATAAGCTACCAGTACAAGATTAATAATGCCTAGTATTAGTGATAGTATCATTATTTTAATCATCAGATGATCATTACAGCTCATATACTGCTAGGTATTTAATTAATGACATCAGTAGAAAATTATTGGTATTTTGGATGATCTTATGAAGCAAGATGAAAATTAATTTTAGTAAAAACACGTTAAATGTTGAATGTTTGTCCCGATTATAATGGAGTTGATGACCAAAGAGACATCTGATTGGGGCTAGGGAGCGATAGAGCGTGTAATAAATACCTATATTTTAAGGAATATATTACATTATTGAGATTAACCGGTAGTATAGTCCAATCTATTTATATAATTTAATGCACAGTGTGTAACTATATAGAGTCTACTAAGTATAAAATATATAAAAAAAATTTTAAAGACCACGTTTTTCATGTGGACTCAAAAGTAGAAAATAATTTTTATGATTATTGTATTGTTATCGGGAGCTGAGCTTCCCTAAAAGTTTCAGAGCGCTAGCTAATGGGAAAGTTGGTGAAATATTGATTGCAAGATTTGATCATCACAGACACGTAAGTGAGCTAAGAAAAACGTGGTAATAATAAAAAATACGTATGAAAATTAAATTAATGTTAGCTTATTAAATATCACTGAAATAACTGACATCGAGTTGATGTCGATTGAGTTACGTTAAAATCCAGATGCGGAACCTTACACCAATTAATAAAGTTTCTGTTTCGGGAAGTGGGCACTGGTAAATGGTGTAATGAAATATAATAAAGTGAATGGCACTGTCCGTAGTACTAGAATGGATATCAATGCGTGTGGTAATAAGGTGAATAGCAGCTCGTTTAGTCATACAGTGTATAGCATTGTATCTAGCAATATGTAACGATGCATAAACAAATTACATCGTCACAACAGTACATGTAGTAATAACGTAACAAAGTAATGTGGTACGGGAGCGAGGCTGCGTCAGGAGCTGGACCGGGAGCGAGAGGAACGAAGCTTCGTGCAGCTCGAGCTGGAGCGCACGCACCGCCTGTGGGAGGTGGCGACACAGTCCCTACTGCACGAGACCAGCAAAGCAAGGTACTGCGTAGTCATTACTTCAACGATGATAGTTCAATTGTTAATGAAAGAATAATTTTTATTTCAGGTATACGCACGAAAATTTATCGGTACAAGTTTGTTTTCATCTGATCGGTAATATCGCGCAACCTCAGCGTGCAGATTTTATGGTTGCTCGTTGAATTATATTATCTTTCTTTAGGGGCTTGCATGTGCGTAACTCTCAACTTCAAAACAACATACGGCTTCATAGAAGAACGTTCACTTCAGAAATTGTATGAAACCCAATGCTTATGTTAATTGATTGAGACTTTAACAATGCCATGTATTTGTATGTAATAGTTAGCACATTTTGGATTATTTAATTTACGCACTATCTGAGGATACCATCCCATTTGAAATCTCGACCGATATGAGACCCAATCCCATTATAAGTTTATAACAAAATGTGATCGAAATGCTTTATGTAGTTTGGTCAGTTCCTCGCAACATGCACGACACCGTATGATATTTTTCAAACGGATTTAGTGCATTAAGGCTAAATACTTCTGGCGAGAGCGTTAATCTTAGTATTATTGAACCAAGGTTGAAGGACGCAGAGATGGCGGCTGCGGAGGAATATCACCAGCAGCAGATCAAGGTGCTGCAGCACAAGATGAAGAATGTCATCGGAGAGCACCAAGACACGCTCGCTGATTTACAGGTGAACAGTAATTTAAACATTTAGTCACGTCATCAATTCAAAATTAGCAAAGCATACAATAGTGATGTCGGCGCTGACCGCTGAAGAATAGGCCTGATGAGATCTTTCGCCGATTCTTGTACTCTTCTTGACTTGTCCACAGGAGATCTAAATAGAATAGAATAGAAGTGTCGGAACTGAAGAAATAGGCCCATGGCATGTAACCGATTCTTGTACTTTTCGTGACTTAATTCATAAGGGATCCGGCCTTTGGAACCCGATATTTCCATAACTGATGATTGATTGAGATAGCTGCTGGACTTATTGCCTGTGGTCCGTAAGGTGCTAGGCATTTTAAGACTGAACATATGTATCTGCACAGCTTCGTCTAGTCCGTTCTTTAGGGCGTTCATGCTCGGGGTACGCAGCCGTGCACCACTAAATTCGTGCACCAATCAGCCTTGAAAGGAACGCCTAGCATATTTCTAGATGACCACCAATCAGCCGCGGATTAAGCCATCCGTCACCACTGAACGTTGCATCGAATCATCACTTCATACCCTGACTTTAGCTTGAACTGTAACTTGCGGACAACGGACTGCGACCAACCAGTCCAGGTCGCCAGTGGAACTGTATGCATCCTGCAGTGCCGTGCACCACTAGACCGTCAATTTTAGCTCAACATCCGGGGTTAGGTTTCAGAAAGCATAGTTCTGTTCCAAACTCTATCGTCCGCCGGCGAGTGACTTCCGCAGCTTCGCTAAATTACGCAACTTTTAGCTCACAGCATCTGGGGTTAGGTTCCAGATAGCATAGTTCTGTTCCAAAATTTATGGTCGTACGACGCGTGGCCGTTCGACCGTGGGCTGATTCGACACACGGGACAGATACGGACGGCTCCGGCGCGCTCCGTCCGGGTGGTGTAAAATTTTTACGCGTATTGGCAGACGACGCTGGGCCATACGACGCCAGGCTTATTTTCTTGTGGGCTGATTGATCTAATTCAATGGATGTGATCTGTCTGATGGCGTGCGGCTGATAATGTCACAGTCAAGACGTGTTGTAGGCTACGTTCTTCAGGGAAGGGATCTTGATAGTCCATTCGAAGCACGGCAGTGGTGGTCTCCGACAGGCGTCCCGTCATCCGGAAATATGCTAGGCGTTCCTTTAAAGGCTGATTGGTGCACGAATTTAGTGGTGCACGGCTGCGTACCCGGGAAGGTTGTTCAACATGTCAGTGATTCGAAGCGAGAAGGAATGTTGTCGCGTGGATGAGTTGCAAAGCAGTTTTTTGTTATTGCCGTGGCCCTTGGTGTTGGTTCTTGTTTCAAATTGTAGTAATCCTTCCAGGATTTTGCATAAACCATGAATATACTTGTTCACTTCAATTAGGTAGTCAATTGAAAAAAGGCCGAAAGCCGACCGTTATCATGTTCCAAAACTACATTCTCGAGGGTGGTGGTAGACGGAGCTTGGGACCGATCGAGGATTTCAGCCGGTGGTCGTGAATACCACTTCGCCGCACTGTTAAGTAGAGCGGTTCGGACAGGTTTTTCTCTGAGCGGTTCGGACAGTGTGAAACAAATGATCGTATGAAGTTATCCACATTACATTCAACCCTACTAACGAACACTTGGCATGGCTGCAGGTGGCTGGTCAAAAAACTCTTGGCAGTTTACGAGAGGCCAACCAGCGAGAAGAAGCCATGACGATGAAGCAGCTGCAAGAAGTTCACGATAAGATGGCCGAGTCCGAAGCCCGCTACCTCACCACCATTGCCAACCTCAAAGTGGTGAGCAGTTATGATGCAGGTAATGCCATAATTTCTTGTACGGATATTAATTTTTAGCGCATTTTATCATAGATGAAAAAATGCACTATTGTGCTCGCAATGTCCGTCTGTCTGTCTGTCCGTCCGTGACTTCACGTTTTCGTCGACGAGAAAATGCGCTATCTGTCACTCACTGCAGTGAGTACCGAGTTTTTTTTTTTTTTTTTTTGTCAGGTGTACCTCGGCATTTTCTTCATTGATTACGATATAAATTTTCATAACCAAGTTATGTTTTTTTAACTCCAGCGCCACAATATTATTAATAAAGCAAGGCAAAATGAATTGCTACTAATAACTACTCCAGGCCCAGGCTCGGGAACTGCAAGAAGAAAGAGAGAAACTCCGAGCTGAAGTTGCAGCCATTAGCAGGAAACACGACGCGAAACTCGAGGACCTCACAGAGCAACTCGAACTCAAATGCAAAACAGAACTCGAACTGCAGGTCAGATAGTGAAATATGACAAGAATATGGAGTATTCTCTTAAAGTTCGTCCCAAATATACCTCCAGCTTATTATTTGCCATTTTTAGTGGATCTGTTAAAAGCATCTTATTGAACAGAATTAGACAGTTTCATAATCAATAATTATAACATCTTTATTGCAGGAGGCGCGAAAAAATAAGTTCCTGGAAGAAGTGCTGGAAACACAGAAGGAGCGGATCATGCAACTGAAAGAATACTACACAGAAGTTACTGAATCAAATACCGCGGAAATTGAACGACTCCGGGTAATTTGAAGCTATTGCGAGCGTGTGAAAATGGGGAGAGGGTATTGAACGACAAAGAGTGAATCGAAGCAATTGAAAGCGTATGTCGGTATGAGCATATTGAACGAATCGAGGTGCTTGAAATGATTAGGTGATAAAATGTTGGTAAAATTGAAACATTTATTTCTAGCCTCAGGAGAAAATAAAACGTGCCTTTCACCACAGACTGCATTTTCGTAAATTAGAGCAATCTAAGCAGGTGTGAATTTATGATTGTTTACTAACTAATTATGGAAATATTTTAAATGAGAAATTTATAGGATTTGCTGAGTGTCTCTAAAAACAAGACAAAGGATAAACATCGCTAACAATTATATCGATTTTTCCCGACCGACGTACACATAAGTAAGATCATCTTATTTTACGGGCTTATTTTTGAGGGGGAAATGTTTACTTTGTTGTTCTGTTCCTTATGTCAATGCAAAACTGCAGCAGCTTTCAAGCATTTGTTACTTGAACAGGCTAGCATAGAGGAGCAGGCATCGCGGGAGGGTGCTGTGGAGCGACGCATCGCCGCAGTAGAGGAGGAGCGGTCGCGCCTCCGCGTCGAGAACCAGTCCTTGCTCCAGAAGGTGGCAGACTCCAGCAGGGCGCAGCAGCGCTCACAAAATCTCGAGCAAAATCTCAAGGTGGTGCCGAGTATTGTTAAAAAGATACAAGTCCGGAACCTAATTTGAGAAAAATAATGGACGTTTGAATTAGGGAAACGTGGTGATTTTTTAACGACGTTTGAATTAGGGAAATTCACACTAGTCACTTGGGCCAATACTTGAAGAGCGAGGACATTATAATTATACACCGGGGTTAGCTTTGATATGCCATGTTCATGATGTTGGCCTGTGACCAATTCTTCCACCTCAATGGGTGAATTTAGTATAACTAATTGCAGGCTTCGAACTCCCATGCTCCAATTTTGGCGACCTAAACCATTCGGCCACCCATGAACAGATAGTGTTTACGGTACCACAGAGCAGCAGCCGCCGCGTCAAGCAGCTGACGGCCGAGAAACAGGAGCTGCAGTGCACGCTTGAGACGCTCGTGCAGAAGTCGGAGCAGGTATTACTTTAAATTAATTTAGTTTTTAACACGTTTTTCTTAGCTTAGCTTCGCGTTTGTTTGTTTGTTTGTTTATTTGTTTGTTTGTTTGTTTGTTGTTAACATTGACAACGAAAATTAGCCCACTTCTGATTGCTCTAGAGATCTGAAATTCGGCATGCAGGCTATTTTCGCCTAACAATTTCAGATACAATCATAAAAACTAGCAATTAGAGACCTAAATTAGCTTAATTGAGTAAAGTATATATATATAGTATGTATATATTTATATAGTATACGCAGCGCTGACGCTGCGTATCATCGATACGTACGTGAAGTCAAGTAAATTGGCTCGCAACAACGTTTTCATGTGTAGCAAATAACGGACTAAAAAGGAGAAAATAAAATACTTTAAAAAAACTTTTTAAAAAACCACGTTTTTCTTGTGAACTAAAAAATAGAAAATAAATTAGGGCTCGCCCCAAAAAACGTGGGTCGGGCTGTACGTTCACCATCAAATTTCCAAAATTCGTGTGTTGTGTGCTTTCGCTTTAATCATAAATCTGCCCGCCACACGTTTTTTGGGGCGAGCCCTAATTTATTTTCTATTTTTTAGTTCACAAGAAAAACGTGTTTTTTTTGAAAGTTTTTTTAAAGTATTTTATTTAGAAAATCAATCGAAACTCGAACTTTTAAAAAAGGTTAACTGACTGAAATTTCTAACGGAATGTCAGGCGTCATTTGAAAAACACGATCTTGAATAGAGATCCTTATAAATGTGGACCAATGTCCCTTACAGCTACAGGTGCAACGGTATTGTAGTTTATCATAGCCGAGCAGCCCGTACTTATACCAAAATAAAACTGAGGCCATCATTGCTCATACAAAAATTCGATTAAGTGATCGAGCAACCGTCCGTGCAGACGATTAGGTGACTGAGCGAGCAACCGTGCAGAAAAACGTTATTTTAGCTTTGGTTCATCAGTAAGCCTAATTTGAAAAAAAAAACGACCGCTAGCCCGTTACGCCGGCGAGTTCCTCGCTAACGTTAGCTTCCATGACCCCAATCACAGGAAGTGTCATGGCGAGCGAGTGACGAATCCGTTGGCGACTTAGTTGTCCATCACATTCCCTTCTTTCAGCGCTCGTGACTGAGCCCCAGCATGTTCACTAACTTTGTGCAAATCATCAAAATTTTGAGACAGGCAGAGGCCTGAAAACTTTACTCATGTGGGCAGAATTTTCTATTGTATTTCAAAGCTGGTTCCTCAAATCGAAATCTAATATTTAGTTTAATGTAGAATTAAGCTAAATAAGTTCAAGCAGAAATTTGCATTCTTATACAAAATCTATGACTTGCTGCAGCTGGAGGGTGAGCGCGACCAGCTTTACGAGCAGCTGGTGACGGTCGTGGGTGAAGTCCGGCAGCGCAGCGAGATGAGGAATCTCGTCCTGGAGAACAAGCTCATCCAGGTTCGGAAATGGGCGTTTTCAACCCTCAGTACAATAAGAGAACTTAAAATGGGGCAGAACCTAAATTTATGTACTATTAAAAATCTAAATGTTGTACACAGTACAAAAATCTGTGAAGTGATCGAAAATTTACGGCAGACTGGATGTATATCAGGTTAACGAATTTAATAACGTTAACGGCGTTTTTATTGCAATGAAAATATTTAGTATGCAGAATGGTTTAAATTGCAGCTGTCAGACCAGCTGGAGAAGCGCGAGGCCGTTCTGTCTGAAGTGTTGGCAGCAACCAGCATGGATCCCGTCTCAGTGGCACAGGTCACGAGGCAACTCGAGGTAGGCACAACGATTACAATAGGGATTAAATCTCTACGGAATAATAATACCGCTTTAATCAAAATTATATCGAAAAATATAACTCAGTACTCACTGCAGTCAGTGACAGAGCGTGCATTTTCTCGACGACGAAAACGTGAAGTCACGGACGGACAGACAGACAAACGGACGAACGGAGATGGCGAGCACAATAGCGCCTTTTTCCAAAAAAATGAGAAAATGCGCTAAAAATTAACGAATACAATCTCTCGTATCATTCAGTCGAGGGCGATATTATACTTAAATGAGGTTTCTTCCAAAATATGACATTAGATAAGGTTCTCGACCAATCCTTTGTAATGATCCTCATTGAATTAATTGAAGCAACTTTCCCTTCGGGAACATATAAACAAACCCCGTCGTATTTACCAAAGCAGCACCGTTCCAACTTTTAAGGAATTCCTAGGTGCTCTTCTAGATCGTTTTCTATTTCAGAGGTTAGTTCCACATCACTTAGTGATAAAATGAATAACTTCGAAACACAGATTTCATTACTTCACACAGTTCTCGCCAGGCTAGCATAATTTTTTGAGCGAGACTAGAAACACAAGTGACAAGTGCACCCTTTCTAAATTCGCTGGTTCAACTGTTCCAATATGCAATCAATGTAGAGAATGTTTTTTTTTTCAGGGCATCATACAAGAGAAGAATGAGAGCATCTCCGCTTTACGCAGTGAAGTTGCTTCTATCAGGCGCCTGTACACCGACCTCCTGGACAACGATCAAAGTCGCAGCAAGTAGCTGGCAGCGCTCGGTCCAGAGATCAGAAATACATTGATTTTCTAGCGTTAAGATCGAGCCTCCAACATCGCGCCAATCACATCAGATTGTGTACGATGAATTCCTCGAGACATCAGTATAGTGACGGCGATGCGAGCAAGAAATTAAAAACTAGATGAGCCAGAGGCACGCAACCGATGTTACTGCTGGAAAACAGTGTTGTAGTAAAGGTGGTTGTAGCCGATAATCAAATTTTCGAAAAGCCTTAACACTTGTCAATAAGTAGCGAAGATTGTTTTAGTGTTAACATAGAGCCTTCTGCCTGCCGCTTTGTGCAAGCGGCGTCCAAATAAATATAAATTCATTTCGCTTCAGCCCATGTCCAAAAAATCTTCACACAGAGAAATAATATTTATTTACAATCATTTGACAATCGAAACATTCTAAAACCGAATAGAAAAGCGGGCGACTATCAATTAAGGTTTCATAATGATGTCCGGCACGATGCAGGACTCTACGATTCATTAATTGCACAGAAAACGAAACAATGTAAATAATAGAAGCCGCATAACCGCTAACTAATGGCACTGACCTCATTCATGGTCTAGGCTCTAGACTCTAGAAGCTAGCAATTAACACTGATAATTAATTATTCATACAAATTCAGGCACAAAAATTTCTAGGTGACTTATTTTATGTACATTCTTGGTGCTCTTGATGGATCATTGAGTCCCAAAATCGTTACTTTGAAATTACTAAATTACTTTGAATTCAACAAACGCGAAGACCAAACATTAAGTAAATGAACGATTTTGTTAGAAAGTTCAGATCACTCGGGGGTCATGAATAGTGATCCAACTTTTCAGAAATTATTTCACAGTATTAGAGTATAAATGAAACTCTGCAGAATATTTAGTACATCGCAGAAACTTCGGTCTATCGATAGGCTCCTCCAAAATCTAAAAATATTCCCCTGAATTTTAGCACTCGTCAGAATCAAACGGCAAGCAAAGAAAAAAATGAAAACGAACTTTCAGCATATTATAGAGCTTATACGTTGTGTGACAAGGTACCAATTAAGCTCTCCTTTCACGGTACAAACTTAAGCTTCAGTAAATTTGCAGCAACATAAACGCCGTTTAGATCATCCGTCTTTAAAGTCAAGACTGGCGTCTCTCAGTTGGTAGGGCTGAAGTGGTTGGGGTAGAGAATCCTTGTGTGCATCTCCCGTATGAGCGGCACGGTGTAGGCGACCACCTCGTCCCAGCCAGGGTGTTGCCAGGCGTCCTCACGGGACTGCTTGCGATGGTCCATGTCCGAATAACCTAGTTAATCAAACCGGAATGAAATCAATGCAAAGCAGTGCTTTCTGGGTTTTCAACTTTGATAACCCCAAGTAACTTATCGGGTGTTCGAAACTCCACCAAGAATCTTTCCTAGAAGTGGAGTTCAATTTAGCTATAGATGACTATGCTAAAACTTTGTATCTTTTTTATCTCCGGACTGATCAATTTTTTTCTACTGGACAGAAAGTTGTAGGCATATAGCAATACCCCGACTCAAAGGCGGTAATCGTTAGTCGTAGTCGAGAACGATCATTCGTATGAAGGAAATTGGATCATACAGTTTCGTTATGAAAGTTCATCCAAAGTAAAATATTTAGTTCCTCATTACAATTACTACTGTCAGGTCTGCCCATAAGGAAGAAGAAAGCGAACAATTAGTACAGTAGGTCTAACAGTAATTGTGAGGTAACCCTCGTACATCATGTAACTAATAATCTAGAGAAATAAAGACAAAATTAATTGAAATCGGTGATGAAAAAGGTCGAAAAGCCATGAGGCATTGCAAAGGTAATTAAGGAAGGCGGTGTTTAACTAAATAAGCAAAACTAAAAAAAACTCTGCTAAAACCTTCATGAGCAGAACTACAGCTCTGAAGTAGAATGCGTCTACAAAAGCTACAACAGTCATGCCAAAACTGTTCTGAGGTGCAAAAAGAACACCTTACCTCGAACACACGGCCTGCGTCTACAGCAGCTGCTGCATGACACTTTTAATTCACATATGTACAATTGCAATACCCAAGTTTCAATTCCCTTAATGCTATGCCATCAATTAAGTTAAGGAATTTTGCAGAATAACGTAACTCGAGGGCGATTTTTGTCTCATTTACCCGTTGAGTTCTTACGTTGAGGTCGGTAGGTCCGAGTGTAGAGAGACTAGTGAGTGGGACTGAAGAAGTTTGGGTAGAGTATTTTGCTGTGATATTCTTCTATGAGCGGTACAGTGTACGCCACTACTTCGTCCCAACCCGGCTTTCTCCAGGCGTTCTCGCGCTGCTCCTTGCGAAGTTGTAAACTTCCGTAGCCTGGGTAGCCAAGCATTTCAAGTTCTTGAGCTAGTTTCAACTTCTAAAGTTCTATTACTTCAACATCACGAGCTTTCAACACTGGGCAGTTTGGTATCAATAGCGTATGCAAAACAAATCAAGGTAAACACAGTCTACAAAGAATATAAAAACATGGAGTTAAAAAATCTGGGAGAGGATTTTATGCAGAAAAGGTTCTAACTAAATATTTAACTGACTGCATTGAGAATGCTTTAAATTATGAGAAAAAAAATTGAAAATTTAGCTCAAATTTTGAGCCTGCAGATCGATCTCCTTGACCGTGGTCACAAAACATTGAAATGAAAAAATCACGAGACAACAAAAAAACAATTGAACTGCTCAATAGAACACAAATAAAGCTTGGGTATAAAATTTGGGCAAAAGCAGCATGTAATAAATGGACGGAAAACGGTTATAGGCGTGAACTCGCAACACAGATCAACACACACACATACGTGCAAAAATAGAAGCGATTGATTTTCCGAACGTTATCAGGAGTAAAAATTTTTATCATGCTTTGGAATGAATTCTAAAAAATGCCCCCAAAATAAACAGGTGTATAAAGTGCATAAAAATGAGACTGGCCTAATGTTTAAGAAGTATAGCATAAACATCAGTAAGCCGAGAACGGCTAAACCATCATTAAATCACAGCCAAAAAGTTGAAAAAATAAATGGAGCATAATACACTACGCGGAATGAGGCTCATGGCTCTTTGTAAGGGGCCATTGTTGCGGAGCCGAGAATACAAATCAAACTACCTTCTACTGAATCTGGCGGACGAGCGAGATCAAAATCGCTATGAAAGGTCTAGATCTGATGGACGTCAAACCCTCACGGTACCTGAAATGCGTTATGTATATATTATCAACCCAAAGTAATCAAAAAATATCTGGCGCAAAGAGTAGGTGTTGCTTGCTGGACTCGCTGGGTGATACGTACACCAGATGTGATGAACGTTGTAGAGACGGCCGACCTGTGAGAAGAAACCCCCGAAGGCTTCGTTGTTGCTCTGCCTGAAGGTGATGGCGCGAGCCCAGTTGTTGCCCCACTCGATCATAGTTCCAGGCTGTAGGAAATCGCAATTAGTTCCACATTTTCCCGTTCCGTGTCAACTTTTACTTCAGTCAATGATAATAGTCCTAACTATTTCAAAACAATAATTTTTTAAATGGAGTAGATCGATTAGAAAATGATAATCGATAATAAAGAACATTTAAGAATAAGAGGGTACTTGCCTTAAGGAAATATGACCTAATTTCATAGATGTTCCCTCCTTGCCGCGGCGTCACGAGGGGCCAGAAGCTGAACGAGAGCAGGTACTGATTGGAACGCGATCTGAGGTGGACGTTGCGGTCGCTCAGCAAATTTTGAATGACCTGGACACACGAAGCTGTATTATTTAAATATATTCATATCGAAATACAAGCCGGCTCAGATACAAACAGCAGTAAACGAAAAACTAACCAGACTTTCGAGATAAATGCACAAATTGAGCCCATTTGGGGTAATATTCAAGACACAAATCTATTTGTAAACGACATCTTTTCAAACCATAACCCATCCTACAGAATATCAAGAGATAAATGAAGCATGAGATTACCAGGAGCATCTTTTAAGAGAGTAAGAGATAATTTCCAGACCGTGTCCTCATCCATGAGTCGCTTGGCCTGGTCAATGCTCTTGTAGCCACCGTCATATTTCCAGAGGTGCACGCACTGATCCTGGTCGCCCACACCCACAGTCCATGAACCGCACAGCTCCAGGTGCAGGTTCCTCTCCTTCACTTCTTGCACGTACTGATCGCTGTAACAACGAGCTTCGCTTATTCCTGTCATCATATCATTATAAGCTGCTTATTCCTGTCATATATATTAAAAGAGCAGTAATTTCACTCCCATAAACTTTGATCAAATATGATGCTGATGAGCAACAATATGAAACACTACTAATGCCTGCCCTGTAAATAAAAAACAAAGTTTCACGCACGTTTTCTTTACTGTCTTACGATGCATTGAACTCAGCTCATCCCTCAGTTAATCCTAGAGCTTTCCATTTACTCCCTCTAAAATATACTAGATTTTAAATTTTATCAGTTACATTAATTTTAACCCAAGCAACCAAAATAACAGCAGAAAGTAGGATCGACCCTCAAGTGTGCTGTTTTGAATCGAGCGTGAAGCACGCTTTTGAATTGAGCCTGATGCAAGCATTTACATCAAGCCAGAAGTGAGCTCTTGAATCAAGCCAGAAGTGAGCTCTTGAATCAAGCCAGAAGTGAGGCTAGTGAGCTCTAGAATTTTGCCAGAAGTGAGCTCTTGAATCGATCCAGAAGTGAGCTCTTGAATTGAGCCAGAAGTGAGCTCTTGAATCGATCCAGAAGTGAGCTCTTGAATCAAGCCAGAAGTAAGCTCTTGAATCAAGCCTGAAGTGAGCTCTTGAATCAAGCCTGAAGNCTGAAGAGAGCTCTTGAATCAAACCTGAAGTGAGCTCTTGAATTGAGCCCAAAGTGATAGAATCGAGCCTGAAGAGAGCTATTAAATTAAGCCAGAAGTGAGCTCTTGAATCGAGCCTGAAGTGAGCTCTTGAATTGAGCCTAAAATGACAGAATCAAGCCTGAAGAAAGCTATTAAATTAAGCCTGAAGAAAGCTATTAAATTAAGCCTGAAGAAAGCTATTAAATTAAGCCTGAAGAAAGCTATTAAATTAAGCCTGAAGTGAGCTTATGAATCGAGTCTCAAAGTTGGTCCTGGTAAGCCATAAAAGAACTTACTAGTTTTTCAGATACTGTGCCACGGTGCCTGGCTTGAGGTTGTGTGTCTGCAGCTCATAGATAACTTCCTTGTCCGAGAGCATGCGCGAGTGGGACTCCTTAGTGGGCTCTATTTTGCGCACCAAAAGCTTGTTGAACCAGCCACCATCTTGACTGCAGCTGCTTGTGCTGCTCACACCTCTGGAGAAAGCACCAAAACAATAAATTAATCATAAGTAAGTCAAGGTAAAATATTACATATTCAGAAGTATTTTGTTGAATGAATTCATATACGTAACAATATGAAGTTCAATTCATTAGTTTAGCTTTCCAGCCTTTTGAAAGTTATATTCCTGATAGAGAGTAAGATTTAAGGTAGACATTCAACTACAACAGCAATAATGTCAGTGTATATTGTGTTCATCTTTTATGCAAATTTTCAGTTTGATTGGGGTATGACCAATATCTCAAGAAGTGTTACAATTCAAGTTTTTTGCCTGAGCTTCCAAATTCCTTAAAGCAACTCTCTGGTTATTAGGCATAATGCCAGGTGCACCAAATATAATATTACTTAATACTCCTTTAATATTCTAATCAACTAACCCTACTGTCTTACACTACCGTATGCTTGTTGATAGTAAATATGTACATTAGTACCCATTAATGGTTCAGTTCCTGTTTATCTTTAGTATTTTAATGCCAAAATAATGTTTATTCATTGATAGGGGATACTTCCAGCACTTGGCAATGCTTTTGACTACACCTAACTCCTGTTTAATTGAATATTAAACTCACCAGGACAATGCTCATTCTCATTGTTCTTTAGTACCGTCAACCGGGGCTACTCGGGACGGTTTTGAGCGTTTTTTGTTAATAACTTCTTACGATTAAACATTTCATAAACAAGTTTAGGCTCATTTTATAGCTCTTTGCGAGGGCTATCGAATGGCATCTTCAAAAAAATTCCATATGCTATTCGTAAGGTGCCAGAAGCAAAAAAAGAGTGTCCCGAGTAGCCCCGTCGAACGGGGCTAATTTTTTGCTACAGACCTTAGCAGAAGTAACTTTTCAAAACAGCGTTTTTCACCATTTTTTCAGGAATTTTTCAAAGCTAGTAAATGTCGTATTTTTCGACTACCTTTATACTACATAGATAGGAAAATTGTTGACGTTTACGCCACTATATTTAGTTTTGCAATATTCCAATTAGTTTCGCTACTATAACAGTTTTACGCCGTGTCAGAGGTGCGTCCCGAGTTGCCCCGCCAGTCCCGAGTTGCCTCGGTTGACGGTAATACAAATGTATCAAGATTTGTAAATATTTCCAAATTAATTTCTGAAACTTCTGCAAGGAGATTTATTCTTACCACTTGCTGTGATCTTGAACAGCCAAGCCTTAATCCATTGATCTTATTTAAAAATTATTTCTCAAGACCCAAACACAATCATAAGTTATGATCAAATTTTGGACAATAATTCTGATGAATTCAAGATTGTAAATTATTACATTTCAAGCAATATATTAAATGGTATCAAACAACTTTATTGATTGCAAGATTGTATGCAAAGTAAAATTGAATCTGGCATAAAAGTTCCTTTCACTTGAATATTGTAGCTCAATTTTGGGTCATAATAATTAAATCAACTATTAAAAAGAGAAATCTCAGGGTTGCAAGGACAAATTTTGATTAAATTTGAACCCACTCAGCTCTGAGTCACACATTTTTATGGTAAAATTTGAAACTGTTGTCCACTTTTCATTAAAATGACAATATATTTACATTAAAAATTACATCATAAGCTTTAGTTGTCACCTTCTCTGGAGCTGCAAGATCCCTGCTAGATGGATTATCTTTCATTTGTTTTTGTAAAATCCTAGGTAAACTTTTACTTTGAAAATAATTTTTGAAAACTGCAGGCAAAATTACATATAGTCAAATGGGGTAAGACAGGATCACAGCCTTCATGGGGCAAGAAAGGACCAGCCCATGGCATGCACTCTAATTGCACTGAATTCAATTTGACAAAAGAGTATGTTAGAGCAATCATTGCCTATCATTTCAGTGTTTGTTTCAACCCTTTTCTGCAAATAATGAATTTCTGGCTATATTTCAAAGAAAACCTATGTAAAGAAGGGTCACAAAATAGTACCCCCTATTTGGGAAATAAGCTCTGTCTAATGACAAAAAATTTTTTGGCCAGGTTTGTGGATGTAGGCAGGTAACCTCAAGTAATAAGTAACTTTTTAGATATACTAGGCATTCCTACCTGCTACCATCACTGCCTGACATGTATTCTAAAATGGGGTAAAATAGGACCAGAGATGGGTAAGACCTGTTGATCCTGTTTTACCACACAAGTGGCCCTATCTTACCCCACACATGGTCCTGTCCTGTACAGTTTATCAAAAATAGTTTTGATCTGAATATATTATTGTGTAGTACATGGAGTATTTTGGTCAAAATTTTTATCTTTTACCCAAACTTCATTATAACTTGTTAGCTTTTTTAATTAGAGAAATTTAGTGCACTATTTTAGTGCAATTGCATCAAAGGGATATAGAAAATAGGAATGTCTATTCCCATTAGTGAGCTGCAGAACTATGTGCAAGATTGGCTGGGGGAAAAATCACTGAGTGAAACATGAAAAATAATTATGATCATAACTCTGTGAGAGGGCATGAGCTATGTTTGAAGAAGTGCACCACAAATGCAGTTAGCAAGAAAACACATGATGTCTGACACTTGAGTTATTATCCATTGGTTTTATTACCAATTTGATAAATTTTTCAGACAATGACACTAATGGAATATACATGAAGCATTTAGCAGTGCTCTACAATGAACCAAAGCCAACCCACTATTACTACTATCAGTACTATGCTTAACAAAGTTTTCTTGTGACAAATACTTCAATGTGACTGATATTAGAGTTGACTTTCCGCAACACAAAACAGTAACAAGTGGTTGTTTAATCAAATAATGTGTTTCTAGATGGACAATATTGAATATCAGATTTGTACTTTAATTAAAAACCTTGTAACATAAGAATTACCAGTTGGTCCTTTCTTACCCCAGCCTGGTCCCATCTTACCCCAATGGGGTAAGATGGGACCAGCTCACTTTTTTTAATCTGTACAGAAAACTATGTCAGATGCAAAACGTCTGAGTTGTAGCTTAGGAGCCCATTGCATAACTACACCTTGTGATAGGTTTAGGGTTTTTTAGTTATTCATGGTATAGATGCTACAGGCTTGTTAGTGATTTTGGTCCTGTCGTACCCCATCTGACTATATGTAGTTTCCATCATTTTCATGGAAAAATTAGGCAATGGCAATTTGCAATAAATATGGGTCCCATCAAATGGGGTAATAAGGGACGGTTTCAAGCATTTTTTGTTAATAACTTGTTGGCAATTGTTGAAAAAGTGTCTAATCAGGTTGGAAGATACCTTTTTTTTACATATTTGTCACTTTAGAACTGCAAAATTTTGATTATTGGTTAAAATTTCAGAATGTTTCATCATAAAATTGGGTGACCTTGACCATTTATGGTCAAGGTCACATCCAGTCCCCCTATAACTAAAAGAAGGTTGACCTTAGAAAAATGTTGATGGCTCCTACTTTTATGTTAAATTAAAAATGCAGTAAAGATAAATTTTATATATTTACTATATAAAAATATTTATATTACAGAAAGTACCAGTGCAATAGATGGCTCAAGTCACTCATTTTAGTTAACAGTAGCTATCTAATTGTAGAAAAGTACACAATTAGACCATAAGATAAGATTCTGGAATCTGTAGTGTTAAGCTAGCCATTTTGCAAGTCACACACTTCTGCATGCATTAAAAATTCATCACTTTGGAGCCACAAGTCACAACTCCCAACAAGATTTCAGTATAAAAAATCTAGCCAAATCCTGCTGAAGTTGCTACAAGAACTTTTTCACCATTTAATTTATTGGAGGCTTGGAATAACAAGATTCTTACTAGATTAATTAGGTACCTTTCATATAGGCTAATTGCTAACACTTGACAAAAGTTCACAAACAGGCAGCAAAATTCCAAATATAATGAAAAAATATCACTTTTCAGCAGTGATGTTTTAGTAGTTATACTTATTAGTGGGCTAGAAAAGTAGTGTGCATCATTGTCTACTCTACCTGGCTACCATCCCTACCAGATTAGCCTAGGCCTACCAGCAGAAAAATTCTAATCTTCAACTTTAACTGTATAGTGTATAGGTACATACCATTATCAAAAAGGATTTCAAGACATTCAGAATGATCATATCTCATAGCCTACCTAAAAAGCCTCAGTCCACAAAAATTACAATATAACCTTTTCACTAAATTATTGTGAATAACAATCAATCAGAACCATGAACATTCACTTACGGTTTTTATTTTGATAATAAATATCAGGTTGATCATGAAAAGGTATAAACTATAAATTACAATACCTTATCTCCTCACCGCTTTAATATTTCAGTACAAGCAACTTGCTGTCGTTGCAGCAGAGACGCAATCCTGAGGGCCATTTTTACCGGTTTTAAGAAGTGTTATTTCACGATGAAACCCAGCCGAATTCTGTACCTGCGCCGCAATGTCATCGGAACAAAAGTTATGCAGCGAGAACTTTTCCAAGTAAGAAATTTCAGAACGTGTTAATCTTGTAACTGATAAAGAAAATATTTCTTTCAAAAAAGAGGATTGAAATGTAATTATCTTACTGTACTTTATGTACTTTGAGAAAAAAGTAGATTTTGTGTTTGAAACAGCTGAGATGATTTGTTCCTCCCTTCAATTTCAAGTCGTTTAAAATAAGATGGATCGGATATGAATAAATCATGTAAATGGATAAAAAAAGGTACGATAATGGTTGATTTGAATTGCAATTAAAATAATTCAAAAATAATAATAAAAATGGACAAATGCAATAATTTTTCAGCCAGCTCTCATGCAAATGCTCGAGCCAGCTAGTAATAAAATTTTATTTAATGAATTAGGCAGCGCAATTTGACATTTCATACATTTTTTCTCGATGAAATTACTTTTGAAAGTTGTCGGAATTTTTTTTACTCTTCTATGCAAAATAATCGGCTTAACTGGACCATGGTTAATTCAACTATGAACAGGACTACCTCACTGACGTTTGTCGTTAAAAAATTTATTTAGAACTAAAAATACATTTTCTTTGAACTTATTACGCATTCCTGCTTCAAAAATAAAAATTTCCGACGTTTTACTGGACCAACCGCACGCTTTAACGCTAAGGAGCCCTTGGTTGAACTATATTAGGTTGACCCACGAGAAATTCCGTCTTTCAGTTCAGCTTTCTCGTTACGTCACTTTGATCGAGAAACGTAAACGAACCCGTCATTCCCATAACGGATTGGTCGACTGGTTTGATCGCATTTCAATGGTTGGTTAATGCCCGTGACGTCACTGAGATCAGTGACGTCACAGGCGAATAACGAACTACGCCCGCAAAAATGGGCTTCTGATGGGTCAACCTTATGCTAGTTCAACTACTTTCCTAGTGTTCTACTTTCCTAGACATGCACTCTGAATTCGGATTGTTGCGCAATATCTTTTCACAAAATCACAAAATCGCTTTCCATCACACCTGGTGTTCACCCAAATAAAAAAGTTTATGTCCAAGAATTATATTACAGTCGTTCCTAAGTGTGACAATAGGAAAGTTGTTTACTGTTCTTTCCCTACTTTGGACCCGCATCTGAGACTATGTCAAAGGAATTGAAAGTTTTATTTGCTAAATATCTTCCGGATGTAAATCTTCATGTGTTGCTGGTTAACAATTTTAGAATCGGCTCGTTTTTCAGGTATAGGGATACCCTACCTGTTCTTATGCGATCGTCACTAGTTTACAGATATAGTTGTGCGCAGTGCGCATCAGCGTACGTCGGTATGACGGCACGCAATTTCTATACTAGGCTGGCTGAGCATATAAGGGTAGGAGTTATAGAACGGGGAACCTACTTGCACATCCACCTCATTCTGCTGTACGTGTTCATGCCGAGCAGTGCAACACCTCTGTATCTGATAGTGATTTCAAATTTCTAGCTTCTGCATCCGGTGTTAGTGATCTACGAATTTTAGAATCCCTGTATATATGCAAACTGGAGCCTAGTCTGAATGCCGCTTTTAGCTCCTTTCCTCTTGAAATAGTAAATAGATAGGCCGTTTACTAGCATTATTTTAATTTCTTATTTATATTTATTTATTTTCCGTTTGGAAACCTGACTGCATTTTACTTTACTAATTGATTTAGGCTATTTGTCTTTCTAGGACTGAATTTTTTCTGAACAGAATTTTGTGTTATGAACTGACGATGGAGCTGGACTCCGACACGTTTTCTCCTATAAAGATATGGTGAATTTTTGTGGTATTTTCTTTGCTTTTAAATTCCTAGTTCAACCATGAAGGAGCCTACCTGTTTAACCGATTATCACCTAATTATCTCTTTGACGCTCAAATATTTCATTCCACGCTATTCCAGCGGTGTGTCGAATGAAGGATACGGTACATTTACCATATAATAAAAGTGCTTAGAGCGATTAAATTGTGCCCAGAATATCATGGATATAGCATTGCACTAGTGTTTTCATAGAAAAAAAAAAACATAGAAAAGAAGTCATAGGAAAAGATTAATACCGGAATTCCTTAGGCCAATCAGAACCTAGCTTTAACAAAGTTGGCTCGCCATTTCAGTTCAATTAGTAGTAGTCTTCTCTCGACCATTATTAAGGTTCCTCCTGATTCCAAGGTTCGTGTTCTTACTGCTTGTTGGTCACACAGTAATTTCAAATTTTATACTATTGCGTGCCACTTGTTATGTATCTACAGCGTGTGAATGATAACATATCCGAACTCGCTCATATATTTAACATCAAGTTCATGCAGAAATAAAAAATTAGATCAGTACTCACTGCAGTGAGTGAGAGAGCGCATTTGCTCTCTGGCGTCTGACCGTGAAGTCACGGACGGACATGACGACAGTCACGGACGGACATGACGAGCACAATAGCGCCTTTTTTTCCATACAAGAAAAAATATAACTCAGTACTCACTGCAGTGAGTGACAGAGAGCGCATTTTCTCGTCGTCGAAAACGTGAAGTCACGGACGAACAGTCAGACGGACATGGGGAGCACAATAGTGCATTTTTTCCATAAATGAGAAAATTCGCTAAAAATGCGCTAAATCCATTTTGTCCGCTATCAACGTTTGTTATCGAGCCTAATTGACAACTCTCTGTGAGCCTTATATGGGGAGGTGCCAATGACAGTGTAAAATTGAGAGTCCTTGAGATTTGAAAATCCCGTTCCTGTTATCAGATCAGGAGAATCCCAGTGACGTTCGCATTGTCGAATCGGGAGAATCTTGTTCCTAAATCCATTCTTGAGATATTTTCATCCTGTTCGTGACCCATTATTAAATCCCTAGAACCCCGTTCCCATTATCGAATCGGGAGAATCCCTTTCGCATTTGTCTTCTTTGTTATCATAATAGTTCAAGTAATATAAATTATAGAAGCACTTCTAGCCTGCTAATCCTTAATAAATAAAGAAAAATATAAAAAAATTCAAATTTAAAGATAATCACAAAAGTTATAACGAAATGTTTAGTTATGCTGATTTTTAATTAATATGAGTTTCAAATTTTTAATGAAGCCTCTGTTATGTGTTTCGAACATGTTAATATTAGAAACATCAAGTTTGTGCAGGTCAGTGAGGTCAATTCGAATATATGCAGGTCAATTCGAACATGTTAATATTCGAAAGCTATTCGTATTTACCGCATCAGTTCAAACACGTAAGCTCACACACAGAATAAACCAATAAGTTTATTTACGTTTTCGCAAACAAATTACAAATTACTCATATAGACAACAAAACTGAGTTTCCGGATGAAATGCAAATTATCTATTTAGATAATACAAATGCGTGTTTTGTGAGAAAGTGATGCGTCTCTCCGGTCAGCATCTGAGCAAAGAGCTGTGGTGGACGATCTTGACGCTAGTCCTGTTATTTCAGGGTTCTGGTCCAAGGGTACGGCCAACCTATCATTCGCTGCCAAAGGTGTCTTTACAGAGCTGAGTCGCAATCAAGGTTTGGCGGGCTATAGTTCCGGAGAGGCTGAGTCTTCAGTACGACGACAGAGTCTGTGTTGGGTGCCGTGTGCGTGTTAGTCTCTTGCCTGCTGAAGATTTCGCGGTCAACTCGTCACATATTTTCTTACAATGAGGTTAGTTACCAACAGAGTTGATGAGTGCATCTTTATTGTGGTAGAGACAAGATAGTTAGCAGTGTCAATTGGTTGATGTAATAGCTGAAACAGCGCAATTGATTAAATTTTGTTTTAAAATTATCTGAATTTTAATTAATGTATTTTATGTGTCTTGATTGAATCGCTTGTGAGTTGTGTTGTTGTAAATTTGGATGCTATACACGAAATGTACTAAATAACTGGCTTTGAGCAAAATGATGGCCGCGCATTTTTAACAGTGAACAATAAAACACAAAACTTTTTGTAGTTTCATAATTATTGGTCTCATATTTTATTTGATATTCGGACATCTCTTTGCCGCTCAAATATCCATTCATGACATGAAAAGAGGATTGAATTACTTTGTAAAAGAAATGGTAGACAATAAAGCAGTGAACCAGGCACGGCTGTTTACATGAAAAGCTCGAGCAAGAAAATAACGTTCTTCTTTGTCACGGTCACCAGAAAATTTTTAGGAATGACGAAGCGTACAGTACGTAGCTATGCTTATGAATTTTTTGCCTTTTCAAACTCCGGTGAAAAATATTAGCCCAATATGAATATTGAGACAGTCTTTCAATCAACGTCAGAAAAACTACGGATTATCATACGCGTGTTTCAATACGTTTGCGGGCGAGCAGGTGCATTAAATTTGTCAATTCTTATTAGTTATTATAACAGGTTGCATTTTAATCGAGCTGGTAGACTATACTTGCTTGTTATTTCCGTGGTTGCAAGAACTTTTGGGGTTGACATTTGATAGAACTTACATTAAACAGGCTATCCAGAAGTTTGTCTGAGAAAATATTCCAGAAACGAAAGCGGGAAAAACTGTCACTGGTGTTTGTGTCGGGAATTATCAACTACTGCAAGTTTTCAGGCATATGCAATGTACGCGTTGAGGTAATGCCTGGATTTAGTTTTATTACAGTGATGTGCGTCAACATGATTCATTTGTAATAGAAAATATTTTATATATAGGTACGCATAAATAATGTAGCTGTATATTAGGTAAAATATCTTAGAATAAAATATATAAAAATACATATGAATAGAATAATAGTATAAGGACCCTTATTCATGAATACTAATCGCAAAATATGATAGTTTTGTTCTACAAATAAAATTTTGTTGGTGGTATCATTCTTCTCCTCATAAACAATCACAATCAATCGAATTGAAAACTTTGGTGTCCGGTTTTGTATCAAAATTTCAGTTTTTATATTGTCTGGCTGTTATTAGAAACACTCGCCATGTGTGCGGCGTGTAGGTGAAAGCTTGTGGTTAACGCAGGCCCACGCGCGCCAGTCATGTAATGACGGCCCAGCGTCGCCTCAGGCGTTCGGCGCCTTGTGGCTCACAATCACAACACGTGGCTGCCGCTGCTGGGTGCTGCAGGCCTATGCTGGGTGCTGCTGCTGCAGGCCTGTGCTGGGTGCTGCTGTAGACCTGTGCTGGGGTCAGCATACCTTTGCTGGGTGCTGCTCGCTGCTGCAGACTTGCGCTGGGTGCTGCTCGCTGCTGCGGACTTGCGCTGGGTGCTGCTCGCTGCTGCGGACTTGCGCTGGGTGCTGCTCGCTGCTGCAGACTTGCGCTGGGTGCTGCTCGCTGTTGCAGACTTGCTCTGGGTGCTGCTCGCTGCTGCCGACCTGTGCTGGGTGCTACTCTCTGCTACGTCACTGATCTAAATTCTGCGTCACTGAGCTGAATGCTGCTCGCACCAGCGTCGCAGAACTGGATGCAGCTTGTTTGATCAGGTCATGGCTGGACGCTATTCGCTTCCGAAAACTTGGCTAGATTTTTTCTTAACTTGTTCTCTCTGGCAGTGTATTGTAGAATTTTTCTCCTTGTGTGACTGTGCAAGAAAAAAAAAAGAGATAAGAAGTCACCTGCATTCATGGATTCGTTGCCAATACGATGGGTTGAAAACCATCACTCATGGGCTTTACATGCGATGCATTTCTTCTAAGGTTTGATAGAGATTGACAAAATCGATCACGACCTATAATTTAAGAAAAATTTAGCAACCCACTTACTTAGTCAAAAGCCAGAAAAACATTTGTAGTTGCAGGTTCAATAATCAAATGACTAACTAAAAAAAGTATGTAAAAACCTTTGTAGTTCTAGTTCATTTTCAATCGTCAAATGACTAACTAAAATAGAATTGTGTAAAAACCCTCGGAGTGACAGGTTCGATCACTGAATAATTAGCTCAAAAAGAAGTATGTAAAAACCTTCAGAGTGACAGATTCGATCTTCAAATAACTAACTAAAAATGAAGTTTACAAAAAGTAGAATGACTGAATGACGTCAAGAGGCAGGACAGGCAGAGGAGCCGCTCATTGGTCGAGGCTGTGTCGCGGCCGGAGGCGTTGCAGCTCACGCGGGGCGCTGATTGGCGGGGATGACTGCCAGGTCTATTGCGTCCCAACTGTCGCATGCTCACTTCTTCTGATGTTTTTCTAGTTCAACTATTAGCGCTCTTCATTCTTGTTTTGGTAACACAAGTCGAAGCAACAATTCATACTTTTCAAGCGTTGGTCTTCTATGTGGAAATGCTCCAAGTCGTCTGCAGAGGCCATTTAATACCAAATAGGAGCAAACTTATTGTCTACTTGCACCTGACGAAAAATTAAATTTTCATCATCGAGGTAATAATTTTGAACTTTTCGATGACTTAGGCTTCTGATGTCTGATCAATGAATGAAATTTTACGACGTAACTCTCGAATTGGATACTAAAACGTAGGCTTCTGATGTCTGATCAATGAATGAAATTTTACGATGTAAACTCTCGAATTGGATATTAAAACGTGGTAAACTTTACAATAATTTTAACGTTGCTTTGCAGTGGCAAGGATTCTGAAGTTTTCAAGAGTACATCACTGAGGCGAACAAGCGATTATCTGTTATAGAACTATTTACATTTATTAATTAAGGTCCGTGTAGGTAATGCGCAAGTTTCCGTCATTAGGCGAGCAGAAGTGAAGTAGTGAGATAATTAGAGTCCGGTAGACGGCTTTCTATATTGGAACAACGGGCTGGAGCGGGCGCAACCTACTCTACCAGCGGCTACGGTGAAAAAGAGCAACAGGTTGACTGGAGGTCTTACTGTAGTAGCCTGTATGTTCCATTGCTCCTGACACAGAGAAAAAGTTACGCTATCTTAACTACAGAGGCAAATGCAACATTCTATTTCGAAATTTGAAATCAGAAACTTGCATAATTTGAATAAAAAATTTTGTGTGAAATGTAAATTACTCCAGGTATGTTTGATGTAAAACAAACTTCATCTGTAACCCAACAGTTAAAGGACACCTCCGTTGAAAGCTGCAAAATAACATGAATGAATCACATTGATTTTACTGTGCACTCAGAGAAATAAAAGGCTCATTTTTCAAATAGCGATGCACTTTTTGCCCATCCTGACTTACCTTGGTTCGGCTAAGCAGCACATCATTGCTGCGTCCGCTCCTTGCTATAGCTGCGCTGCGGGTAAGACAGTATGTTGGTATTCGGACATTATAGCCCACTCATTTTTCTGAGAAGGCTTTCTCGTAACTGAATTCCGCGCAGTTCATTGCAGTTTCTTCGTTGGTGAAAGTGAACGTTAATGTGTTTCAGGTTCCGGGCTTCAGTGCTGGGCAAGTTGCTGGGCCGGTCCAGCAACTGCATGCAGAGCCGAGTGCCATCGGGGGGAGTTTGTGACGTCACACATTTACCTGGGGCCGTCGTTACAAGTCGACACTATCATCCCAACGGCGACCCGCCAAGAATTCTGATCACCGGTAAAAAAAAAGATTAAATTGTAATATGGAAATTTATACTGTTTAATGTTTTGCAAAACACTTAAAATAAAGTCGGATCATAGATGTAGGTACTTTCTTCAATCATATCTATGCAGTATTGTTATTGTTTCTTACTCGAAATCAGAAAATTTATAAATGAATTGTGCGTAAAAGAAAATAATAACCAGACAGTGCATCCGTGTTTGACTGTAAAAGTAATTTATTCGAACAAAATCCAGTACAACAAAGAATCAGATACGTACATGAATACAATAAAATGAATGAATGTAAAATCAGAAATACAGGAATGCGAATGAATATCAATGCTACCATAACAGGAAGCCTGGGACAACTTGGCTCAGGACTGGCAGCCTTACTGAGGGAGAAGTACGGCCGTGAGAACGTCATCATGTCGGACATAATCAAACCTTCTAAAGAGACGTGGAAGAGCGGGCCGTACGTGTTTGCTGACATACTTGATTTCAAATGTCTTCAGGAAATCGTCGTGACCTACAGAATAGACTGGCTGGTGCATTTCTCGGCCCTGCTCTCTGCAATTGGTGAACAAAACGTCCCCCTTGCCATCAGGTTAGTGAAGAGTTGAATGAGGAGTGCAGAGTTGAATGAGGAGTGAAGAGTTGAATGAGGAGTGGAGAGTTGAATGAGGAGTGAAGAGTTGAATGAGGAGTGGAGAGTTGAATGAGGAGTGCAGAGTTGAATGAGGAGTGCAGAGTTGAATGAGGAGTGAAGAGTTGAATGAGGAGTGCAGAGTTGAATGAGGAGTGGAGCGTTGAATGAGGAGTGAAGAGTTGAATTAAGAGTAAATGGTTAAATTAAGAATGCACAGTTGAATTTAATTGAATTAAATACATTGAATGTGCCCTTCTCCCTCCACTGCCAAATCACTAGTTTCACTCAACGGTTTTCATGTCGTCATTCAGGTTCACATTGTGCTACACCTTGGCGCCAGCTGATTTACATTAATTATTAGCCCCTGCCACTGCTAGACGATCATTTCAGCTGAACGTACACCACCAGAGAAGCACTAAGAAAAATTAGTGGATAATATTGTTCTAATAGTGGCACACTTCATTGCATGTAACACCAATACATCCTTTTGCCGGGCAAACTGGGTCATTAACGACACAAGGAAAAAAATGCATCGCTATTTGGTCAAAGTCACTTAATTTTCCTGAGTGAGATGTGTCCGCGTAGCTGGCATAGCGCCACAGCTCACGTTTGCTCTGTAAAAATATCTCTTTGGCAGAGCTCTTTAACTGGTAACCAGGACGCCTCCTTGAGATTTCGTACCTCACGCAATTAATTGGCCTCACGCGACCTCAATGACTTCTGCTCTTATTTTATTTGGGGCGCAAGACTGGGGAAATTACGCCGGACTATCAAATAGAAAACTGAAACTGAAAACTGATTCCCTAACATGCATGCAGTGATGGATAAATTAAGGGTTTCCTTATCATTTCCAATGTGTTGAATAAATATTTTTAAAATTTGGCTATTTAAAATGTTTAGTTTTGTCTGAATATAATGTACTGTAGCTTTAAAGTAGACAAAACAAACCTGCCTCCATAAATTAAGCCGACGTTTCTCGTAGTGAAATTTCGTTAGTCTCACGCCAATGTGCATGTACTACATTACTCTTCATCATGGTACAGTGGATACTCTATTATTGAAAAAACCCACTTATCTTTATTATGGTACTCACAAATACCCTCCTAAATTTACAGAGTGAACATCGAAGGCCTACACAACGTCATGGAGCTGAGCAAGCAGTACGACCTTCGTGTCTTCGTGCCTTCCACCATCGGGGCCTTCGGGCCAGATTCACCGCGGGACTTCACACCGAATGTCGCCATCCAGCGGCCACGCACCATATATGGCGTCTCCAAGGCATGTGGCACATTACCTAATTATGTTTGGTTATCATAATTAACCCCCTCATCATGCGCGAAAAAATATAAAATCACATATCTAGAAGTTGGTCATAGGTTAGGTTAGGTTATTTAACTACTCATGATTTAAACTCCACGAGCCTTACTATGCACGGAAGCTAAATATGTTTTGAATTATGCGGTGCTGTGTCGTTATGAGAGTCGTGTTGTAGGTGCACGCCGAGCTGCTCGGCGAGTACTACCACCACAAGTTCGGACTGGACTTCAGATGTCTGAGGTTCCCTGGCGTTATTTCAGCAGACACGCAGCCGGGAGGCGGCACCACAGGTACAAAATTAATCGAGCTTCATTACGGGAAATCAAGTAGAAATCTTCGCAAAAATTCTCCCCTTCAGGTTTTTAGTGATACACTAGCTGCAGAAGAACATTGCATAGGCATATTTTTTTTTGTGCTGAAATCAGCGCGAACATTCCAAACATTTATTATCTGAAATTTGGCCATAAATCTAATATTTTTGTGAATAAACAATATATTTGCTTACAATTTACGTCAAGATTATTGGCCGATATGTTTTTACATTACAAAGACATCAACAAAAGAATTTTAATTTGCATTTACAATGATTGAATATACATAGGATCAGTCCTATAGAAACGCTTTTAATACTTGTTCGTGTCCACAGATTATGCAGTTCAAATATTCCACGACGCTATAGCCGGCGAGCACTTCGAGTGCTACCTTCGCCCCGACACACGCCTCCCCATGATGTACATTGACGACTGCCTCAGGTGAGCTGACACCACACTCAGTCTTGATTGATCTTATAATCACTCAACTGACATTGTGACCGTTATTAAACGACTGGGGTATACTAACCGGAGTCTTGATTTTACAATCGATTAACTGAGACATTGTGGACGTCATGTAACGATATGAAAGTTTGTTATCATTGCTAAAAAGACAGCGGAAACATTCTGGTGATAGTCTGAGGGTCAATTTGAATTACTTGGAGGAATCGTATTTCCATATTGCCTATTTCAATATCCTGTTATCGAAGTATCTAACAATAAATTGAAAAATTTTGTTCACCGACCGCATAAGCGAATTCGAAAGAAAATTGCGGACGTGTGAATTAAAGTCCATAATTATCATGCTGTCCGCTTTATACAGTCTGGATGATGAACTAGACAAGCATGGTTTTACATGCACTAAATTTCCATTTAGACTATCAATTTCTTTTTCCAAGAAGGTATTAATATAAGCAGTGCAATACTATATCCTAATGGTTGTGCTTTCACAGATCTCTGTGGGAGATGCTGGTCACGCCCGAAAACCTGCTCAAGCGCAGGACCTACAACGTCACGGCCATGAGCTTCACTCCGGCCGAGATCGTCGCGGCCGTTCAGAAACATTTTCCTGATCTCAAAGTCTCGTATAGACCTGATGATAGACAGAAAATTGGTGAGGGAGGCATTAATAAATTAATATGACATTACCATCGACCAGTTGCATATTATACGCTTAGTCGGAGGTTCAGTTTGAGACATTTATGAAATTTAATTCAGATTTTTTTTATTTCACCTAATAGTCGACGTACATAGGTGATGTGAAATGTCCGGACAGTAGGTATTAGAAATGTAAAGGGTTGACAACCCACCGAAGCTTCGAGCTCTGTCACTGTTCAACTCTCATGATAACTAGATTCAGAATAGTTAATTTCTTCTGTTAACCGAACATCGTGTTCTTGCAGCGGACACGTGGCCCAAAGTTTTTGACGACAGCGAAGCGCGCAGAGACTGGGGCTGGCGCCACGTCTACGACCTGCCGTCCATGTGCGACATCATGTTCAGCAAATTACGAGCTGCGGGAGTCGAGAACAACACCGCCTTAGCCGACGATGCTGTGCTGGCACGAGGAATGTAATTCTACATTAACTTCCATCCTACGATGCTCTATGACCATATTTATTGTTATTTCTGCCACGATGTTCTACGCCGTCTTCTGGGCGGCGGACTTCGACGGCAACACTATTCTAGCTGTAATGCACCTGATATCAACTCCCATAATGCAATCCTGTTGAATCATATTTATTTCTTCCCTGGGGCAACATGTAAGCGCCTAGGCGTTGGACAATTTCTCTCCACAATGAAGCTATAAGCCATTTGGTTGACTACTTACTTGGTTTAGAATAGAAGTTTCGGCACTGGAAATAGGCCCATGACCTGTTGCCGATTCTTGTGCTTTTCGTGACTTGATTCACAAAGGATATGGCCTTATGAACCTGATCTTTGTTATAGCTGGCGATTGTTTGAGGTAACTGCTGGACTTATTACAAGGTCCGTAAGGAGCTAGGCTTTTCAAGACTGAACATATGCTCCTGCATAGCTTTGTCTAGTTTGTTCTTGAAGGCATTCGTACTCGGAGCGTCAACGATGCTGTCAGGGAGGCTGTTCCACATGTCGGTGACTCGAAGCGAGATGAAGTGTTGTCGCGTGGATGAGTTGCATCGCAGTTTTTTTAGTTTACAGCCATGGCCTCTGGTGTTGGTTCTTGTTTCAAATTCTAGGACTTTTTTTGAGACGTAGCTGCTTATTATGTGGTACTTTTCCGTCGTGTTCGTTGGCTGCGAGAACGTCCGGAATTTCGATCCACAAGCGAGATGAGAATAAATTAATTAAAATATGAACCATTATTGTAGACAGAAAAAGTTTGTCACCGCAGATATTGTCCAGATTTTTTTGTTAACATAAGACTGGGGCATGGAAAATGCAAGGTCTTTAGGCGGACAAATACCAGTTTCTGCTTAAATTTTTTTGCAAATGAATGTGAAGGGAGCAACAATTGGGTACGGAAGAGTTGAGATAGAATACGAATATTTATACTGCTGGTCGCCTTGTACTGCGTTCGCGCTCGAAGTAGAAAAACCTAGGTTAGTGGAAGTTGCCAGGTACCTCTTGTACGTATAAGAATTCTCATTTATCATTATTTAGGTACATAATTAACTGTAAGGAAAAGATATTGTACTAGACTTTAGAATGAAAAAAACAAATGAAAGCGCTCCTAGTATTATTGCGCCCATAATACAATATTTGTGATTTTCGGGACCCAAATGGCTTCCTTCCACACGTGCTAAAGGTAACTTCGCGCTACGCAGAGGTTTGGCTACGCCAGTAAACCTCGGAAATTCTTAGCCAAAAATTTCTACACTTAGAACATCAAATTGTATTTCTTCATTTTCAACCCTCATGCAAGGCAGTGCTGGTGCTGAAACAGTATCTAAATGTACTCTAGCTACACAAGTCGAAAATATCAAAGTCGACACGATGCGCGGTCTAAATGTTGGATCAAAAGTCTTTCATCGGGAGACATCGTTGAACTAGACTTGTTTCGCCTTCTCCCCCCCCCCCCTCACTATTGATCCTAAACGACTCTAAGACTTCCTGTAAACGGAAAATAAAAAATTCGTTCAATAATTAAACTGAATATACTTTATTAAAATTAAGAACCAGAAATAGGATTGAATATAATCACAAGCTGCTAATCAACAAAAACCAACAAAAAGCTAACACTGCAAGGAGCGTAAAACACGTAGCCTCAATGTTTTGTTTGAATCTTGGGATGTCTTGAGATTTTTCAACGAAATTCATAAATACTTGAGGTAGGCAGTGCCATACGGAGCATCTCCATAGGGATTGATTAAGTAATTAAAGCTCAATAAATGAACCTAGTTTAATAAAAATAATGGAAAATTGAGGCCTAGCAAGCATCGCCTTTCACTTATGCTATCCCAACTAAACATGAGGCATAAACAACTAATGTTGCACCGTGGACCAGAAAGGATCTTGTTCAAGCGTAGAGTTTGCCGGACCGATGAGGCACGAGCCTTCAATAAGAGGTTCGAGCAGATGCAGTCTAGCGGCACGTACGATGTCTTGGGCGTCAGTGTCCAACACGCTCTCTCGGTGCTGCATGAACACGTCATCGGAGATGTGTGACAGGAACTGACGGAGGCCTCTAGAGCCGGGACCTACAGGCGCATCGATGCTCTGAAACACTCCTAGTTTAGCCTCATTCAGATCGCGCTCATTGAAGTCTCCTTTGAGCACCCACTCGAGCGCTCGACTGAAGGCTTCAAAAGTCTGGACAGAGTTGGGGTCTCTGTAGCTGTAGAAAGTGACTGGGCCACCTGGGGAAACATCTGCTCCTCCACCGTAGGCTCCTCCTTTCTCTCTAATTTCACGGTGCAAGAAAGGGAACATGAGGCGTCCTAGAACACGCAAGGGGCCAGCGTCAGGATGACGATAAGGTACACCAGTGAACGCTCGCGATGTGTAGTTGACGGGGAAAGGAAAGACGTGATGTGTCCGTTGGGTGAAAGGTGTGAAGGCAGACGCATCGATTGCCGGATGAGTCTCATATGGCTTAGGCGTTCCCCCGATGTTGTCCAAAAATAGCTCTAATTCTTTCAGAGTTGAGTCCATATCTTCCGGAGAAGCATTTACAGCAACACGCATATACTTTTTTCCCAGGAGCACAAATGCAAGCTGAGAGAGCTTGATAAGTACAGGCTTGAGGTCATCCGACTCTGAGATCCGTTTGAGTCGGTCCACGTATGAGAGACCAGACCACTCTTCTCGGGCGGCGCCGTAAGGGCTCACGGTAGCGCTGGCTGCCTGCATTGCGTAATGGTGACCACCTTGAATGACACTATTTGATTTTTCAGTCGCTATCATTTTGACTAGGGTAGAAAATCGTGACATGTCAGTCATTCTGATTTCAGTGAGAACATTTTCCCACAATTTAAGCATGTGATGCAAGTTCTTTTGAAGACAATACGAAGAGATGACTACGCCTTTCTCCAGAGAGTAATTATCGATGTGCTGCTGCAAATGAGGACTGGCGGATAAGCCTCCAGTGTAGAGCTCAACTTTCTGATCAAATGCTCTAAAATCAAGATCAGCGGCACCCATTTTCGTAAGTACGGCACAGAGTAGTGGGATGTACGGTAACAGGTCAGGAGCCACGCTGTGCGTGTCCATCACTGCGTGGAAGTAAGTAACTCCGTTGGTGGACTGTGGGGACGCTTGCACTGGCACACCATCTGAAAGACGTACATGTGACAGGGTGGTGCGATCAACACTTCTGCTGATGTCCCGTGGATGTAGAGAAGGTAGACAACTCAAGTCTTCGACTGCTTCCTGTTTGTTTGAAAGCTCAATTCCTAATGCGTAAATTCTCTGCTTATCTTCCTCGCTTAGATTCTCGATGCGAGACTGCAACAATGCAGCTTCCTTTTCCTTTAACGTTTTTTCGAAAGAAGCATCCGGAGACATGCTGAGAGTGTACTTATGCTTATTCTTGACAAAGTATTCGTTGATTTTATCTTGTAAAAATGTTGGATTATCCACCATAGATTTTTTGAAGTTATCAATACATTCATTAATAGCTAAAGATTGGATAGGGTTTCCATCTTGGTTCCAAAAAGGAGCGAGGTTCATAGCTAAGCCCACACCAAAGCCCGGGGTTTGATGTTTCAGCGATAGCTCAATACCATGCAAGATAGCGTCTATTCTCTCTTGAGGAAAGCCTTCTTTCTTTACGCGCTCAAATGTGTTCTCTATTTGCGTGAGAACGGTCTCCGTGTTGCCATTCTTGACGCCCTGGAGCCCAATGGTGAAGGTTGTGTTGCGCGTGTGGCCGCAGTAGCCTGTGGCGGGGGAGAAGCCAGTACCATATAGCGGCTCCAGCAGAGACTTGTAGAAAGGAGCATTGGGGCCGCCAACAAGAAGCTCGCTTAGAAGACTCATCGTGAAACATTCGGAAATGTTAGTTATATCTGCAAGACGATATGAAATGGCAACGCTGTTCTGTGCGTCGGGCGGTGCAAGGGAATCTATGCCGCAATGAATGTGATCAGTACAAGGTTTAGACCAACGCGGTTCATCGGGTACCTCTGTATTAAGTTCAATTTTAGAAAAATGCTTCAAGTAGTTCTCATTGATGAAGGCCAGATGATCCTCGAGATCCATGTCTCCATAGGTGAAAATACGACAATTACTTGGATGATAGTGGTATTTGTGAAATTCCTTGAGTTGACCCCAGGAGAGGTTGGGGATGTCAAGCGGATATCCCCCAGAAACTACGCCGTATGTGTGAGAAGGGAGGAGACCATTCTGAAGTTTCTGCATAAAAATATTTTGCGAGTCGGCAAACACACCTTTCATTTCATTAAAAACAACACCTTTAAATTCAATAGGAGAATTTCGGTCTTTAGGGTCAGCGTGTTCTAACCTCCATCCTTCCTGACTAAAGTCTAACTCGGTTAAATTCGGTTTAAATACTGCATCTAAGTAGACTGACAAAAGATTCTTGAAATCAGTAGGGTTTTGCGTGGAAAAAGGGTATATGGTGTTATCGCTGCCCGTCATGGCGTTCATGAAGGTTGAGAGAGATCGATTAAGCATCTTGAAGAAAGGATCGCGGACAGGATATTTGTGACTGCCACATAGCACAGTGTGCTCAAGAATGTGCGGCACGCCGGTTGAGTCCAGAGGTGTGGTGCGGAAGCCAATGCAGAAGGCATTGTTGGGATCATCTTTAACAATGTGCAGGTAATCAGCTTCAGTGTTTATGTGCTGTAGGCGTACTGCTGTGAGTTGCAGCTCATCTATCTCCCGCACCTCGAGCACACGGAAGCCGTGCACGTCACCACCCTCATCAAGAGCTGCTTGAATTGCATCCCCTGTCAGACACACACCAAAATGTCATTACAGCATACAAGACAGCAACCTTTGTTAACATCTCATAACTAAAGGTGTAACTTTGCAACATAATGTAGATGCAAATGAACAGCTCGAACGTTATCCATGGCAAATTACGAGATAAATTCTTACAGGATATAAGTTTTACATGTCTCAAAGCTCCATGACAAGATGGCTCAACCTCTGAATATTACATAAAAATCTCACCAGCTGCGCAATGAGAAGATTGCCGAGCAGATGAGCAGGGCAACCGCAGTGAATGAGGCAGCAAAAGCCGTGCTGAATTCCAATTATGGAGGGCCAGCTTGAGATTATTTAGTAAAGCCATGGCATCTGCTGTGTAGTTCCCTCAGAATAGGTGAGGGTACTTCTGAAAGATGAGTCCACAATAGGAATTCAGGCAAAAAAATTAAAATTTATTCCCAAATGTGCAGTGCAATGCATGATGGAAATGTGAATTTATCTAAAATGCATGGGACTGATCAATTTTCATGGGATGATATAGCTGACCCTTTGGCAGGTAAGTTGCCATAAATGGTAATTATACATTTTCACCCAAAGAGGCTCACCTCACCATCTGGTAAGTGTTTGAACCCAAGTTATCATACCTTGCACAATTGCATATCATTGGCCCATTGTTCTCTGCCTACTTCATCAATCATCATATCACCTACCTACAACATGTACAGGAATGAATAATAGATAAGGAAGACGTTGCAGCTATGGCATGAAAGTTGATGCCTTGTCCACTCATTTAGATAATGAAAGCAGCAATATATTATTAAGCTAGATAGCTATGTACTTTATTATATCTATAGTTATAGGCAAGTAAGATTTTCTTTGTATTTGCTGTTTAATTCAACAAGATATTAAATATTTTTACCATGTAGATTGCACGAGATAAATCCATCTCTGCAATTTGTGATTTGTGCCCTCTGTATACAAAAATTAAAAATGTGCTCGTGATTGAATATATCTTAGAATTGGTCACTGTTTTTGTACTAGTGTCTAAAATGAGAAGTTCAGTAGCCCTCAAAGGACTAAAGCCATCACAATTACAGCTACGACAGTAATTAAAATCAATGTAAATAATTTTTTAAGGGAGTAATATTAATCATTGGACAATTTACAAATTTATCAAAAAATTATCAATGCAGTATTATAATATTTCTGGCAATATTTCAGAGCTACAAATTAATATCTCTCCCAAGACTGAATCCATTATTAAAATCAGTAGAAACTTTAGGAGCCAATATTTGGTCACATGTTAATGTTCAAATTCCTCAGATTTGCAGCTTGAAGCAGAGCAATATATGTTTTTAGTAGCAATATATGTTTTTAGTTGATAATTCACCATTAAAAACTGATCCAGGAATTCTTGAGGAAATGATTTGATGAAATAAGACGGATGCATTTATTTCTGATTTTTTCATGACAGTTGGTGGTAGGTATTTTGCAAAATAGCACTATGATACTCTGCAAGTATAACTTATTTGCAGTTGCAAAGCTTGCAGGACCACAAGTCAGACAACCCAAGCCAAACTGAACAATATACAAATAAACAGATATAGAAATAAACAATATTGGTTTGTCAATACTTGTTAATTCAACAAGTGTTGCTTCAATAGATACTTGCTACATAAAACACATCTGGCAGCATGGGTCAACATTCATTATAGTCAGATGGGGTAAGACAGGACCGAAATCTCTAACAAGCATGTAGCATCTATACCATGAATAAATAAAAAACCCTAAACCTATCACAAGGTGTAGTTATGCAATGGGCTTCTAAGCTACAACTCAGACTTTCTGCATACAACATAGTTTTCTGTACAGATTAAAAAAAGTGAGCTGGTCCCATCTTACCCCACTGGGGTAAGATGGGACCGGGCATGGGGTAAGACAGGACCAACAGGTAATTCTTGAGTTACAAGGTTTTTAATAAAAGTACAAACCTGATATTCAATATTATCAATCTAGAAGTACATTATTTGATTACACAACCACTTGTTACTGTTTTGTGTTGCAGGATGTCAACTCTATTGATATTTATCAGTCACATTGGAGTTTTTGTCATGAGAAAACTGTTGACTCTTTAATGACCACATTTTTTTAAGCGCATAAATTTTTTTTTGTTATAATTTCTAGTGATTCCAGTTACTAAGTAGTGTATAGATGAGTATTGAACATTGAAAATTGTATATTGAAAAATGTAAGGCAACATTTCAGTCCACTTGGTCTTATGAGATCCTAACATTAAACGCAACGGTATGATCCATTTAGTCTTCTGAGCGCAAAATATGGATGATATTATGTAGCTGGCATAGTTAATTATCATTTTGTACATTACTTTTGCTAGCAACAATGGGCTTAAGAACTTTGGCCAAGAAACTTCAAAGAAACTCTAGTATTTTAGCAAAAATGCCTTTATTTGAGATTGAAATTTCAAAGAAAATTTTTGTTTTCCCAACATCCTTGATGTTGGGAAAACATTAAGGTTGATGGGCCAAAGACGCCAGGGCCATGGTTGTGAGGCTAATGTCTAGGCAGAGAGGCCAGTGTCCAGGTTGAGAGGCTAGCGTTAAGGCTGAGAGGCCCGAGTCCAGGTTGAGAGGCCCTAGTCCAGGTTGAGAGGCCAGGGTCCAGGTTGAGAGGCCAGGGTCCAGGTTGAGAGGCAAGAGCTTATTTCCCAAACAGGGTTAACTATTTTGTGACCCTTCTTTACATAAGTTTTCTTTAAAAATTAGCCAGAAATTCATTATTTGCATAAGAGGGTTGAAACAAGCACTGAAATGACATGCAATGATTGCTCTAACATATTCTTCTATCAAATTAAATTCAGTGCAATTAGAATGCATGATATGGGCTGGTCCTTTCTTACCCCATGAAGGCTGCGATCCTGTCTTACCCCATTTGACTATACAATTTTTCACTGATTTCTAGGCTTGAATAGAGGAATGAAGTGATCCAGCAACAAATATAGTTGTTGCAAAGCAGTACAACCCACTTACCTATGGATTTTAAATTTATTATACAAGTATGTAGCTTGCTTGCAACAGGGTGAACTAAGAAATGTAGGAAATCATTTTTGTTCCTGCATTCACACTAAGAGGAGAGCTAAAAATACAGCTCCCATTCAAGGCAAAGATATTCATTGTAGGAATTTGGTAAAAATTTTGTTATAATAATCACTTTTAAAGAGCAGCATAAATTTTGATAGTAAAGAACTTGATCAGATGTTGTTTGAAATATTTGATATGGTTGAAAAAGTTATAATTGATTTGTTACACCTGCAGGAATTCTCGATTGCAATTCTTGATCCCAGCTCTATGACTGCAAATTTGCTTGAAAGTCAACAAAGACTGAAATGCAACTAGTATCTGTTAAATAAACTTTCTATGAGGCTTCAAATGTAATCACATTATTTCTAAATGAAATTAGCAAAGGCAGTGTGCTAATTTGTTGAGGCAGTCAACCACTAACTTTGTAATATACTATCTCTTAATTGATTTAAGTTTAGTTTTGAGTTTCTTTGCTCCTCACCATATATATATATATTGTAAATATCCTCCCAACTAAATCACCTCCTCATAACCAAAATATAGGTACTCTATATGTGTGCCCAGCTTCCCTTAACCCTTTAGCGGGCAAGCATTGAAATATCCAGAAATTAAAATTTCAGAAACCATTTCAAGAAAGTAAGAAGTATTATACATTATATTTATATGAATTTTTTGCAAATTTTGCCTATTGAAGGTTTAAATCGCACTTGAAGAATTCAATAAATGCGATCAGTACACAAAATTTTTCTTTATAATTAAAATTCAGTTTATGCAAATGAAAAATTAGAAACATAAAAATTTAACTTAATAAAATTCAATCAAGTTGCCAAAATAAATAAATATATATATTGATACTTCCACCTTTTGAAGAAAATGCAGAAAGAGCGTCAGTTCCATTGTCCGAGTCAAAACCTTCACCTTTAAATGCTCATATTTCAATTTGTGGATTTTGCAGCTGGTGATGCTATAGATAGAACGATGGTCAGATAATTAGGGATTGACTGAGGCATTATAAGGGTGCCTCAAAAACAAACAGGATGCCCTGCTGAGGCTTTTTGTGACGCGATTTCAAGTGATCATATATGGTAACTTAACCGTGAAAGGGTTAAGTTAATGGAAGCTATACATAAATGTCAGTTTTTACATGCAATAACTGGATTTTCTCATCAAATTTTTAAATTTTGATTCATTTTGATTTAAGAGCAGTACTCTAAAATTTGGCACAAGAATGGTGGAATGGCCTTTGGCTGGGAGCATTAATTAAATATGCATTGAAAATAATTTTTTTACAGTGGCAATAAATGAATATCAGACAAGAAGGAGATATTTTCTTTATTGAAATAACTTAGATAAAATCTGAAGGGTTCACAAAATATTGAGGATTTAGGAATGGAAATCCAATGCTGATGACTCCAAAGGAGTTAACTTGCACAGGCAGTAAATGCAGAGAACATGAAGTTTCTGACTTAGGTTTCTTTTCCCCTGAAAATGTATATACAGGCTATAGTTAGGTTTGCATTCATACACAATTGAATAGCAGCCTGCTAATCTAGTGAACTTATCACTTCCATGATATTATTAAAAAAGAAAATTATCCGGTTTTCATTAAACAAAAATTTCAATCTATAACAATGCAAATTTTCATTCATTTCAAGCCTGTCAGCAAGTCAATTCTACTTCATCTAGAGAATGACTCGTAAAAAGAAGTATCAAGTTGACCCAAAATAAAATAATAATCCCAACACAATTATAAAATCAGAAAAAAATTAGGAATTCAATGTACCAATAAAAACGTCTAATATACATACTTATATATATAATTATATATACTTACCAATAAGGATAGATGAAGTGTGAGTCTCTGAAGAACAAACCAAACTGAGTTCAACTTTTCCTGAATTTTCAGTCAGATGAAAACTGATGGGATCTGCCACTAAAAGAAAAAAATTATTAAAAATGGACATGTAATTTAACTCAAAGTTTTATAGAAGCAGTTTGAGAATAATTCAATTGTCTTTTAATCTTTCCAAGCTGGTCATGAGCTCAAGGCCTGTAATTTCATATGGACAAGAATTGAGTGAATTGAATTTAAATTTTTGGACTAACAGTAACAGGCAATAACTATTACTTCCTACTCAAAATTGCAGATTATATAACGGAAAAATTTGCAACTTAAGCATTATTATTTCAGGAAAATTTAATTATAATTAATAATAAAATAAAAAAACTAACATAATGCAATCAATATTGGGAGCAAGTTTACAGGTAAAAAACTGTAGAGCACTGCTGGTGCTGGAAATACATTTTGAAATAGTCATTGACTTAGAAGATACCGCAGCTGATTAAAATTTAAAACCATTAAAAGAGAATTACAATTTACAAGTTCCTACTAGCTACGGTAGTAACTCAAACTATGATGTATGTCATTACTGTCCTATGATAATGATGTGTTTGATGTCTCTCAGACTCAAACTCAAAGGGCTCCATGGTCAGGAAGGTGTGCCAGGTGCGCGGGAATTTATTTTGTCATTTTAACAACCTGTGCGGTGCGCCGTACTACGTTGGTAAAAAAATGCGCCGTGCGCCGTACTTTAGAAAGCTAAAATAGTTCTACTATTTTAGTCGACAATATACGCGAGTATATTGACTACGCGAGTCAAACTGACAATAATAAAATGTAAGACATGTCCGGGTTACTTCTGACTCTTCTGGTTGTCCGCCTTGTCGGATACGGAACGTACGGTAATCGTAAACTGCGGCTGTTATACATACGAAATGTAAACAGACGGTGTTCAGTGTTGCCATATGACATTGGAGAAAATTTCTTCTAAAATAAAGACGGCCGGGATTGCGCGAACACGTGCGCGAAGATAATCAATTTTCATTACATTGCGCCAACTGTGCACAGCAATAGCTTAATAAAAGTGAAAATGCACGGGAAAATTCACCAAAAACATACATCATCCTGAGTGTGGAAAGGGTTGGAATTAGATTAAATTGGACACTTTGAACTTTGAAGTGCCATATTTCATTCAAAATGAAAATTTTAATCTACCAGTAGGTAATCACTAGGTAAATAAGGTAATTCACTATACTATAGTACTTAGGCCTAAAGGCCGCCTAATCAGTGAAAATGTACGATTAAATATTTCCTACATTAAAACTGGAATCATAATCTCATTGCTTCAAAATATTGAATATAACCATTTCTTTGGCAAGGAATTTTTTTTAACCATGACAAATTATCACTGCAAAATTAGTCAGACACAAAGTTACCAACCAAGCAACCATGAATACCTATATTTAATTACGTTTACAATCTGAGGCAAATCATTTTGGACAAAAGGTAGACTGGCAGAGTGCACAATGCACACACCAAGTCACCTACTAAAATGACTCTTTCAGTTATTGAATAATGAATAAGTGAATACCTAGCTAACTGCTAAAGTAAAGGCCTACGGTACAGCTACATTCCTTGCGAAGTTACGTTTACAAATTACAATCTGGCTGACTGGCTTTCTGGGGCAAATCATCGCTGCACAAATGTTCACAATATTTGTTTGAAAAGATTGGAAATATGAGAAAATAAATGAACAATTGTTAATAAGCGGTCGATGTTCAACTAAATAGTGTTATTTTTACGATTCGCTGCAATAGAACTTACCGGTGGACCCCGAGTTGTGATTGTGACGAAGGAAGCATTCACATGTTGCGGCGTAGACTTCTCCGCATACACGGAAGAGTTGAATTGAAGTTAAATTCACACATAACTTTACTCCAGCAACGGGGCGATAGGTGTTAATTCTGAAAAAAAAAAAAAAAACATTATGACACGCTCGTTGAAACAACATTTTTTCTCATTCAATACTCAGTAGAAGCCGGTACATGGCTTTAATTTTGAGCTAAAAATAATTGGGTTGCAGCAGTTCCTGAATGGTGTTTATTATGGGTCAAGTAATAAAAAATAACATTGTGCTGAATTTTTGAGGACGGCTTGCAATTATATAGAACGAATATCGATGTGAAAAGTTAAAAAAGTACTGCAACTTGAATTCGTTACACCTTATCATATCATAGTGATGTCGGCGACATCGGCGCTGATAAATGGGCCTGATCTGGCCTGTCGCCGAACCTTGGCAAATTATGCTATGTCTAATTCATATACTACTATGTAATTGTTTCGACAAACCTTTTTTGAAGGTCTTTGTAGACACAGAAGGTGTCCATGTGTTGCATTTCATCCCCATCTACTTGTGTAAGAAAATTCTTAACTTCGAAATGACTCCATTCGCACTGAACCTTCGCTTCTCGCAGTTCTTCGTCGGACGCAATGTTTTTCAAGAGTTCAGGCAGATCTGCAGGAAAAAGCAATCAATCTTTAATAATTTTCAGAGCCTAACAACACTAAAAAGTATAAAAAAATGTGCGCGAAGAAGCAAATTACTAAATCCCCGTGAACCACTATGCAGCAGTTACTGGCAGGCGATGCTTCAAGATGGTCGATTGACGAGATATTAAAATAAAGTATTGGGCATAGTGTATGCCAAAATCAAATTTATTAGCTTAATTAATGTATAATTACCGTTCACGTTGAGGGCTGTGGGGAAGTAAAAGGTTTTGTCTTGTGGTTTGCAAGGTTCCCAGACACTTGAATTATTTGCATGGTAATGCAGCTGCATGGCAGAAGACATTTCGATTCTGTTCGATTCTGGCGCCTTTTCTGTGGAAAGAAATGCAAACTTAGACTCGGTTTGTACTTTGTTACACCAGTACATTTGCTAACAGAATACGCTCTCAGAAAATTACATTCATTTTAGAATTGCTGCAACTATGTTTTGCTGAGCGCGCTGATGAATACAAGGCAGTATGGGATTTTCATTGACAAACAAACGCAAAATGATTTCACTAGCGTAATATATGAATTATATCTTCTATATTAGTGTAGCTCAAGTTGAAAAAAAAAATATATAACTGACTACTTTCAAAGCTTAACCTAAACAGTTAATTTTACGCTGAACTCATTTATTTTACCTTACAAAATTGCTGGTGTGGGTGGAACAAGTCGCCTGTAGAGTCTTCGTTGAAGTAACACGTGGTGCTCTTTGATACCTGAGCGGAGATCTCACCTTCTCGCCGAGAGCTTCAACACTGACTGATCTACGTTTGCTTACGGAGCATCGAGCCTGTAGCCTCGTAACAAACAAAGATTATCTAGAAATGTCCACGTGTGGGGGTGACCGACACATAAAGAAGGTGTGAGGTTATGTCGACCGTAACTGCCTTTATGAGCGATCGATTGGATTCGGGTGCAGTTAAATTCACTCCCGAGCCAACTATTTTATACTAAATAATCCATAGCCATAGCTCGCCAGCTCTTACCAAATGCTTTTTTCACTAGAAAATTTACTGAGGTTTCAGCTGAAGAAAGCCCAATGCTGCCACTTGTCTGGAAGAAGTGATACATACATGAATTATAAGTGAATTGAAATAATTCTATATAATAGTAAAAACATATTAAATAAAAACTATTATGATGTGGGCAGGTATTACTTCTCAATAAGCTCATGCATCAGGTCTTAATAATTTTACTTCGTGCATGCCTCTCATCCTACTCCTATTGCAGATTAAAAAAATAATAATCGGTACAATTTATGATTTTGAAATTGACTATGGTGTAATACGGCGAATCAATTACGTCTACTGTACTATATATGAGCAAAGCCAGTACTGCATCAGCTTCACATAAACAGTAGAATATTCAAATGAATCATTAGAAAATTCGGGACAACAAAAATATCTCACTAAAAATATTTCCCTGAAAATTTAATGAGGAATAAAAAGCTGAATAAACATTGCCAGTGCATAGAAATTTACCGATTGCATGCCCCGATTGTTTGATCATTCAAATCAGATCCGGGTACAGAAACTTGAAAAACGAAAAAAATATACAATCCGATTACTGATTAGTTAAATTCTAACATACATTAGGAAACTGAGAATTTATAAAATGAATGATTTATTTATTTTTTCATTTTTTTTTAAATTGAAAGATTGTATCTTTAGGTTCTGCCTGCCGTAGTGAAACTGGAATCATGAAAGCCAGCGAACAGTTTTCCCTAAAACGAATTTCACGCTCTAAGCCTACCCAGCAGAAATTCCGGCTTCACGCCTATCAAAATTGTAGCTTTGCGGTCGAATTGTTTGTCTGTCAGCTCCGGGAACGCAGCCGCATGATGCTATTTGAACCTTACACGTACTGGTGATGTTTTTTTTCTGAGATGAGGTTGCTATGCTGGTTCAGCATTAATATCCTAATGCATTAAAATATTTTTCTGATGGTTTGATAGAAATTGGCGTATTAAGAGAAAGCGGCATGCCCAAGCTCTGTGGATGGAAAATGAGCATAAATAATATGACCAAATAACCTAACATTATTGAAAGTGAAAATTTTTGTCCGTTAAATGATTACACTTCAAAGTTGCATTTATCAGTCAGCATACCTACGATACTGTCCGACACTTCTGTGCAGTGATGACGACATTTATTGATGGCTCAAACTTTTCAGATAATATGAGACCTCAGTCTTCAGATCACCTCAGAGATAAGTCTTCAGATCACCTCAGAGATAAGTCTTCAGATCACCTCAGAGATAAGTCTTCAGATCACCTCAGAGATAAGTCTTCAGATCACCTCAGAGATAAGTCTTCAGATCGCCTCGGAAATTATTCATAACAACAATTTTCGTTCAATTAGATAGTCGCTCTAAGTCTCAGTCCCTTTCATTAGTTGAAATATCTGTGACAACTTGCCGCAAGAAAGACGTCTAGCTTACAAAAATGGATTCTTCTGGGATCATGTGAAAGACGCTATGCGTAAATTAACGAAAACAACATTAAAAAAATGCGTTACGCATCAGATATGAAATTAGTAACCACTTCACTCACCTAAAAAGTTTGAATGCGTAAGAGATTATTCATTATTATGTGGTTAACATTAAAAGATTTTTGGAAAAGTTACCTACTGTATCCTTTTTGACTCCCATTGTTTAATTATTCAAAATTGATTTCAGATTATATATCAGATTTAATCATAAATGAATTGTATTCATTTCAAATGATTCGATAGCTTTATGGCAAAGGCTTGTGTTTGAATGCCATTTGAGAAAAATTTCTCCGAAGGACAATCCGTATACTGAATCACACTACAACTTACAAATAGGCTATTATTCGGATCAAGATAAAATTTGTTTGCTTCGTGGGCCAACAATCTGCACCCACAGCCTCATGCGGCCCACTATACTTTCAACAGTCATTAGGTAACATTCTCCTGTAACCTCAAAAAGAAAGCTCTTTCTTTGTCCTACATACAATAATCTAGAAGTAAGACATAAGACGAGATCACATATTTCATGACGAAAAAGCCGAGTATTTCAACCAAAATCATCAGTCAAGGAGCTTATAAAAATGACTCCAAATAGTTTCGGTCTCAATTTATTTACGCCAAACCATCAGAGCAATTTAAGTCTCACTCGATTTAAATTACAAACTAAACATAGTCAGAGAACGGTGGCATGACAGGCATCTTCTTTACCTGCTTGTTTGGCTCCTCGAGACATAAAGGCATGGACTGCCCAAAGGCAAACGCATGAACATTGGCCCGCGTTTTTCACGTTATTTCCTTCAAGAATTGTACGTCACGTCGTGTGCAGCTTTTGTTAGAGGTGGGAGTAACCTTCTAGACAGCCGCTTATCGGACTCTCTCTTCAACTACCTTATTAGTCGGGCTAATGAAGTAAATGAATTAAATATATTAAATGCGGAATGAAATTAAATTGTTTGCGTAAGAGGAGCTTAAACGTGTAAAAGCAATCTTTCGAGCAGCTTGAGCGCGTTATAACGTGAATTAACAAGCAATTTTATGCGACGCGTTGAGATTCTAGCGGGTCGGAGCGTCTGAGATGGTTCCCTCGTGTGCGGTTGACCCAGTCTAGCGTGGGCATCCGGTCGAACTGGAAGCTGTAACGGAGCAAAGAACAGGTTACTGCGAGCAGACCTGCTGCACGGACCTGTTTGCAACAGTGCTGCTCCACAATCTGTAGTGCTGTGGTGTGCAGTGTGCAGAGATGCGCTAATGTTTAGCACTGTGGTAGTCTGATATGTAGAGAGCATTTTCGGTTGTCCTATACCAAACCAAGCGAACATGTTTTATGCATGATAGAACTCACATTTAAAACGTTTCTTTGAAACAAAAACCAGGAATGTGGGTCATCGATCTTTAATTTACATTCATTGTTCAACTTGAAAGTGGCTTGATCAATGTTTAAATGTAAAGTCTCAAAGGTTTAAAAATGCCATCTCTTCCATTCAGATGCCCATTTTCATTTCATTTACCATGAAATGAATAAATTTTTAGGAGAATGCCTAAAATAATATTTTAGTTCAATATTCCACTTATTTTCCTCTATATACAACACTTCTCTTTAACTTCACTTCTTGTTGTTTGTTTGTCTGTCTGTCTGCTACAAATTTCGTAATCGATATTTAACACACTTCTACCTGTCAAATCGATCTGAAATCTGGCACACTTGCATAAAGTTGGAGACAATGCATGAATCAATTGACAGAATAAATGATTTTAAGAACTAATTTTTTTCAATATAAAAAAATTAAAAATAATTTTGTCAGCTACAAATCTTATTATCAATATTTGATACACTTCTACCAATTCAATCGATCTGAAATTTTGCACACTTGCGTAAAGTTGGAGACAATGCATGAATCAATTGACAGAATAGATAATTGTATAAATAAAAATTTTTTTATTATTAAAAAAATTTAAAATAATTTCGTCTGCTACAAATCTTATAATCCATATATGGCACAATTTGACCTGCCCGATCTATCTGAAATTTTGTAAAATTGCATCAAGTCAGAGACAATGCATGAATCAGTTGACGGAATAAATAATATTGATAATTTACAAAATTTTGATATCTTAAAAATTTTTTGACATTTTTTTTTCAATATTTGAAAAAAATTTGAAAAATAATCTTTATCAATATTTGAAATAAAATTAGAAATTCATTGTCCATGTGTAACATCCAAGACACTGGATTGTTCAGAAGTGTTGTCTTTAAAAAGTAATTTTTAAACGCATATTATTCTTAATCTATAGTACCTACTCGATTGGCAGGCAAAAGATGAAAAAATACCAAACGCTCAAGGGCTTAAAATACTCTGAGAAACTATGTTCACTCTGCCAATGTGTAATATATTGAAAGAATTTGAGCGCAATGTTAACTTTTCAAATTGAATGCAAATCGATGAAGGAAGCGTATATAATTAGAAGGAATATCTACGAATGAACTAAATAATTTCAATAAATTGTCATCTCAACTGAATTTGACCATGAAAGACTTTTGTCATTTGCAATACCGTTATTTAAAAAATTTGGAAATCATTTATACGTATATTATAATATCAACTACACTGATTATAAGTTGTATCAGAAGATTGAGATATCTTCTCTAGTTGAGATAACTTCACAAATTGAGCGGAAATTGAATTCCCTTCTTCCCAGCCATGTCCGGGAGAGTTACGGTGAGGCTTCACTTCATTTGTAATAAGCATTTCACCGATCGCTGGTGGTAGGTTTATGTGCGTAGAATTATGTATAAATCAAACTTGAAGTTGTTTTAGCTCATAATACTTGAATCTGTGTAGAATTTTCATTCATATCACTTCTTTTCCACTGCAAACTAGAATGACACTTGAAATTCACAAGGAATTTAAAAGCAAAGAAAACGCCAAGAAAATTCACCATATCGATATTGAAAACGTTTCGATTGAAATTTCGCAGCGAAATCAGGCTTATGAATCTTAGGAAGGCCGTACAATATGCCCGGGCACGAACCCGAAACGTGAAGTTTAGACAAAGTTTCGGAGGCAAGGGCGGAGGTATCTTAAATGTAGGACACTTGAAATGTAGTGCGTGTAGCTGTCGACGATATGGACTCTACACGTTAGAACATGAACTCTTTGGATATTTGAACTCCTACACATGAGATTATTTTCCCAGCTTCATACATCGAACATTGGAAGAATAAGATAACTCGTTATGAGCTTGAACCTCGTTACATTGAAACTGCCGCCATTGTGTTCACTTGCTAATTACATTGATAGATGACGAATGAAGCATTGTTACGTACCGATAGAAAATAAAGGGCGGTGAAAAGTTCAGTCAGTGAAGAAGTCACGACTTTACCCAATATGCATTTAAAATGTATTCTTCCATTAAAACTAAATTGATATATCAACGTAACTCAAAATAAGACTTAATTGTAGTCGAGATAAATTTTTACTGGCTGGCTAAAATAAAAGACATTTATCGATATATATCAATAAATTTATTCTAAAATTTGATTCAAATATAGTTGTTAATTTCATAATCTAAGTCTTAACGAACGATGACGTTCATATCTCTGCTGCGCTGCAGATGCGGGAGGGGCAGCGGGTGCGCAGGGGTGACGTCATCATGAGGGGGAGGCCGTTCGTCCATATACTCTTCAGGGAGTTCAAAAAACATTACTGCGACCAATGCATCAAGAAGTACGTGGCTCTCCCGTAATTTAAAATTAATGAGAGAAATGCCGTATTTCAGGCCGATATTTGTATAAATTGAATTTTCATTGGCCCTATATTAATCTTTTCCCCAATTATACTTTATCAATCAATCAAATCAATAAATCAAAACATCAAACATCAATCAAACCGTAAAGTTTGTAATTTTGATTTTCACGATTATAATTTTACATCTTGTTTCTTGTACATTACGAGCCTAGGCTTGTACGTACATGCAGGCTGATATACGGAATTTTATAGGAAAAGACATAACATGAAATTTTGCCCCATTTATTTTCAAAGATCACATCGGACAAATGACGGCCCATATTGTCAATGCATTCACTGAGCCGATTTTTGAAGTTCAGTTCAACTCGCTGAAGTATATTGATGGGTGTTGACCTCATTTTCTTGAGAGTGATTTACTTCGGCCGACCCGATCCCCCGATTTGGCTCTATGTTATTATTTTATATATTTATCTTAAATCAATTGTTTACAATGACTCTGCAAGGACCCTAACTCATTTGAAGAACAACATACGCCAAACCATTACCAACATACCCGTCAATATGTTTCAGCGAGTTGAACGGAACTTCGAAAATTGATTAATCTATACTTGAATGCATTGACAATGAGGGCCGTAATTTGTCCGCTGTTATTTTAATACTAAATAATACAAAAATTAAGGTAGTGCCCATTTCAATAAAATGTAAATTGTAATGATAACTTTATTAGATTTTTTATTGAGCTTTAAAATCAATAACTTTCCGTGAATCACCTGTACGTTCAAATGAGACTGAAAAGGAAGTTACTTACTGGAATCAAACAAGACGGAAAGAAAATAATAAAAATTATTTTAGTGATTCTCTGCGCGAATTTTGTTAACAACACAAAGAAATATTCTGAATTGAGAGGCTTATTTTGTCCGTGTATGAGTTAGAAATTTACTTGAGTTACACGTCGTTTGGTCACCCAGACGCGAGAGCGAGCCGTGCCCCGGCTGTGGTCAGGACTTCTACTGCAGCGACGCGTGCCGCCAGGAGGCGCTGCCCCTACACAGCCTCGAGTGCGCCAGACTCAAGGCCTACGCCCCGGAGTGTCTTTCAGACTTCGCTCGGTTCATGGCGAGAACAATCCTCAAGCTCAGGGTGAGATAAAGCGGTCTACAACATTCATTAATTCATTCCAACGGGCAACGGGTAAAATGAAACGGTCTGGAATCCTTAATGATAGACTTGTATCCCGTCAGGGTAATGTAAACAGTCTGAAATTTTGATTGCATCTTGATAGATGATAGATGTTTCATCTTGATGGATGAAACAGTCTGCAATTCTAATTTATATGTTCTCAGGATTAAGATGGTCTGCAATCCTTATTTATATATTCCCAGGGCTTTATGAAACGGTCTATATACAATCCTTATTTATGTATTTCAAAATTGTGTGTGACCTCATTGCTTTATCATGTCGAATTTTTTACTGCTGACAGAAACAAGACTGCAATACTGCATATATGTACGTTTACGTTAAGTGTTTTCGATTTTTGGGTACATTTTCTCTGACTTTTCATTGCCCAAAATTAATCATTGACTTCTACGTATCGTTCCCATTTTTGTACTGCAGAAAAGACCGAACATGAACGACTGACGACGCTACTTGCTTAAAATACTCTACACTAAACATTTCATTCTTTATGCAAACCCAAGCTCGCACCTTTTAGTATTGAGAACCGTTGAATGCCAAACGAAAAATATCTACACAACCTGAAAATATTCAAACTAGATAAAAATAAACGCGCTATGGAATCCTTTACGAAAGCGTATATTTGAAGAAACATCGCTACTTCTACCCTTCCACTCTAAAATGTTCTTATTCAGTTTGACAGCATATGTTATGTTTCTTTTAATGCCATTTCAGAATGGTGGAGACAGAGAATGGGTTGTTATCGACAATAAACTCAGTCGACAATTCCGTCACATGATGACTCGTGAGTAAACCTAATGTATTAGCGAACGTTAAGCAAACGTAAAATCTACAGTAAAAAATCAAAATATTTTTTGGTCGCCTATTAATTATTAACATATTTAATTATTATTATTATTATTATTAATTATTATTAATTATTAACATATTTAAATACAGACTCCATTCAGATCGTGCAATAGTTACAATTTTTTGGGATTTGTTAAGAACGTTTTACCGAATTTCTTAGTCATAGCCAAAGAAGTAAAATTTTTACACGAATTGAGAAGATTATTTCCGTACTCAGATTCCGATGCGATGGCAAAGTGCGAGAAGCGTTCTCAAGACTTGGCAAACAAGAAGGGTGAGCTGCGGAGCTTCTTCGGCAAAGATTACCCGCTCACCGACGAGTTCTTCCTGGACGTTTACTCGAAGGTGAAATAGATAGACGTGTAAGCTGAATTAATAAATATCTAATAAAAAAAAACAATTTAGAGACAGTTACTGGAAGCCAAAGGTACTTCGAGCAGTAAAATGTGTACATTTGAAAATTAGTATGAACTTTTAATATAGGAAATACACCATGTAACTTGCGTCTTATATTTGTTATTTCATTGTAGATAAAAGTGAACAACTTCGGCATGATGTCGGAAGAATGCTTCTCGTTGGGCCAGGCCATTTACATCGACGCTGCGATCTACAACCACTCCTGCCAACCCAACGCCGTGCTCTGCTTTGATGGTACTGAGATGACAGTGCGTGCTACCGTCGATGTAACAAGGTACCATCGAGATCTGGTAAGTGTAACTATTATGCATCTCCTTAACAACAAACAGTAATAGTTAAAATTAGCAATAAAAAACTGTATTATCATTTATATCTATTGACATTTACATATCTATTTGATCGAGAGTAAAAAAAATGGTCAAAAAATGGTAAAAAAAGAAATTACTATTGTCCGTGTGAGGATATTTGTTTTGCGTACGCAGTTCCAGCACAGCTACATCGATCACCTGGCGCCCTGGGGGCAGCGACAGCGGCAGCTGCTGCTCGAGTATTGCTTCGAGTGCCGCTGCCAGCGATGCAGCGACGAGTACCTGACTGCTCTCGAGAACACGCTCAACTGCGGTAAATATAAATACTTTGTGTACTGCGTTGGTGGATTAGCACCAAGTGCATTAGCATCCATTAGCTGCCAATTAATACACTTGTATTTAATAAAGCTTGATGCTTCGGCTTGCTGTGGCTAAAACACTTTTGCTCAGTGAGTGTGATTTATTTACTACAAATAAAAACGGCACGAATATTTGTTCGCTACTCTTAGGGTTTTAATAAAAAATGGAAAAAACTTAACAAACCTACAACAAACCGAAAACACTTAAACACTTAAAACACTATAACAAACCGAAAAAACTTAAAAACCTATTAACATATCTCGGACCGAGATATGTTAATAAGTTTGGTGATTCTCGGTTCTTTAAATACTAATTCAAAAAAGCAGAAAAGATCTAAACTCAAATGAACTGACCAATTTTATAAGTTATATGAAAGACGAGATTCTGAATAAAAATTGATTCCGTTGAGTAAAAAATATTGTCATCGGGACATTTTTCATGCAGAACTGCCCTTGCCACTGGCTTATTAGAATAAAGCTAAATATTTTTTTTGGTCATTTGATCATCATTATTTGCAAGGATCATGAATATTCTGGCGTCGGCAGGTAACCCGAAGTGCGAGTATCCAGTGGAGGTGCCCGACGAGGAGGACATGGCGGCCGACATGGACGGCGGGCCGCTGAAGCTCCAGTGCCCTCGCTGCTCGTACTCCAGCTTCCCTGAGGACGTGGTGCAGCAATACCGACGCCTCGTCACGGAGTACGAGCACGTCATTGAGTACTACTACTATCCCGACGGTGCGTTATAATGATAAATATTTCGTTGCGTAATGATTTCTTTTGTTAGGCTGCAGTACAACCACGTCTTTGGCTACTTAAAGAGTCCTGAGGTAAATGGCTAACTGAGCAAGTATTAAACCTTCTATATTTTGCCATATTTTTTTGCGTCAGATTGAACGAATTTCAAATATATATAAAAAATTGTAGCTGTTAATGAACTCGTGATAATGCTACTCTATAAAAAACATTGTATTATTACCGTGCAAATGCATGCAGCTTGTAGAATCAAAGGCTGATATGACCTCTCTTTGCGACTCTCGTACTGAAGAAAGCTTTCCTTGTCCTGTGCTTCATTTGGCAAGCGTGAAGCATGTGGCTATCGTTGAAATTATACGTTTATCAAGTGCATAACAAGATGATATCCCTAAAAATATATTAAATACATTCCACATACGCTCACACCATATATGTCCAAAATTTAACTTTAATTTAAATTCACTAATAATTCGGGTAACACACTTTGATAACCGGAAAAATGACCTATTGTACCGACATGGCTTGCAGACAAGTCGGACTTGGAGTACGTGGTTAACTACGCCCTGACTGAGGTGACGAGACGCCAGAGTAAGGATGAGGGCGGCCACATGAGGATGTTGCTACATCCCTTCAACATCCACCGCATCCGGCTCCTGGAGGCTGCTTATGACTCAGCCATCGAGCTCACGGATGCCGTGGATGCGCTCAAGTTTGCCGAGCTCAATATTGAGGGCATCAAGTGAGTTGGCCGTGATGCTTTTGTTATGAAGTTGTTGACACTTTAATTTTCGAGCAAATTATTTTGCTTGAGAAAGTGAAGTTTAATTTATGTTGCAAGATTTGGCTTAAATTCTAAAATTAACGAGTTGGTTGAAGCCAGATTACGTGTTGTTGAAGATACGTACCAAAGAAAGAATTATTAAAAATTAATGTTGTAACTCTAGTACTTGACTAGTTGAACAATTTGCATGAAACCAATGCTTATTTATCAAATTTTTACATTATCCCAGTACATGACGGCATTGGATTAATTATGGTAGTGATGGGCTCACGATATCGCTGTGACAAGCAATAGGGAGCAAGACAAAGAACGATTATTACAAATTACAAGCTGACTTCATTATTTCCTACGTTACTTTAAATGAGTGTATGCGTGAATGAGGGCGTCAAAAGTCACTGTACATGGTTTCGAAATTGCTTCTTTATTCAAATAGAATTTCATTTTAGCTTTCACTACCATATTCCGTAATTACAAGTACTTAGAGATGTAGTGTCTCTTGTTTATATAGTTTGTGTCATGAAAGTGCATCATTAAATTCCGTAAGTTTACCTTGTAAAACTTCTATTTGTTAAATTACTAAATAACTTAAAAAATAATAAAAGCTGCTCCATCAGGTCGTTACGTCACGCATGCTTGACAGTGAGTTTTGGCTGTTGTCAGGCAATCAGCAACCTCATGAAATTCGACAAACTATAATTGCTCCTGAGCCTAACAGCTAAATAAATATTCATTCACCGAATTCTTTATTGCATCCAGGCATCGAGTTGGTGAGTTTGGACAGCTCTACGGGAACCGATTACTGGAAATGGGGAAGCTGTGCGTGCGCCTGGAGCGCTACAAGAAAGCGTTGCGTCATTTCAGAGAGGCCGAGAGGATCCTGGAAGTCTGTCTCGGTCCAGAAAACCGTCTGGTGCAGGAGGAGCTACGACCTCTCATGGAGGCCACATCGCAGGTCCTGGGACTGATCAGGTCTTCGTCTTTGAGGCTGCGCGACTTCCAGAAACTCGACAAAGCATGGAAACAGCGCCACAAGAAAAAAATTCAGTGGATATATTATGCGTATGGTCTCCTCATTGTGACAATGGTTGTCTTGGGCGTTACGGGTTATAGGTAAAAAATGAACAGTTATTGCCTGATATTTCATATTCTTGAAAACAGGAAGAATTCAACAATTCAAATTGAAAATCATCTCATTGGACAAACGGAAGTGAAGTCTGAGTTGTAATATAAGGGTTTGTCATGCAACTCTAAGCCAGCAGCGTTCCTGGAAATGATGTTGCTGAGGTTTGGGTTATTTAGAAATTTTTAGATACTTCGTGTTTAAGCGGAAGATATTGAACTAAAATAAAATAATGGAAGATATTGAACTAAAATAAAGTAATGTATATTCGATTCTTAATTTCGAAAATATTGAATTATAGTAAGATTTCGAATCCAGGAAAAAACTATAAAATCACAGAAAGATTTGACTTCAACATTGAGAAGGTACCGAAAATTTTTCAATAAGATTCTGTAAACAAAATCATAGTGCAATGAAAATGCTAAGAAATACCGGTAGTTTTTCGAATTTATCAGAGTGAAAAAACTAAATATTTTATTTTAGTTTATAGGTATATAAGATTTAGGTATATAGGTTTATTTTAGTATAGGTAGTTTATTTTTCGATTCAATTTGCAATTCATACCGATTTAAGAGCAAATTATTTGCATCTCTGAGTTCATTGGCAAAAAAGCATAGGCCTTCGGCCCAAATTACCATAATTCCATAATTGTCTAACAATAAAATTCAACTGCACGTTAGTCGATATTTCAATAACGAACTTTAATGACGGCAAAAATAAAAGCATTATCTAAATATATAATTGGCATCTACTTTTGATTGCAAAATGAAATAAAGCAACTATCAAAATAAATCGTCAAATTTATCTGCTGGAGGTAGAGCTTAAATTGAAATTTTTTCTCCCTTTGCGTAAAATTCGAACACGAAATTATTTTTTAAATAAAACTACGCCTCAATGATAGTTCTGCTAAAAAAATAACTTATTTCATGTGAGATTTCGAACTGAGGTACAACTGTGACAATTTCACACAATCGAGGAAGCTTAATTAAAGAAATGATAATTCTGGAAGCTTTTATTTAAGTTTAACCAACAAAGTTTGGAAGAACATTCATATTTTCTTGAGATCAAAGTTATTCAAAAAAGCTCTTCAAATGTGCGAACAGATCTTTTTCTTCTGCCGGATGCTCAAGTTGAATTTAATGCAAATAAATGCTTCAACGTTTGCTTCAAATGTTGGTTGCAGGTAATTCTTCGGAAAACAGGGTGACGAAAGGGTGACGTCAAAGCTAGTTAAGATAAGCAGTCTAATCGGGATAACTGGATACTGTTGAAGAAAAGGACTTGTATTAAGAATAGACAAATTTAGCGCTGAAATTAATATTCAAATATAGGACACCATAAAGCAGATAACTTTATAAAGAGCTTACCAACCTGAGGCTTTATTGCCCAGTGTGGTCGAACCCTTCTAATTGGAAGAATTATTAAGGAAAATAGTATAAATCAGTTTAGTTGAAGGGGTGGGAAGTTGGACGAGAAAAAAATAGGAAGAATAGTAAGAGGTTTAACTGCTTTTGAAAGTTAGAAATAGACTTAATATTAAGTTGTAATTACCTTGAACTCCGCGAGTAAAGTACGTACCAAGTTCCCGCACTTTCAAATCGAAAAATACCAACATAGAAATTTAGTTAATTAAATTTAGGTTTAGATTTGATGAGAAATTGGGGAATTTACGTCGAGAATTTGAGTCTTAACCTTTGTCCAACTTCCCACAGAAGGAAGAATGATTTGAATTGTGCAAAAAAATAAACAAATTGAAATTTTAACGGCATTCATTCAAACAAAAATATAGGGAAACAGGGTTACAGCAAGAGGTTAGAGATACTTGATGCCAGTCGTTTTCAAGACTGTTAGGAGACTTGAAATTGACGATTTAGTTTAATCGTGAGAGTATCGTAAATTGAAACTGAATGAAACAGAAATAATGGATCGACATCGGCAGACTTAGATATGCACTTGAGGACAATTTATCTCGACACTTTTCTCACCGTACTGTCTTTTTGACGACCCTTGAGGTCTGCTACCGAATCGCTGACTTTAAATACTTGCTTATTCTACAAATGAAATAAGAAAAACGAAAAAAACGAAGGCAACCCACAATCTATGTACAAATTTACGGTGAGAAACTAGGAATTTCTCACACAACTTTGAATTTTTACTTATTTACAAGTCATATCATGCATCTCTTGATTCGACGTTGTTCTTCATGAAAACTTTATTTTATTTTATTCATATATGTGAGAAAAATATCAAAATATTCCTTACACTATTTAATAAATAGTTCTAAAAGAGCATCGTTGCAAGCTAAAAAAAATTCAAATGTGTTCACATGTTTAAGTATTCTTGGTGAACTTACGAAATAAAAGAAAGTAGGAGCGAAATCCTTACTACCAGTTCATAATTAAGCGCTTCAACACGACCACAGAGGATCTCCAGCAAGCCGCCTCTAACAGAGCGATCTTCAGGAAAGAAATATCCTATGCTCGATGCAAAGTCTGTAATCTGCTATACAAACACTATCAGAAACTCAGTGAAAAGAAGGATTCAATTTTGTTGAATATCTTGCGTTGGTTTTTGATAACTTGTAATTTTTAATTAATGATAATATTCTTAATTTGCCTAGCCGTGCAATTGAATTAAAATGAAATGTATTAGATGTTTACCTTGAATTTACTTATCAATAATTCATGGATAATTCTCATCTCAAAAACCGGTGAGGTCAATACAGCAGAGAAACTCTGTTCCGAGAGCTGCACCGTGGGCAGCGGTATCGATAGGCTGAATTCTGATTCGAATTCACTGAATATTATACCATCCGTGTTACTTGTACAGTCCGAGTTTGTGTATACCATGCAAATATCAAACGTTATATATAACATGATCCGATCAGTTATATGAGGGGAAAATTGAGCCAGTAAATTGTCTAAAATTACTTATATTGTACCTGCAATTAAATACTCATCTCGATGTCTATCGTCCCGATTCATGCGGCCTGCCACAAACTTTCGCTCCAGAATGACAAAATAATTTTTGGAATTTACTATAAATTTTATTTAATTCAATAATGAAGCGAATTTTAGCATATCAGCTGTGATGACCGCGTGTTAGGAGAGGCGTTGTAAAGTTATGATAGAAACCTGTAACAGGCTATAGCATAACAGGAAGCTAACTACCGTATGAAAATGGTCCCACTCTATAGCGGCTCGATGGTGTCCCTCTCCAGCACACTCCTCACACTCTGGTGTTAGTGAGGCGCCCAAGTCCCACTCCAGCAACGCGATAATGTCCCTCTCCAGCCCACTCCTCCCACTCATGCAATTTCGCATCCTAGTGCCCAGGGAGCGCTGCTGTATTCCTGCTGCAGTTTTCATTTCCCGGACGCTGAGTGCCATCCAGTGTTGGCCTGCACTCGGCCGAGGAAGGATGGTGGTGCGTTGCTAGTCTTTGTGAGAAGCATCAATGATCCTCTCGATCTCATCCAGCCTACTCCCTGCCATTTTTTGATGAAAAAGACAATATTGCAGTAAGATGTGACTGAAGAATATCTTTCAATTTTCAAATGACAGGAACAGGCAAATCTTGTCAAATTTTATTCGGAATTTATTGAATCGTTTAAAGAACATTTACTGATGCTGAATGCATAGGCATAGCGCCAGCTCCGCGCTGTGTGAACGCCTCTGATAATAACAGGAAAACAAGACGCCTCAGTACTGGCGACAGGTTGTTCTTCCCGTGCCTGTTTTGCGTATTATTTTGTAAGTGTGAACGCGAAAGATAAAGAATCGGTAGTGAGAATTCGGTAGAAAAGTAAAATAAAATTTATTGTTGAGATTACTTCTAATTTGTTTTCTGAATTCGTTTTGTTCCAAATGAATCTTTAAGTTTAGTTATTTATTTCAGCTCTCCCTGGCACAGTGATACTCTAGTTACGTCAAGTTTAATATTTAAGAGAATTTGTGGCCGAAACGCGGCACAGAAATTTGTTCGGTTTTGAGTCCAGCCTCCGTCCAGGATCTGCTGGATTAGTATGAACCAAGACTACAACATGGCTGGGCATCACGGCACCAGCGAAGCAGTTTTTCGTGATATATTTTGCAGTCAACGAAATCTTTTAGAATTAGAATACTTTTCTCATTGTGGTTAAATGAACCCGCTTGCCCGATAGTTACAAATTTTATTTCCAAGACTTGGAAATTGCATGAAAGTGCAATATGGAACCTAGGTATCAATAAGCACCATGATCGCTTTGTGGCATCTCGAAATAAATGCTATTATCCGTAATAAATGGGATAATCATTGGCTTTGATATTCGTCAGTTAAAAAAATTAGAAAGAATATAGGAGGAGCGTGAAGCAGCGATGGCGCGGTGCAGTCTGTCTGCCCATACCCCGAAGACGTCGTTGCTGCTGCTCCTGCTGCTGCTGAGCTGCTGCAACGCTTTACTGAACGTCTTCCTCACTGAAGCTGAAGTGAGACGTACACTGGGTAAGCAATGGAATTTCTGGTAAGAAAATACAATTGGAATATACTAAGGAAAATTGATACTTGGAACTTACATCTCTGGTTCTGGTAGTTGTATAATAATGAGGGACAGAACTTCGATGAATTCATTGCCTTAGCAGATCAGATCAGATTGGTGTCTCTAAATTGTGCATGATAAAGAGATGTAGAGAAAAAAAAGGATAGAAGAAAGATGGAGAAGAGAGTTCACTGGAAATAAATTTATATCAAACTACGGCTGCTTTATGACAATGGCAATGGAAGGAAAACTTGCGTACATATATGGGAAGACAATGAAATATTGCGTGTAAAAACCGTAGACGTGTGCGCATTCTGCCTGTCGTGTAAAAAACGTACTTTTCAAGGAAGGCATCACAATTTTTCGTCTCCCAATATCATTCAGGTGCGATAAAATTTTTTTAAGTAATGCTTGTATGAATTCATCACAGTGTAATTATAGCTTGTACAAACTATTGATAATTATGTAGATAAATGTTTTAATTTTGATTGACTCAGTTTTAATTGACTAATACATAATTCTTAGGTTATAAATTCTTTGCCTTGAACCGACGGCTTTAGTCATGCGCAAAACGCAACCAAAGAATCAGTTAATCGAGTTATTGGCTTTTTTTAGCACTACATTTCATTTAGTTTTGGAGTGTATTAATGACCTTTCTTCAATACAAGCTAAAACTAATAATCCTCTTTAGCTCCAATCACATAAATACTACGAAAAAATATTTCGAAATGTTGAATCGCTCTGGCTTTACTTCATTGTCACTGAAATTTACAACGAAAACAACTTCCATGTTATAACTTCGCTGCTCCCAGCACAAGAAAAAAATAAATTCGGGAAACTACGATTAAGACTAACTTTTGAGGAGCCTTGGTTTGTGAGAGTCTTTAGCAGACACGAGGAACTGAAATGGACCAAAGCAGCCATAATTTTGGCCTAAGGTTGACACATGTGGCAGTGATTTATATACTGTAGTTGGGGGTGTGAACCAGGCTCCCTATACTTCAGTGGGTCTAAGAATGGATACGAACATATCTAGTATAGAGCAACTGGATATCGAATTACAGAATTTACAATTACCAAATTGAGTAGACAGTAACCACAAATAATTTCACAGAATGATACTTTGAACTGTGTAAAAGATAGTGAGCACCACCAACTTGAACCTTACTCAGGAACCTACGTTTCGAAGCTCATCAGGAAAATAGCTGTGCGCAGTTCGTGAAGAAAAAATTTATCTATGCTCAATCTATTTTAGTTCCAAATATGATAACACCAAATGATCGCCCAGCTAAAATAATTATCTGATATAGTCCATTTAATCAGAGCAGAGCTTCGATCAGGATTGAGCTACGGACCACGACTTACTGGCACGATCTCGTAACGTCTTATTAAACTTTCTTGCTGACTCAGTGTTGGCCCGGCTTCTCAGACGGTCCTGATAACCATGGCTCTCTCCATTCTTTTGTGGAAAAATCCCTTGAAATATTTTCACTGCATAATTGGTTCTCATTGGCGAGGGTGATTTTAGATAAAAATGGATGATATTGGCCTGAGGTTTAAATTGGATTCTCTTGAACGAAACAGAAAAACTAATGTAAAATTACTAATATCATGTTTGATAAAATGAAACAGTTTCAAGAATAAAAATAAGGCTAGAAGGGAACATTCCTTATTAAAATATCCACATTTATAGGGAATTATAAAGAAATGTAGTAGAGGGTTAAGCTTTATCACATTTGCTGATTATAGCCTCCATGTTCCTAAGCAACGGCGCTTTATATGACCTAAAGCTGGTCTTGACTGACTGCACTTGAACGGATTGGAGGATGAAGTAATTTCCCGAATGTTCACTTGCCCAAAGAATTCGATAGCCAAGTACCCAGCCTTATCTTCCGACCCCACCCAACTGCACTGTCGCCTTTAGATACGGAATAAAGTCGTCGCGTGCAACGTCTTCAATTCAAAGTCAAAATGGCACTGCTTCATTTTTTCTCCCAGACTTCCAGTTGCCAGTCGTTTATATATCTCATTGTTCCAAGTTATTTCAGGTCAGTCAAACCGAGTAAATCTAAATAAAAATATAATTTGTTTTCCATTTTTTAGTATTCAATGAATATCGATGCCACCACTAATTAAATAATTAATCAGAAAATTTCAGACCGAAGTCATAGTTTGAAACGAAAGATATTTTATATACGGTCTCACTTAAACCATGTATACATACAGCCCAAAGCAGTTTAAATCAACATACAAACATTCATCTGCTTTTGTTCCCATTTGATTGCTGGCTTAGTTGTTAACAATTTATTTCCCTTTCGTTGTTGATGTTTTTAACATAACAAGAGTTAATGAAACATTTGCTCTGGGGCTACGCAGGGTTGGGCACGGCGCTGTACTACGTACGCGACGGCGTCACCAACGACTACGCCATGAGCTGGACGGTGCCAGTCGCTGCCGACGTCTCGACGCTGTACTTCACGTGGCATGACTCTGCCGCCAGGCCGGTCAGTACGTGCAGGCTGCAACGCTGCTGAAAAATTTCCTAGTCGGCCTGTTGTTGCAAGAATTTTTTTTGTAACCGAGCGTGTACTCATCGTCATTTCTTTGTATTATCCTCAATCTAATTAATGCATATGTGAACATGGCTACAAATGAGTGTAGAAGTATTGCGGTACAGTGTGCGTTGTGATACTCAGCTAATATTATTTTCTTCATCATTAAAATATACTAATCAAATTGTTATATTTATCAGGTTTCTTACATTTTTACAGCGATACTTCAAATGTATTCGTCAGTTTGCTAATGCGCTGTTACAGAACATGATATATGCATCTGCCAACATGGCTGCAAAAAGAGGGTAACAGCATTATGGAGCATCGTCTATTGTATTTCTCGGCTCATTTAATTCCATTTTACGTTCCGTTTTCGACAGGAATGTAATAAGACATTAATGAATGTTTAAATCTAGCTCGTGCCCATTAGTATGACGAAAGTTGCATAGATTCGCGCAAGGCTTGCTTGCATCTTATATGTGTCTATAAGAATGAAATAATAAAATTAAAAAATTGTAGGCAACGTAGTTATTTCGGTGCATATGACAATGAAAGAGTTTCCTGTTTCGTTGCTGACATTTCAAATTCAGGTGTTAATGAAATATTTTTTCATCATCTGCCAACTGCGTTGACTCGATAAGTTCTCTGAGTGTGAGCAATAGTGCTGGGTCGAGAGATTGCTCGGTCGGCGGAGGACAGCTCGCAGGATATTGCGGAGAATAACTTATAAGGATGGCAGTGCCTGCCAACTCCAATGTGGGAAGTTGTGAAGGATCGTCGCTAGTTATGGCGACTTGCCGCACATTTCCGGTGTACGTTAAAACTTTCCACTTTGGTTGAGAACGTTAATCAGGTCCGAGTGAGGAGAGACTGTTATGGAGGCAGTTTTCGCGAACTTGTGAAGTTGAAGTTTGCTATCTTGTAATTCTGAAGAATCAACGAATTATTTTTTAGTAAGCATTTAATTATGTTTTTATACAGCCACAAATAATTCGCTACTAGATATTGTTACGAAATAAGCAATACTGAACATTAGGAATAAGAATATTTTCACATGTAGACTATATTCCTCACCGTGCACATAATCTATAAGAAAATAAAGTCCCTCATTGAAGGTTTTGTATTGCCTCTCTCATTTTGGGTTAAGATATCTGCTAATTTGAAGTTGCGCCAGCGATATACCTAGATTATTTTTTTCTATTAATAATTGTTATGAATACGGATAGACGTATCACATTACATTAATTGTTAGAGTTTCCTTTAATTTTGCTCAGGTAAATCTTAGATAAGGATGCTCAATTTAGAGATCGCATCACGTCTTAACGTTTAGCTCTGGCAATAAACTGTTCACTTTGACCAGGTCGACGGCTGAGTTCCGCCTCTTTACTGTTCAATCACGTCTTTGAGATAGAGCCACAATCCTCGTTAAGGATTTTTCTGTTGCCATGGTTTTAATTTTTTAAAATTTATTTTGGTCTACTGTTGAGTGTCTAACAGTGAATAATCTCACACAAAATACTATCAAGCACTTACACATTCGGTGAGCAATCAGTGTATAGTATATGCAGCCCTATAAGTGTTTAAATGAGGCTGCCTTTAAGTGTTTTATTACATTTTCATGACTCAAATAGACAACACTTCGTTTTGATGTTTGTGAAAATCTGCACGGACTAAACCAAATTCTAAATTAGTGTTACAATTTTGCATATAAGGCTTCGGTTTTCGACAACCGTTATGATTCAGTGAACTTTCACTGGACTTTTTGAACCTGCACGAGCAAACCGACGACGGAAATCGTGTTATAAGTATTAAAATCACTTGTTTGCTTGAATCGCAAGTTAACCAGGAATTTAAAAGCAAAGAAAATACCACAAAAATTCACCATATCTTTATAAGAGAAAACGTTTCGGAGTCCAGCTCCATCATACTAATTGATTTATTTGTGTTTCTAGGACTGAACTTTTTCTGAACAGAATTTTGTGATTTGAACTGACGATGGAGCTGGACTCCGAAACGTTTTCTCTTATAAAGATATGGTGAATTTTTGTGGTATTTTCTTTGCTTTTTAAATTCCTGGAAAACGTGTTAGCTAGAGGTCAAATGCCATGATACACGGTCTTATTTTTTGCTCAAAGGTCTCAATATGATACATTTCATATTTCCAACAGTACTATATAAGTAGAGCGTGATTCGGATTTTTCGGTAACGTACGTTTTTCAAATATTTTCAGTGATAGAATCGATCTGACAGGTAATACAAATAGGATTTCAAATCGTAAGAGAACAAATAGGTAAAGAAGCGCCTCAGATTTGTTAACAGGAACTTTTGACCTCACCAGGTGCTCTACAACTTAGCGGTGACCGCTCACGACGCAGAGCTGGCAGCTTCTGAGGAGGTGTCCACGCAGGAAGACGGACGCAGCGACCATCGTTCTAGTCCCTTCCCCACCACAGCCTCAGCCTCAGAGTTGCTGCGTGAGCCTCACGTTAACATCTCGACAACAGGGACCGTGCCACGGCAGCCCCAGACTTTCATCCTCGTCCTGCAGTGCACGGGCGCTGCCAACGGACAAGTGAGAGTTACCCTCAACATCAACGTCACGGCGGCGCAGCCCTCGCAACTCCCCACCGTCCTCTATTTCAGGAGAAGAAAGATCTGCCTCAAGGGTACGTAATACTTCTTGGTTCAATCTATAGCTCACTATTGAACGTTTCATAAATTCGCAACTTGGTTTCACTTAACAGACAAATTATTCCATACAAATATCCACGGATAGTAATTTATGGTTGAATATTTTTTTGCCATGCTTATCTATTTTGGTTTGGATTTGTTTGATTCTAAAGCGTAATAATCAAAATCATTATGAGGACTGATTTTTAAAATGAATTCTAATTAGACACTGAAAATTACCAATAATTGCGTAGGTTTTGTTAACGCTTGGCTGCTCGCAATGTCATCTTGCAGTTGATGGCATCCACCCGCGAAGATGAAATGGAGAAATTGCTGTGATGCATTGGTTACTCTGATAATCCACTTTTACCATAATGATCTGCAAACCCTACTGTTTCCTCAGTCGTTTGTTATTCACGGTCAAGCGTTCAATTTTTTTTCGGTCTGTTTAATTCTAACCTAACTTACTTCGCTCACACAACCATTTGACGAATGAGGTTACTTAATGCCAAATGGTATCGAGCACCATGCACCAGATTATTTACTACCACGTCACTCCATCTTTAACTTTAAAATCACTTTGGTTGAACGCTTATAGTCGAGATATTGAAGTGCTGCGTTCCATCCGTTACCCAAATTGAATTACACGTGACCGGCAGACAAAGAGTCACCGACCGCGCCTGCCACCCTGAGACCTGCAGGGGAGGTAGCCCAGCTGCTGCGGCGTTTCGAGCCTCTCTTGATGGCTCTGGGTGTGGCCGGCGGGATCATGTCGGCTGCGGTGGCTGTGGCAGCGGTGGCTCTTTACAGATGCAGCAAACACCAGCAGCAGAAACAGCCACGGCTACAGGATCAGTGAGTTACATTGATTTCACTTTTGTTATTGGGGGTTTGTTGCAGTAATTAGTAAACGTGGAATGTGACGAAAAGAAAAATCTACCAAACAGAAAATGTGAACATCCATCGCATGTAAGGTTCGCTTTGTTACTCATACTTGCGAGCTTTGAAGACAAAGAGATCATATCATAAAGCTAGTTGATGTCAGCTGCTATATTCGCAGTCGATATTCATTTTAAATTTATTATTTTTTTGGTTATTAAATTTGTATGTGTGGAGATTATGACTATGGACAGTAGAATGATCAAATATTTTTCATTACTGTTTTACTTCTCATCGACTTCTTTCGCTATGCCAGGACAGTGTTCGCGATGAGCGGCAGACTGCGCTCCGTGACAACGACGACGTTACTCTCTCCATCCATATCGTCATCGCGACGTGCTGACCTGTGTCCTTCCACGTCCTCATATCTCCACGAAGACGCTATTTACACGTCACTACTTCCTCCGCCACCGTCCATCCCTCCTCGTTATGGTCCTACACCGCCCCACGTTTTGCCATCATCAATCCGCTTCACTGGCGACCAGTGTAAGTGTCCGCAGTTGATGAGAGTTGAAATAATGGCCTTCATTTTAGCTGCTTCAGCGTGGCCAAAGTTGGCTACTGAACAGCCTGTTGATTTATCCACATGTTACGGCAGGTCCATTGCGGTTTCTAGCCCATTTGATGAGAATCAACCGGCGCTGAAATGCGTCTGAGTAAGCATAGATATATGGCTATTGTCTAATTTGAGGTCAACACAGTTTATTCATGCTCGCACTTGCTTAGGAATAGTTTTAAGTTCGCTATTTCATATGGTATACATTGATCATAATAAATCACATTTTCTTCGCGGTGGAAAAGCATGCTATTGGTAATAGTAGCCTATACCGCACAGCCATTTCTTCAACCTGCTCTACCTCGCACAATACAAGCCCTGCTATCTCCTGCGTTGCCCCGACTCTCTACCGAAACCCATTCAAATATGGTCCTAACAATGTAATTGATTGCTTGACTGCGGAACGGCAGAGAGGCGGGATAAGTGAGCACGTAAAGCCTGCCATTAGCTGCATAAAGATGGACAGTCGAGATAAGTGTTAAAGTGTGGGCATGTGAGCTTGTATTGAGTGAAATGAGGTTTTAAGAAATTCCGCTGAAGAAGGCGATCCACCATGCTGCGTGGCTTCTCTGCAGCGAGTATCTTTCGCATTCCGAGGCTGGGCGTTGGCTCCAATGCTGATTTCAGAGATTAAATTCATTGGTCATAACTGCAGCCCTTATCAGAATATCCTTAACGTTTTGATGTACCGTTGTAATATATGCTTCTCGCACTGAGGAATGGAAGCCAGCATATTAATTTCCATCCATTCTCTGTTTCATTCTACAGACTCAGCCGTGACGCATCCACCATACACAAAAACTTCGGCCACACTGGCGGTTAATGAAAGGAAGTGTATTCCATCCGAATGGGTCCCACAAGTGTCCTTAGAGGAATTCCGGAAACTTTGGAAGCATCTAGAGGTCAGTGGAAGCCGGCGAATAGGTACGTAACGTAAAAATTTTGAATCTCGATTGGAACGCTTTTGAAGTAAATTTCAGTGACTCTTAGGTGTGTGCAAAATATTGATACAGTATCGATACCTGGATTTAGTTTCCATTTGATGAAGTGTGAAATGGATGGCTGACGGAAGTTATAGAATTATTTAATTATTTTGTTTGATTGTTGAGGTGGACGGCAGTGGCGTGGTGGTGAAGGCTGTGCTCAGAAGCGGCAGGTACGCGCAGCTCTGTTCCGCCACACTGCGCCCCAACACCGACGTGAGTTGTAATTCTATACAGTCTAACGCTACATTGCTGAAATTTTCGGCAAGAGTAGTAGTCCAAGTAGTAGTCCAAGTAGCAGTGCCAAGTAGTAGTGCCAAGTAGTAGTGCCAAGTAGTAGTCCACGCAATAGTCCAAGCGCTGCTGTGATGAAACCTATGACGCATTTGTCATTAATACGCTCAGAGATGAAACTTTTGTTTATGCTTATCTGTAATCTACACGCTATCAAGTGAAATTTAAGACGTAACTTCACTGTTATAAATAACGACGAAAAAAACTACCTGACTGGCGTTCAAATGGCTGACCGCTCATGAAAACAAAGCGCATCACAGTTTTTCAAATGTTTTGCAGTTTTCTTGTTTTAATTGATGAAAATTTCAACATTTTGTTTTATTTCACGTGACGGCCGGCCGCTGAAATGCAGGTCAAATCGTTGTACGGCGTTGTCTAGAACATTGTTGTGAGTAACACGCTTTACATGAAAAGTGACAATAAGCTGATGTTAATGTATAATAAGTTAGCATACTATGAACGGTACAGGTTTTGGTGAAAGTGGCACACTGCAGCACAGCAGCCCTGGAGTCCCATGCAGTGCGGGAATGCAGTGCAGCAGTGCAGCTGACACGCGTGCAACACCCTGCAGTGCTGGCAGTGATCGCGTTCAGTGCTCCGTGTCCTCTCATGCTCATCTACCCATACAAAGGCGGCCGCAACCTTAAAATGTAATGCGATTAACTTTAAAATTATTATCTTATCTTTTAATGAATGTAATGATTTATTCATTTTATATAACAATCATTAACTTTAGCGTCTGAGTTAATTAAAGGGTTCAAATCCTCGTTTTTTAAACATAGAACTTCAACTTGCTGGCCCCGCATTTGAAATAATCCTATACTTAACTTTTATTTTTTAACGTAACTGTGCAAGTAGACTACTGTATTATTTTGAGATTCGTTTAATTGTAACTCCACATATTTCAATGCCAGACGAAATGTACGCTAATGTTTTATGGAGGAAACTTGTAAGTGCAAATGACGACTCGCTTCATCCTTAGCTTGTGCCGCGGCTCTTTCTGTTCTCCTAATGAAGCGTCTGCCGGAGGTGCCTACATGCTAATTTATGATTATTCTTTCGTCGACAATTAAATGATGTTTTCTCCAGACACGCTGGGCAACGATGACAATTGGAGGATAGAACTTCATTGTCAAGATTTTATAAAAAATATTAATCCGGTGATCTGTTAATGTCAACTATCCTTTTTCTAATGCTTGAAACTTGTGTCTTTACTGAGAATTATGTTCTTCCAAATTTTAGTCCTCTGAGTGAAACCGCACTCAGTCTGACACCCGCCATATTCCTGCACTTTATCTTCCTTGCATCTGCCCTCGTTCCGACAATAATCTTTATCCTGACTCCTGCCTTCTCCCTGACTCCTGCCTTCTACCTGACTCCTGCCTTCTCCCTGACTCCTGCCTTCTCCCTGACTCCTGCCTTCTCCCTGACTCCTGCCTTCTCCCTGACTCCTGCCTTCTCCCTGACTCCTGCCTTCTCCCTGACTCCTGCCTTCTCCCTGNGGGCCAGGTGGGTCATGTGGGCCAGGTGGGTCATGTGGGCCAGGTGGGTCATGTGGGCCAGGTGGGTCATGTGGGCCAGGTGGGTCATGTGGGCCAGGTGGATCATGTGGGCCAGGTGGATCATGTGGGCCAGGTGGGTCATGTGGGCCAGGTGGGTCATGTGGGCCAGGTGGGTCACGTGGGCCAGGTGGGTCATGTGGGCCAGGTGGGTCATGTAATTCAGGTTGATTATGTAGTGCATATGTGTCCCAGAGATGCGTGTTCGTTCAAGGGACCAACTTATTCGTAAGTTGTCCAGGCCTCAGTACAAATTTTACGAATAAACTTATTCGTGTTGCAGAGTCACGGCGCAATACCACGTCATGGTGAGCGACGGAGCGTTCGGCAGCGATATTTTCCCTGAAGATTTTCTGTCCCTGCAAGACCAGCATTGTTCTGGTGACAGCAGCGGCAGTTACAGCAACAGCAGTAACAGCAGTAGCAGTGTCAACGGCAACAGTAACAACGGCGGCAGCATTGAAAAAACTAATCTCCGACCTGTCGCTTGGATGGCGCTTGAAGCAATAATAACGGACTCCTCATCGCTGCCTGCTGACGTTGTGAGCACTAATGCACTCTAAAATTTCATATGTTTTTAGCATTTAATCATGTTTAATAAAAAGTTTAGCATGATTTCATCGATTAATATACATTGTATGTTTGTAAAAGCCATAACACAAGCAATTATTCTATTCACGCCCCAAAATTTTCATCAATCAATGATGCTTTAACAAGTCCTGATTAGTTTTCAATGCTTTGAACTTTTTACGAGATTACCTTGTTTAACGACATAGTTTGAATTTGACGCGGTGAGCAAACGTGTCTCTGACATGTTGGTGTTGTGTTGTTGCAGTGGCCGCGATATTAATCCGCCATGTCTGTGCGGTGTTTGTTGCAGTGGTCGTGGGGCGTGCTGACATGGGAGCTGAGCAGTCTGGCACAGCAGCCGTACGCAGGCCTCAGCTGTACCCAGATAACAGATTACCTGAGTTCTGGGTACCGTTTAGCTCAGCCTCCTACCTGCCCAGACGTGCTGTATCAGCTCATGGTGTTCTGCTGGGCCCTCAACCCCAGCCACAGGCCCAGAGCTGCTCTGCTGGTGGACTACCTCACAGGGTTGACACAAGATACGCTGCCAGTAGCGCTGCCACACGATGTGTCCTGTCGCCCTGACGCTGCACTGGCGACAGCTTTGCACGAGTCTCCGCGAGTCCAGCGATGGCAAAATCAAGCGGACTTTCGTGGCGGTTGTGCAAGCTTGTCGTCGAGTTCTTCGAGTATGGAAGCTGATATGAAAGATCAGCCTGATATCTCTCCAAATAAAGAGCAGCAGCCTGATGCGTCAGTTATTAAAGATCTTTCTGCTGTCGCTGTTTTTAATGATCAGCATGATTCAGTCCCGTCGAATACACACAAAACCGAAGGTCCAAATATCACACCATGCAGCACTGCCCGCGAATTCGACGTAAAGGACGTTTCGGGAACAGCCGTCACTGAGGCAGCACAGTCGTTGCCTGGCATCACCTCCTCCAAAGTAACTCCCGTTGGTAACTCACATTTCCAGTGCTCGGAATACAGCACACCAGCATCACTTATGGCAGACTTGCACTGGAAACCATCCTACACATTCGAAATGAATTGTAAAGAATTTAACGACGGGAAAATGAGCGCCAGCGCGGGTGTCGTGGAGCAGAGAACACGGCAGCAAGGAGGTAGTCGGCAGGGCAAAGGACGTGACCTTCCAACTTCACCGTCACCCATCCACCCTTCAGATCCTTCACTCCGGTCGACGTTGCTCTCTCCAGCAAGCACTAATAAATTGAAATGATTAGAATATCAATTATGCATTTCTACATTCGAAATTATTTGATTTGTATTTATTGCGAGGGAGCATCGGTTTCGTAAATGATCAGTCCCATTATTCAAATTTCCACCAGCACGTTGAAGGGCTATGATGATTGCCCACATAAAACCTAATTGAGCAATACGTAATATTTGGATGAATTCTGTTTCAGCAGAATCGCAAAAAATCTGAGTGGGGTGCTTCAGTTCGTCCGGTCAGCATATGAATTGAAATATATATACAAACAAAAATTATTTATGAGTTTAATTTGTCAGGCGATATGTTCGTGAATCCATTGATATTGATGAAAATATGTACAATATATAAACGTTAAACCGAACCAACTGAAGAGTTTATTGTTTTATTATTGGTGAGATACAGATAACACATGAGAAACAATCTTAGTTTTGCGAACATGTGCCGGTGCATGGATTTTTTGAGAGCTGTAATGAACTAACGCAATCGCTACTAATGGAATCATACGGAGCTATGCACTGCCAATCTATTGTTACAGTTGAGCTATTCCTAGGATGATTTCATATGACAGATTGCAGGAAATTATGCTAAACCTGTAATACTGTAATATGTGTATAACTTCCTCATAAAAGTTACTCTACCCAAAAATTATTAGCTATTTCGAACATTTTTTCGCCAATAAAATACGTCTACGTGTTAGGAATTGAGTTGAACAATGATAATTTTTATCCCAAATCGGAACTATGTCACCTTACTAATACCGTCAATGCACGTAGAATAAAATTAAATAATATAGCTAATAAGTTCAGTATTCGCTCATACATTGAACCACATTTTACATTTATAAGGTTAAATTTAAAGGCCAGTTTCAATTGTTAATCTAGATTACGTAAGATGCATATCATTCATTACACGTTCAATTCACTAAAAAAAGTATTTTAATGAAGTTATTTAGTCTATGATTTGCTCGCACAATGAACCGCAAGGCCCAATCAGGGCACGTCGGCTGTGAGCTACCCTTATCTCTGCCGTTAACCTCTGGGGAAATTAGCGAAGTTTCTCTTAACAACGCCGCAGCGTTCACAGTATTGCTTAGGATAGAGCCGAGCTCGGAGACACGCGCAAGAGGCACAAAGTCACGCGTGTGGCTTCGTGGCCCACTTTCAGGACGAGAGTGGGCAACAGGAGGGAAAGAACGAGTGGCATCGACGCGTTTGATGAATAAAAATGGGAAGAGAGTGGACCAAACCAGTTCAATATAACTAACGAGTGGGTCACGCGCTGCACGAGCGGGTCAAGATGATGTAAAATTAAGTCAACGCTACGCAAGAGTTGGCCAAAGCGGTGCAGGAGTGGGTCAACGCGATGCACGAGCAAGTCAAAGCGGAGCAGGAATGGGTCAAAGCGGTGCAATAGTGTGTCAACGCGATGCATGAATGGGTCGAAACGAGGCAAGAGTGGGTCAAAGCGGTGCAGAAATAGGTCATAGTGGTGTAAGAGTGGGTCAACGCAATACAAAAGTGGATCACAACCCAGCGTTGCACTTCCCTCAGCGGCCCTCAAGGGCACATGAGAAGCTTTGGCCCATGCTACGCATAATTGCAATCGCTTCTTTTGCCCATGAGAACAGTAATGAAGCAACAATTTAATCAATGACAGTTAATAGAAATTATAAGGATTATGAGGATTCCTCGCCAGCTTATGGTGAGATTCTTATCAACCATTTATTAGAAGCATGATGAAGCTTTTTCTCCAAACATCAGAGGCGGGTCTGAATTCAAAAGCCAATCGTAAGAAAAATACTATTATTTTCAGTTATTCTGCTTGAATTTGGACTAATATTTCCTTTATGATGGTTGATCGAGCAAAATTGCTCAGCAAGTTTTTAATAGATTCGGACAATACTAATCAGGCCGAAAATTTTTCCTACTATCTCATTATAGCAAAATTTTGTAAAAGTCATCAGGGGTAGCTGTTAGAAATTATCGAAGGCAAGGTTGATAAAGCCTTTGTCGCTGCACAGAGATGTGGCGACACGAGAGCTGCTCTCCAGCTTATTCCAACTTCCGTCGTTACTTCAAATTGAATGTGGCCGCCTCTTGCTTCTGTCACCTCATCTGCTACTGTCATCATAGCCTGCGCCGCAGTTATAACGCCGACCTGCCTCAGGCACAGAATTAAGTAACTTAATCGGAAACAAAATTCAAAATGTGACCCTTTTTTTAGGGGAAGTTGCATATATTTTTAGTTAAATAAATTTAGCAATTTCTACTATTGATAACCGAGCATCTGTTCCATTCATACTTTAACAGGTAATAAATTATTATTACACTTTTCATTAATCTTATATAATATTAACAGCGTTTACGATAATGAAAACAGATCATCAAAATATTTCAAGGAAGACTGCAATCTATCTCGAATATATTGAACGAGACATCGCTAAATGAAAACACTAAAATCATCGGACAAATAGTAAAACATTTGCTTGAAAAAGTATTGCAACCCATGAGCGACGACTCGAGTAAGAAGACGAAAAAGTTTACAATGGAGCAAAAATTGCCTAAATCATATGGCTTTTAAAATCGGTCTTCGTTCGTCACGTAGTTCACTTAATTACTGATCATGAACATCGTAGAGATTTCATCAGGTTAACGCTGTTACTAATCTTGTCAGGACACTGTTACTGTGTTGCCCATATCACGCTCCCGCAACAACGTCTTGCGCTGCTCTGACGAACTCATTGAACACGTTTTAACAGCAGCAGCCCAGTAACATTTGGCAGGAAGAACCATTCCTGACAATCACGGACTTTAAAGAATTCACGATTGCAATTGAAGTTACAAGGTAATAATGCTTGTGGAATTTATCCTCGATTTAATTCACGACATCGTTGCCTCTGATATCGTGCGTCGAAATGTTAGAATCATATACACATCACACTCACCATACTCACCTAAGATGTGCATATCGCTGCTGTTTATAAAAGCGTTGAATGAGTTAATAAACGACACCAAGATTCACGCGAATGTCACTGCACTCACGCTCGTGCTATTATATTAGAACATTGATTAATCACACAAACACACGGTAACATATTAGTTTTTAGAAGTAAGTTTGAATACATATAGAGTATAAATGCTACTACGCGGTCGAGGTAAAGAAAAACTATTGAATTTCCCGGTAGGCTCGATGTTATTGAGGCTCATTTGGAATCTTATTCATGCACAGCTCAGCCACGTACAATTATTGCTCCGAAATAGAATTATTGAACAAATATGGACAAATACTTGCACTGCAATCGGATTTTGACTGGCTGTTGAAATTTGACTTGCTGTTGAAACCATAAGATTGATTGGCTGTTCAATTTCAATTCAAGTGTTGAAAATAGAAGGTTGAAATGTAAATAAGACTGTGATCAAAACAATTAAGCGTGACGATAAGCTTCAGTTGTTCACAAGTTTTTGTTTTGTTTATTTGTTTTTGTTAATCGCTTCTACGATGCGGCTAAATGCTTTCAATTTCGAAAAAAAGTTAATTGATAACGGTAAATCATAAATATCATTTGACGAGATGTTCCGGCCTCGGATCAGTGAAACTGATGTCCACGGTTTATGTCGACGCATTAGGTCGACAGCTGAGCTCTATTATTCGTCTCACATCAATATAACTTTGGCTTTTATGGTCTCTAATAATTCAGGCCTGCATCTAGTATGAGAGGCATATCGTGTTTATTAGCATTGTATATAAAAACTAAATTATTTAATTATTGGTGTTGTTTTCATACCTAACTTAGTTAGAAAAGAGCTATAATTTTACTTTTGTACACAAAAATATAGCACTAATAGCAGATATATCGTCTTTTCAATGTTGGCTACCTACACAAAATAAGAAGATTTACTTATCCCTCCTGTTGTCTTCCTTTTCGGTGCACACCGTATGCCCTCTGGATAAAGGGTCGGAAATGTGGGTCATTTTGATACGATAACTGAAGAAGAAGAAGATACGATAACTACAGGAGGGTTAATTTCATTGCGTCAACAACACCTAATCTAGTAAGAATCGTTTTCTATGGTGTTGACGAAGAAAGAAAACATTTACAGGTAGACTTACGTAGATTAAAGTTACCCGTTTGCCATTCTAAAGTTTAAAATTGTTCATATAAGGAACAATTTATGACAATATATAGATCATACCTGATATAGTTCATCTAAAAATCCCCTTTCTAAATTATTTTTTACGTAGTTATTACAAAAATTTGGAAAAAATGAATAGGTATAAGGCAAAAAGGAATGGTAAAGTCGAGGACACATTTAGCTGAAGCCTGAATGAAAGTTTCTATGATTTCAACATGTTTGTTAATGTTTAGAAAAAAAGTCACGGAAATTGAGGAAATATGTAATCGTTTTTGAAAAATTAAGGAAATATATCATCATGCAAAACTTGTGTTCCGCCGAATAGAATTGCAAATCAATAGTTAAATTTGGTGTGCAACATCCGTAGAATTTTTTAATTAGTGGTTGGGTGCATTTAAGTACAGTTAATTTGAGTAGATACTCTTCTTAATATCATCCTCATAAATGTTATGAAAACTCATTTGAAGATCACTACACCCAATGGAACTGTCATCTCCGAAAAAAATGTAATTACACAGTATGATAAATGAAACTTTTTATTTTTCTAAATTCTAAATTATGCATTAAAGATATACTTACGTAAACGTATGTGTATAACATTGGTGTATTCAGGTAGAAATTGCTGTTTAATGAAAATTTCACTGAAATGAGTCTCTGCCGTTCCTCGATTTACTCGTGCAAGTAGAAGATAATGTGTTCGTCGCTAAAGTTTTCCGAAAACCTATATAGACGGCAGAAAAGTACTGAACGATGCAAGCGAATGTCCACAGCGATACAAAACCAGCACTATCCACGTCATAATAATGAACTCCACTATCCATAATGAACTCCAGATCTGCAAGCAAATTCTAGTAAACAACGGTTACGCGAATA